CAAAGAGGAGGTTCACTAAGAGAAGAGTTACAAGATATACGTAGCAAGCATGCAAGGGGTGCACCACCAACATTAGGCTACACAAAACTATGTTAATGCAAAGGGGAGTTATATAGAAATATGTTTCTTGACACGCCCCCATAACTGCCAGCAGCAATAACAATGTGAAGTTGATGCCCCCTGAAGGGGTACACCAAACAGAGTGCGCAGCGGAAGGAGGAGAGAAGAACCAAGGAGGAGGTGAGAGAGCGAGATGAGGAGAGGAGGTGGGGGGGAGCCACGCGGCGAACCCCTCTTACGAACCCCCCTGTAACAAAGGGGGAGGTGAGAGAGGGATGAGGAGAGGAGGTGGGGGGGAGCCACGCGGCGAACCCCTCTTACGAACCCCCAAAGCCACACCCCCTTTCAGCCACCCCCCTAAACCTCACCCCCTTGTTCAGCCGCCACCCGGAACCGCACCCCTTCCGCTATCCCCTCACCCTCCCCCCACAGCGGCACGTGCGGCAGTGAGAGAGAGAGGAGGAGGGGCTGCAGCAGGTTGCTCACACCTGCCACCCCCAAACCCTCCCCCCCCCACTGCTGCACGCGCGGCAGTGAGAGAGAGAGGAGGAGGGGCGGCTGTTGGCGCGGCAGAGACTCTCTCCCCACTCCCTTACCCTTCCCCCCACAGCCCGCCAGTTCCACCTGCACTCCCGCCTCCTCCCATGGCCGCCATCCCCTTCCCCGTTTCCTTCCCCTCCTCCCCCAACAGCGACTGTCGCTGTAGACACGTACGGCCACGGCAAGGGTGGGGGGCGCGAGATGAGCAGCGGGGTCGGGCGAAACGGGAGCGCGCAACGGGCGCGACAAGCGTCGCGATTAGGGCCGCGACAGGGCGGGACGGGGGGCTGGAACGGGGGCCACGTCGGAGTTCGCAACGAGCAGGACGCGGCGGCCAACGGGCGGGCGACGTGGGAGGTAGCACAGCCGCGGGCGACGGGGCGACGAAGCGACGACAGGCAACGTGTGGTCGACGGGCTGAAGCAGCGGATAGCACGCTGGCGGCGGGCTGCAGGTAGCACGACGAGCTCATCGTCGGGGCGCTCTCGAGGCGCTCTACGGGCTGCGCGACGGGGCGTGCCATGGCGTGTTGTGGGCCTATAGAATGAAGGTCCTGGCTCGGGACCCGCTCTGATAGCATGTCAAAAGGAACTAGTTAGACTTAGGAACCATGGCTAGGGTTATGGGTACTAGCGTGAGTATCGAGAGAGTTGAGCAAGCCAAAGAGGAGGTTCACTTAGAGAAGAGTTACAAGATATAGCAAGCATGCAAGGGGTGCACCACCAACATTAGGCTACACTAAACTATGTTAATGCAAATGGCAGTTCTATAGAAATATGTTTCTTGACAGGCGGAAAAGTCTAAACTTAAACGCATTCTAACGATTGATTATACGGTACGAACCTGGCTGATTCTACAGTTGGGGACCCTCAAAAACCTTTTTTATGATGCTAGATGATAATATTTGATGGCGTCGTGCTACGGTCACATACGAGACAGGGGGAACATACTGGTGGTGTTCGCTGGCACCTCTAACAGCGAAATGGGCGGAATCAAGAATGTTTGTCACGAATTCTTGATTCGGTCCGTTAGCTCCAAACAATCATGCCGAGCCTACGATTCCGTCTAACCAAACAGAATCATATTTGCGTGTCGAACACCCACCAGTTCGGACGGGATCATGGAAGTAGGAAAGTGGGGAACATATTCGTCCCCAGCCAAACGTAGCGGCCGATGCCATCTCATCGCCATCCCCGTTCCACGTAGGATTGAAGGATAACCACAAACAGATCATAAGAAGGGACATTTATGCCCTCCCTTACACTCACATTTGGCATCAACATATGCCCTTCCGAACACAACTCTGCCCACATTTCACGTTTTTTACCCTACGTTCATTTTTAAAGCGCCCGGTCAGGCAGTCGATTGTTCGAGCAGAAAAATCGTGTTAGGAAGTTGGAAGGTGGGGAAGGTGGTTCCTGATTCCGTTGCCACCATTCCCCTTTCTGGCGGGAAATTTCGCGAGGTGGCCAGACCCCCCAAACCTATAAGGCGGGTTCCGCCACCGTTTCCTGATTCCACGGCCATCCTAATGCCGTCGATTTCTAGAAGTGCTGGCGAACAGGGCCACTAACAGGGCACTCAGAGGGCCATAACAGGTGGAGCAGGTGCTGCAGTTGTCTCCTTCCATTCTCGTCTGATGACAACTTGTGCTCCTCTCGTCACATTGAGTTACCAATCCCTGTGAACACTAAACAAGATTGAGGCTGAAACAGTAGAGTGCCACTTGTACTTCTTGTCTCGTTCTCTGTCCCTGCACCATTGGCATGGCAACAATGAAAGGTTGGTAAAGGAAATGCTGCCAACAGTGCACCATGACAACGAAATAGTGACGTTCGGCAGCTGTCACATGCTGCTCCGATGCTGGGTTGTCATGAAACTTGGTGACCATCTGCACAATGCGGCAAAGAACTGCCACACCAATTTTTAGACCAATCCGAGCTTGGTGGATGAGTCAGCGGCTGAAATGGTGAACTCGGTGTTACCAAAATGTGTAACACATCCTGAATGCCATAATTCTTGTAACTTAAGATGTTGCCATGCCCTGTAAACTGCTGCAACAACTCTGAAACTTTGAGAGTTTGATGAAGACATATGGAAGCACCTCTCCACCTCGGAGCAACGGGAGGCTCACCACGTGGCCCAGCTTGCGCACTCGGTTTGGGTGTCGCGTGACACTAGCGCGCGCCTTGCTCTTAATCCCCTCCCCGCCGGCCGAGCGAGTGCACTTTCGCCAGGTCGCGACGACGAAGGAGTGTCTGTATGCTGTTGTTGCTCGTTACTCCACCCCCTCCTCTGCTACTCTGTGGCACCTCCTCACGCCCTTCCTCTTCCCTGATCTCCCTGCTTTACCCAGAGTCGCTGACCTTACTACCCACATGCGTTCGCTTGACGCTAGCTTCCACGCCGCTTGCACTACTGAGCATCTTGCTACGCACGCCCCCCCTCATGTATCGCACCCTGCACTTCCTAGCGACACGCCTCCCGGACCGCCTCGCGCCTGCCCGCGACGCCCTCCTCGCCATGCACCCCATGGACCTCACAATCGATCTCTTTGCAACTCGTCTGACTAAAATCGAGACCCGCCTTTGCACCATCGCCTCCACTACTGGTGCGGTAGTCCCCCCCATCTTTGAGGGGTGCGCTCCGCCCCAACTCCCTATTCCAGCTGCCTCTACAGCTCTTGCTGAGCCTACTGTTATAGCGGAGGCCGCAGCCGTCTCTCCCCCCTCTCGTGTGTCGTTACGGCGCAGGGTTAGTCGTGGTCGTGGAGGAGGTGGAGGTGCGGTTACGTCGGAGGGTGCTGACGCTTGGAGTGCTGGTTCTAGGGGTGCTGCCGTAGGAGGTGCTGGTATTGGGGGTGCGACGGTGACTCAGCAGCAACAATAGTAGGAGCAGCTCCAGCAGTGGGTCTCCCGTTGCGACAAGTCTACGCGCTGTCGCGACCTGCAACGCTGACACGGCCTAACCTACACCCACCCGCACGCCTCTCCCTTCTCTTAATGCGCCTCCTCCTCCTCATTCTCGCTATTTCCCCTCGTCTTGCGCCTCTTCCCACACATGCCGCCGCTGAGCGCCAACCGCCACAACTTCCGCGTCCATCTCTACTCTCAAGTCTCTCGTTCTTGCTGTAGCCAATTTAGGGGTGTGTTGAAATATATGTACATACATACAAATTGCCTTCAGTATACGTAGATGTTAATGTACGGTAGTTATTCAACTGTTGGTGGTGCACCATGTTTGCCTACCTCTTGCGCGTATAACTTGGGCTCTTGGCTTTTCTATCTAGTGCCCCTCTTTCGATCAGGCCCTACGATATCAGGAATTTGTTCCTGAAATTCCTGATTTTCAGGGATTTTTTTGTACCTACCCTGATTTTCCAGTGTTCAGCTTTTTGTGGGACTGATTTTTCAGCCTTTTCCTGCCAGATGACTCTGAACTTTCAGGTTTTTTTGTTTAAGGACACTGATTCCACTACGTTGTACCGAAACTGACACTGGATGCGATTTCTACACGTTCGTTGCCCGGAAGTACAGGGAATCTCAGATTCCCGCGGTGTCAGCACTGCCTGGTGGTGACTACGAGACAAATTTGCCCCGTGTTTTTTCACTCGCGGGGGGTTTCCTTGCGTTCCTGCCTGGTGTACCAAGAGGCAGTCAGCCGTGTGGTTTAGTAAAAACAGCCTTTTTTCTTAGGGAACACTGATGCTTCAGGCTTTTTTTGTAAGTGACACTGATTTTTCAGGTTTTTTTTCTAAAAGACACTGTCAATCAGGGATTCCACGCAGAGGGACCCTGATCCCTCTACGTCCCTCAAAGTGAATCTGAGGGCCTGCTTTCGATTCTCAACCTCCTACCGTTTCAACCTCTTTGTTCCTGCTTTTGACTGACACTCACCTCCCCACCAGAGCAGCTCAGGCTAGCCCATTCTACGATACACCAATGATTGGAGGCAGAGCCACTAGTGCAATTGTGTGTATGCGTATGCACGATTTCCAGCATGTACTAAGTAAACACTCCAGCAATAACTCCCTGCAAACAGAACTACGGCTGACATGCTACTATCGGATACAGTACACACAATTTTATACCACGACATTAATCATGATCCCCAAATACACTACTTTTTCAGCAGCTGGTCCTCCCCCGGCAGGTTCTTCCTCTCCTTGGCCTCCTTGATGGTCCACAGGTCCCACACCTTGGTCTTGGGCGGCTCCCTCACCTCCCCCACCGGCGCCACCACACAGAACTAGTGCACTCCACGACACACTTTTGAGTAAGATTTTTACCACTCCATCAATATAATGCAACGAAAGGAGCTATAGCTGACATGCTACCAGTACTACCAGATACTGTAAACAATTCCACACCACACTACCGTGATCCTAATCCGCAAATCCACTACTTTTTCAGCAGCTGGTCCTCCCCCGGCAGGTTCTTCCTCTCCTTGGCCTCCTTGATGGTCCACAGGTCCCACACCTTGGTCTTGGGCGGCTCCCTCACCTCCCCCACTGGTGCCACCAGGTTGGGGTTATCAGCGCCCATCACCCCATCCACCAGTCCGTATTCAACTGCCTCCCATGGGCTCATGAAATTGTCGCGATCCGTGTCAATCTCAATCTGCAATGGAGGACAGGTTCAGGGAGGCGGTGGGAAACTGGCATTAAGATCAAGACAGGTGTGCGTTTTGGCCGAGTTGGGGTTGTGGTGTGGGCCCCCATCACCCCATCCACCAGCCCATACTCCACTGCTTCTCATGGGCTCATGAAACTGTCCCTGTCTGTGTCCATCTCAATCTGTGGTTGGAGTGAGATGGGGAGAGGCAATACAGGTTGGGGTTGGGGATGTGACGGTTGGGGTTGTGGGCCCCCATCACCCCATCCACCAGCCCATACTCCACCGCCTCCCATGGACTCATGAAGTTGTCGCGATCCGTGCTCGTCTCAATCTGTGGTTGGCGAGAGATGAGGAGAGAGAGTGCAGAGTACGGGAGAGATAGATGCAAGTGTGTGTGTGCAGACAGGGGAAAGGGCATGGAAGGTGCAGGCAAGCGGAGAGGCAGGAGGAGAGGCAGAAGGAGGCGCAGGGGAAGTGGCAGGCAGGGGGTGGCACTGGCAGGCAGAAGGAGGGGAGAAGGCAGGAAGAAGGGGGGGGAGGTCGCACCTGTTCCTCGGACTTGCCGGTGACTCGTGAGAGGATCTTGTTGAGCAGGAGGCAGAGGGGGGAGGGGAGGCAGGCAGAGGCGTGGAGAGGGCGAGCAGGCAGGGGGCAGCGCACGCACCTGTTCCTCAGACTTTCCGGTGACTCGCGAGAGGATCTTGTTGAATGCAGGCGGAAGAGGCAGGGGGACGGAAGAGAGGGGGAGGAAGCGGAGGAAGAAGGGGGAGAGGGACAACGCACCTGTTCCTCTGATTTGCCGGTGACTCGTGAGAGGATCTTGTTGAGCTTGACCTTGTGGTACATCATCTCGCGCACCTGCAACCCCACGTCTATGGCCTGCGGAGGAGGCGAGAGGGGTGGAGAGGAGTTACAGGAAAGACTACTTAAAGGAACCGTTCACCTTGTGGTACATCATCTCCCGCACCTGCAGCCCCACGTCTATGGCCTGCGGGGGGAAGGGGTCGGGAGGGGTGGGGAGAGGTGGGGAGGGAAGGAGAGGGGTTATCAGGAAGAGGGGGGGGCTAAGAGAGACCTTTCACCTCGTGGTGCATCATCTCGCGCCCCTGCAACCCAATGTAACGGGCTGAGAGGGGGAGAGAGGGGGTCGGGTAGGGGAGGGGGGTGGGATGAATGTGAGGAGTTGGAGAGGTGCGGACCGGTGCAGTGACCAACTTGAAAGCAGTCGGTATGGGCTACCATCTCCTGCCCGAGAGGGGTGAGTGGGATGGATGTGAGGAGTTGGAGAGGTGCAACTTGGGCTACCATCTTCTGCCCGAGAGGAGTGACCTGCAGCACAGCCCCACGAGAGGAGGGTGGGGGATTGGAGGAGAGGGGGGAGGAGATGGGAGGAGTGCAGTACGAGTGAGAGGAGTGCCGTCATAGACGCACATGCCTGCTGTTCCCCACCCTCCCGCTCATTCACGCACTCCTTCCCCTCTCCCCTCTACCCCACGCCACTCCCTTCCCTCCCCCTCCCCCTCCCCCTCCCCCTCCCCCTCCCCCCTCCACCCCGGCATGCACCGACCCCTGCGCGCCTCCCAGCGGCTGGTGAATCATGACGCGCGCGTTGGGCATGCAGAAGCGTTTGCCCTTGGTGCCCGTGGCGAGCAGGAACGCGCCCATGGACGCGGCGAGCCCGAAGCAGATCGTGGAGATGTCCGCGCGGCACAGCTTCATGGCGTCGTAGATGCCCATGCCCGCCGTCACATGCCCTCTCGCTCACTCACAAACTCCTTCCCCCCCCCTGCACTCACCGACCCCTGCCCACTCTCATTTACCGTCTACCCCTCTTCTCTGCATTCCTACCCCCCCTCCCCTCCCCGCACTTACCGAGCCCTGCGCGCCTCCCAGGGGTTGATGAATCATGACGCGCGCGTTGGGCATGCAGAAGCGTTTGCCCTTGGTGCCCGTGGCGAGCAGGAACGCGCCCATGGACGCGGCGAGCCCGAAGCAGATCGTGGAGATGTCCGCGCGGCACAGCTTCATGGCGTCGTAGATGCCCATGCCCGCCGTCACATGCCCTCTCGCTCACTCACAAACTCCTTCCCCCCCCCTGCACTCACCGACCCCTGCCCACTCTCATTTACCGTCTACCCCTCTTCTCTGCATTCCTACCCCCCCTCCCCTCCCCGCACTTACCGAGCCCTGCGCGCCTCCCAGGGGTTGATGAATCATGACGCGCGCGTTGGGCATGCAGAAGCGTTTGCCCTTGGTGCCCGTGGCGAGCAGGAACGCGCCCATGGACGCGGCGAGCCCGAAGCAGATCGTGGAGATGTCCGCGCGGCACAGCTTCATGGCGTCGTAGATGCCCATGCCCGCCGTCACCGAGCCGCCCGGCGAGTTGATGATGAGCTTGATGTCGCGCGTGGGGTCCTGCGAGTCCAGCAGCAGCAGCTGGCTGATGATCAGATCCGCGCTGAAATCGTCCACCTGATGAGGGGGAGGGGAGGATTGGGGCGGGGGAGGGGGAAGGGGGAGAAGGCAGACGTCAGGAGTCGGAATTGCGAAAACCGCGCTGAAATCGACCACCTGAGGGAGGCAGTAAGAGGGCGGACACGGGCGAGTTGATGACGATCTTGATGTCGCGCGTCGGGTCCTGCGAGTCCAGCAGCAGCAGCTGGCTGATAATGAGGTCGGCGGATAAATCGTCCGCCTGATGAGGGGGAGGGGGGAATGGGGGCGGGAGAAGGGGGAAGGGGGAGAGGGCAGCTGGCTGATAATGAGGTCGGCGGAGAAAACGCCCGCCTGCGCGGAGGGGAAAGGAGGACGGAGGGGGGGATTGCCTCACGGGGGGACGAGGTTCAACATAAAAGCATCGTTATCTTTGAATGCATTAGTACTCGGAGAGCAAACTTATCGAACTTGCCTGTGGCCCAGAAAAATTCTGTTGGCTCAGAGAGAATCGACGCGGGTGACTATTGAGTCGAAACTAAAATCAAACATATGTGAACTTGCCTGCGTGCCGAGGAAGATTATCCGTTGGCTCAGAAGGATCGACCCGGGGTCCATGTCCTGGAGCCGCGGCATCGTCTGCTCCGAGCTCATTCGCGTCGCGGGGAACTGGCTAACACCATCCACGTCGAATCCCGCGCCGCCTAGACTGAGAACCGACGGATCAAGCCCTAACACATCGTTTCTGCTGGCGCCATTCGAGATCGACGTGCGGCACGTTAGGCTTCTACGGCTGCTCGGAGCGCGGTTCGAGGCTGTCCATCGCGGAGCGGAGGCGGTTTTGTTTGTCGCCGCGGTTTTCACGCTTGCGGTCTGAGCCACACTGCAGAGCCCCGTAATTTGCCGTGCTAGCGGCGCGGACCCAACTGCGAGTTCCATGGACTTGAGTTACAGCACGGCAGTGGCGCAAAGCGCTGCTAAAATAGTCCACGTGCCTTCGGGTGATAAATGCTGGGAGATTCTAGGGCTGACCTGGCATTATCTGCGGATGAAGGGGAGGGAAGGGGCGGAGATAAGAGGGTGGGGCGGGAAGAGGCGCGGAGTGGTGGGGAAGGATGGAAGGGAATTGGGGGAGGGTCAATTGCGAAGGCCCAGGCTGGGGAAAGGGTGAAGGGAAGGATTTGACTGTGTTCACATAATAAAAGTAGTGTAGACAATGTAAAAACATCATAACATTCTTGCTGCCATCACCATCTGCTGCCATAATTATTCACCAATCTTCTGGCTTAGGGGAATTTTATAAAGTGTTCGAGGGCATATCTGATACTTAATTTGGACTAAATCTGGCTTTAAATGGGTTGGGTCCCATAAAAATGAAATTAATATCTGAGGGCATAGCGTGATTCTGTTTATATGCTATCACTACAGTGTTTCTACTTTCATTCCGTAATTTCTTGTATTGAGGTGTTCATCGCATTTTGGGCCAATAATTTCGAGCCGCAACCTCAGGCGATTCGCCGATGTGTGAGTTGGACGTTCTGCAGAAAATACTTACAATGCCCTGGTTCTGCCGAACGTGAGGTTACTCCAGTGCGTAAAAGAGGTGCGGGACAAGCGGGCGAGCCGCGAGCAGGGTGAACAAAGTGGTTTGGCCTGGTCGGTGTGGTGAAATACCCAAGGCCGAACCTAGGGACCATCGTGTTGTCGTCGTCATTTCCTTTGTGCCGTGACGGGATAGCCTATCTCCCACCCACCTACTCTCTTCACAACTCTCCTTCGCTTTTGGCTCTATCTGGTCTGGTCCGAGGAAACCATACGCATTTGGCTCACGCCATTGTTGCTTGATAATCTCAGAGCCTGTTCTTCCATGTTTCGGTGAATTTTCGCGGCAATACTTTTAATTCGTTGTTCTTCTTGCAACCAGAGCTTGTATCAACTCTTCCATAGCTTACCACAAGTTTCTACCTACAGAGAAGTACCACGTAAGCCAGACCTACAGTCAGAGAAGTAAGCCAGTACAGCAACCACGCCGTTATGGCAGGCTACGATGCTGCAACGGGCGAACGACCGTCTCAGACGTCCGTCAATCCTACACCGAAGTCTGTCAGAATGTGGGACGTTTTCCGTCCGCACATTCTGGACTGGGTCGTCTTCGTCCTCATCACTGCGGGGTCCATCGCCGTTGACGCCATCCATCCCTTCCAGCAATTCGTTAACGCCGACTACATGCAAAAGTACATGTACCCGTTAAAGCCCGACTCGGTACCATTTTGGGCCGTTCCGGTGAGTTGAAGTACCCCTGGCTCTCAACGTCTAACTTCTAGAGATATTGCTTTCTACAGGCATTATGGGTAGAAGGCGAGAGATTTTCACCTTTCTTTTCCGAAATAAAAGGCCTTGAAAGTTCCATAATGTTCTCAGTGTTGGGCTAGTCGGCAAGACTGCACGGCGAGTGCGTTTATAGTAAAACAAAATCTACAGTGTTAATCAATCCTTATATAATGCTCGTCGTATCCCTCTCCATCGTCGTCAGGTGTACGTGTTTGGGTTTCCATTGCTGGCGTTGACCGTGTCGTTCATCCTGCGCCGCGACTTCATCGACTTCCACAGCTCGCTGCTCGGTCAGTTGTGACTTTTGAGTCGACTCAAAACTCAGGTATACGCGTTTGGGTTTCCATTGCTGGCGATGACCATCGTGTCATTCATCCTGCGCCGCGCAGCTCCCTCCTCGGTCAGTTGTGATCAGCCAGGTCAGTTGTGTTTTTTTTTTCGCTACTCAATCAGTTGCGATCATTTTTTCGCTCCCAACCAGCCCTGATATATAATCTCCAAGCAGCCCATGTCGTGGCTCGCTCGCTCCCTCCCAACCTGCTCACGGCACACAAAGGCGGCAGGTGTCTTGCGTACTTACCCGCACAATTTGTCATCAGCTCCTTCTCTTGCCCTCAACTCGCATCCCTTCTCCCAGCCCTCGCCCTCCTCACGCCGTTCTGCTTCAACAACGCCACTTCCTCTCTGCTTTTACAGCTTTCGGCTTCAATTGGGCACCCCGTCTCTCCCAAACCCTCTCCCCCATTCTCCCCCATTCTCTCCCCCCATTCCCTTGCCCATTCCTTTACCCCTGTTACCTCGCCCATATCCCCTTCCCCCCATTCCCTTAGCCTCATTCCCATTCCTCCATTCCCTTGCCCCATCACCTTGCACCAATTCCTTCCTCTCCCTGAACCCCATTCCCTTTCCCCCACCCTCTGCCTCCTCCCCAGGTTTCGTCTTCACCTTCCTCCTCACCATCGTGCTCAAATTGAAAGCACACATTCGCCCCCCCATCTCCCGCGCCCCCATCTCCCTCACCCCCATCTACCGCGCCCCCATCTCCCGCGCCCCCATCTCCCGCGCGCCCATTTCTTCCTGCTTCAGGTTTCGTGTTCAACTGTGCGACCACCTTCCTGCTCACCAACGCACTCAAAGTCTCCATTGGCCGGCCCCGGCCACACTTCTTCATCGTCTGCTTCCCCTCGGGCGTGCCTGTGAGTCCAGCTCTTGAGCAAATGCACGAGTCAAGATTGCTTCTGAGTCAACTCAGTCAACTCAGGAGACAACCCGGCCACCCGGCAACGCACAGTGCAACGCTCAGAGCAAGTCAGGTGTACGGCATGCCAGGTTTGCTCAGCCTTTGTCCTTTCTCTTCCCCATGGCATGCCAGGTGTACGGCAGCGATGGCAACGCACAGTGCAACGGCTCGTCCTCCAGTGTCATGGAGTCGAGAGTCAGCTTCCCCAGCGGCCACACCTCCAGTGAGACCAACCCCCCTCCCCTCCCCTCCCCTCCTCTCTCCCCTCCCCTCCCCTCCTCTCTCCCCTCCCCTCCCCTCCTCTCTCCCCTCCTTTCCCCTCCTCTCTCCCGTCCCTTCCCCTCCTCTCTTCTCTCCCACTCCCCTCCCCCTCCCCTCCTCACTCCCCTCCCTTCCCCTCCTCGCTCCCCTCCGCTCCCCTCCTCTCTCCCCTCCATTCCCCTCCGTTTCCCCCTCGCCTCCCCTCCTCTCTCTCCAACTCTCCCTCTCGCCTCCTGGTTCATCTGTCCTTTCACTGGTGGTGGTAAGCGCGTGGCTGCTTGGGTCGGATATGGAGGGGGCAGCTGTGGAGGATAGTACCGTCAGCACGCTTCCTGGCGGGTGCTGCTCATGTTATGATACTGTGGGCATGATTGCATGATTGCATGTTTGCATGGTTGCATGATTGCAATGAGAGTATGAGAGCGTGAGGGCATGAGTGCATGCGGGCATGAGGGTAGGAGTTCAGTCAAGAGGATATTGGAGGGTTGTATAAATCTAGCACATTCCCTCGGCCAGTGTCTTTTGAGTCGACTCAAAAGAGCGTGAGGGCATGAGTGCATGAGGGCATGAGTGCATGAGGGCATGAGTGCATGAGGGCATGAGTGCATGAGGGCATGAGTGCATGAGGGCATGAGTGCATGAGGGCTTGAGTGCATGAGGGCATGGGTGCATGAGGGCATGAGTGCATGCGGGCATGAGTGCATGCGGGCATGAGGGTAGGAGTTCAGTCAAGAGGATATTGGAGGGTTGTATAAATCTAGCACATCCCCTCGGCCAGTGTAGGACAGGGTTTGCCGTCCAGGCAGCTGCTTGCAGTGTTGCCACCTCCTCAGCCGTGCCCACTTGTGCTCCTAGGCCTTGTTGCTTCCTTGTCTCCTGCCCACTTGTGTTGCATTCCACCTTTCCAAACATCTGCTACTGACCGTTTTGCCTGTGCAGGTATGGTGGTTGCCAGCATCTGCTACTTCCTGCGCTACCCTGCACTGTTGGGGGCCTCCTTTACCATTTTCTTCTGCTCCCTGCCCCTTGCCTTCTTGCCTCCTTACCTCCTTCTCACTTGTGTTGCATTCCACCTTTCCAAACCAACCCTTGCCTGTGCAGGTATGGTGGTTGCAAGCATCTGCTACTTCCTACACTACCCTGCACTGTCCAACCAGAACTGTACGTCTTATACATACACATATTACAGATTCGATTTGTTACACATATTTGACAAGGGTTTTGCTAGTTGCGTGTCATTACTAACTTTGCTGACATAGGATTTTATGTTTCACCCTATCTGTTGCCCCAGACCTCTGTTCCTACCTCTGTTCCTTTGCCACCCATCGCACAACTTGCTTTCAGCCGAACCCTCCGTTTGCTATACCCTCTCCTCCTCCCATCCCTCTTATCCTTGGTTATATGTAGGTGATATTCCGCTTTTGTCTCTCGGCCCAGATGCGGAATCCTGCCAGGTTCCGTGTTGTGGGGGCAAGAGAGCCCTTGCTGCAGACTTTGAGCCTCCTGAACCTAGTGAAGAGCCAACTGAACCTAGTGGAGTGTAGAGGAGTAAACAGATTGAGCCAAAATAGCTGGTAAAGCTGGGAGAAGAAAACCCTATCCGATAAAGTTTCTGAGGTGTTAAATACAGTGCTGTTCATGTGGACTCAATTCTCTAAGGAGCTAGCGTGTGCTTCTATAATGTATGCTGACCTGAGCTTGTTGTACCTTGCACAGTACGCACCGGCAAGCTTGTAGTGTAAGCTGAGCTGGCGGAGCCGAATGCTTCTACGATAACGCGCACTTGTATCGGAGAAGCTTCTAAGATATCGCGAATCCTCGAGAACCAGAAACCAGCGAATCAGCAAATGTGGCGACTTAGGGCGACAACGTTCGTGCTCGTTCGTTGTTACACTTTTCGCGCAAGATTGGTTCAGTCTTTCGCAAGCTGTTCTTGTTCCACTGTTTGTTGCTGCTCATTCAAGTTTGGCCAACTGTACTTTCCCATCATCCATGGCTGTTTGCGCGGTAGAATTCATGGCTGTCCTTTATCCGTTCCAGGTTCCACCTGAGCCGTGACGCCTCCATGAAGGATGGCCATGATGAGAGGAGCATGGCCGACTACGGCGTGGATTGAGTTCTGAGAGCCGTGTAGGTTCATCCCTTGCCTCTGATTGAGACGGGTTTCGCATGTAGTTAGATTACCCACCTGACTGCGGTGGAACGGACTGCTTCCGTTATTTCAAAAGAAATTGTTTTGTCGCACTTTTGACACAATATGCCTGACGTGGCGACCAACGGTCAGGCCACAAGACGCCGCGGTTCCCTGAAAGCCATTTTTCTTAAATATGTTGTTGACTGGGGTGTGCTGCTGCTTATAGTCGCTGGAGCGATCGCCGTCAATTTCATCGAGCCGTTTCCGAGATTCGTAGATTCCGAGGACATGGAAGGGTTGATGTACCCGTTACTGGACAACACCGTCCCGTCATGGGCTGTCCCGGTAAGATTGCGTGCATTCATAAGTTCCAGATTCTCTAAATGCGTCGGCAGCATGAAAAAAAACTAATTTGGCAAGTTATGTCTAGATTCTGCATGCGGATTTTCGCTCAATTCTGAATAATGGTTCTACCTCATGCTTGGTTGTTGAAGGCAGCAGTGTGAGTAGCAGCAGCAGCAGCAGCAGCAGCAGCAGTGTGTGTATCACTGCTTCACGGTTTTTCACGTTCACACCTTCATGTAACCCTGTATCCACCAGGTGATCGCTCTGGGTCCTGCTGCCATCGCTTTCCTTGTTCACTACGCCATCCGCAGGGACATCGTGGACATTCACCACTCCGTGCTAGGTGCGTTGCACTGCTTGTCGTCTTGTCTGGACTTTCTAGCCCCGCCACTCCTCACTCTGGCTCCTGCTGCCATTGCGTTCCTCGTTCGCTACGCCATCCGGAGGGACATTGTGGACATCCACCACTCCGTGCTAGGTGCGTTGCACAGAGACTTGTCATTTGTTGAGTTGACTTGCAAGCCAATCCGCAAGGACATTGTAGACATCCACCACTCCGTGCTAGGTGCGTTGCACAGAGACTTGTCATTTGTTGAGTTGACTTGCAAGCCAATCCGCAAGGACATTGTAGACATCCACCACTCCGTGCTAGGTGCGTTGCCCTGAGCCACACTCCTCCAAGCCAGGTGAATTGACTTTTGAGCCGACTATAAAGTCACCTGGCTCCTGCTGCTATCGCTTTCCTTGTTCACTACTCCGTCCGGAAGGGCCTCTTGGATTTCCACCACTCTCTGCTAGGTGCGTTGCACTGACTGACAGGGCTTGTCGTTATGTGAGCAGACCTCTCAGAGTTACTTCCTTGACGTCCACCACACAAGCACCATTGACTGACAGATTTGACTTTTGATATTTTCAAAATTCTCTTCCCTCTTTTGCTCTCCAGGCCTGCTCTTTGCCTTCTTCTCCACCATACTCGTCACCGAGGCTTTCAAAGTCGCTGTTGAGAGAATTCTCAAAGTCCCTTCCACCCTTCCTCCCCCTCGCCCTCTCACGTCCATTTCTCGCATCTCCCCTCCTCTCCTCCCCTCTTTGCCCACCAGGCCTGCTCTTTGCCTTCTTCTCCACCATTCTTATCACTGATGCTCTCAAGGTCTCTGTTGGCCGCCCCCGCCCCGATTTCTTCATCAGATGCTTCCCCTCAGGGGTCCCTGTGAGTCAAGCTAGCAGCTTTTTGTTTCCTTTTGAGGTGCCTCGAAGTCAAGTCAGCTTCTGTTTTGGTGTCGTTTTCCCTCGTCCATACATTCCTTCTAACTGTCTGTGCACCCCTTCTCGTGTGTTTGTGTGTGAGCCGTTACCACCCTGCCACTACCACCCTGCCGCTGCCAGGTTGCCATATTTCCGTGTCTTGCGTAAGAATATTCTTAAAGCTCGCGTCTCATATTTACAAGCGTTTAACACTTGGTTGGTTACGCAAGTCCGTGATTGGTTTCGGCAGAAATTTACCCCAGCTCGTCAATAGCAAACCAGTCACGGAGGCCCAAACCCAACCAAGTGTTAAACGGAGAAAATATGAGACGCGAGCTTTAATCAAAACAAGTAGTCTGTGATAGGAAACGTTTCGCTGTAAATCACTGGAGGAACACTCGAATATCTCAACTCCCCTCGCTCGCCCCCCTCCCTTCCTCTTCAGGTGTACAGCAGCAGTGGCAATGCGTTGTGTAACGGCAATCCGTCCATTGTTAGCGAAGGAAGAAAGAGCTTTCCAAGTGGCCATGCGTCAGGTATGTGTGTGCCTCATCTCATATGCCCCTTTGCTTCCTCTTTCTGACCTACAACTCCTGACCTGGACCTTTTTTTAGACCTCCGTCTTCTTTTGTTATGTGTGAACCATTAATTGACTGTACGCATTGTCCCTCCATGTCCCATCCCCCCCCCTTTCAAACCCCCCCTCCCCCTTCCCCCCCCTTCCCGTTCCAAATGCAGTGTCCTTTTCAGGCCTGGCCTATCTCTCTCTCTTTCTAGCAGCCAAGCTCCATTCAATCTCATCCTCCTCCGCTCACCTCTGGCGCCTCCTGCCCCCTGCGCTGCCGCTGGTGGGGGGAATTGCTGTTGGAATCACGCGCATCGATGACTACTGGCACTTTCCTTTTGACGTCTTTGTTGGCAGTCTCATCGGTGCGTGGTTGATCATGCCGTAATTGTACATAGCTGGCTCTGGTTTGTTCCTGCCTGCTTGTATGCTATGTGCTCGCAGCTCTACTGTTGACGTGTTGTAGTCTTTGTGTACAAGACCATAAGGACGCGGCGAGTGAGCGGCTTTGTTGGCGCATCTCCTCCCTCCCTGCCATCTTATAGTTTCATTGTGCCCAGCGGGTCTGTTTTCAAACCCTGTAATATCTCCTGCCTTGCGTGTCCTCCTCCCCACTTCTCGACGCAGCCTCTTTCTTCCTCTCCTTACCTGTCTCCTTCCTTGGCGCTTTTTGTGATGCAGGCATCTCCTTTGCTGCTATCTGCTACTTCATGCATTACCCATCGCTGCGCCATGATTACTGTACGTTACATTCTCACCTGACCTTGTGACATAGGTTGATTTCGAGACGTCTTCAAACCAATCTCCTGTGCTGCTGTGTGCTACTTCATCCACTACCCATCTCTGCATCATGACTACTGTACGTTACATTCTCACCTGACCTCGTGACATAGGTTGGTTTCGAGACAACTTATAACCAATCCCCTCGCTGCGCCATGACTACTGTACGTTGCATTATCACCTGCGCTTCCTCACATCCACTCCCTCTGCCACCCCCGCACACTGTCTCCCGTCGCCCCTTTTGTCAGTGCCTGTTTCACGATCGTTAGAGCCCTTCTGCTTCTCCTCCCTCTTGTGATTCAGTGGATCTACTCTATCCTCACTCAACAAACATACTCACCTTCATCAGCCCCAAACTCTGTGGTTGCTGCCATTTGGCTGTAGTCACCTGCAAGGGTGTCTATTTCTGTTGCATGCGTGAAGTGTACTCCAGTTGTGTTGCCTCTGGAATGCTGTGTCATGTTTTCGTAACTGTTGTTGCCATCTCGCACGTGTTGCCATCGCGCTCGTATCTGCTGCTGTTATTGACATTATGGAACCTGTCACCACTCCCCTGAATTGGCATATTGAGAAAGCTTGCTTTCTGTTCTTGCAAAGGCAACGTGCTTCATTACAGTTGCAGTAATTACATCATTATCGTCCAACCTAATTATAGATTTTACAAGTATACGACTAGGGTGGGTGGGTGGGGAATGGAACTGCAAAGTTCCGAAATGAAGACGTGGGTGGAGGCCAAAAGGCCTCCAACCCTCGTTATGTACTCGGCGAATAGTAATTCGCCGTTGCCTTGCTTCGCTACAGTAAGCTGCGCTTTCACAATACACATTTTTAGAAAGTGTTACACACTTTAAAAAAAAATCATATTTTTATACTCGACTGAAAAATCGTTCTCATCTCATATGGATCCTGACACCACTTCCCGGGGCTGGCATGTTATCACAACAGGTCATCTCCCTCGCGATGTGGTCAGGTCTGAGGTGTCTAGAGGAGCTGTTTTGGATGACAATATTGACTCTTCGCTGGATGTGCCTGCCAACGGTGATGATGGGTCGTCACAGGTCTGATGCACTTGCAACGTGAGATGAAGTTTCATGCAATCTTAGTGTTTTTGGATGCAATACTCCGTATCTGGCAGCGGATACACATGATGTGTAGCATGCACAGGAAGTCCCGAGCGTGTTATCCCTAGTTGCTGCTCTCTGGAAGCATCACCCCCTGCTGGACTTGGATTGTGTTTCCTATCAGTACTTCACTTTCCCTCTGAATTTAGGCTCTGTGTATAAATGGGCTGATTGAAGGTTATTTGTCTGCATGCACAGCACACGTAGCATGCCCACCAAACCCCAGTAAGGTAACAACTTCACTTAACTGTACTCTCTTGTTCTTCGCAAGGAAGTGTTCTACAGCGACCTGACCTGACTAACTGTTAACACTGCAACTCCAACGCGGGTCTCTCGCGCTCCCCTTATTGCGGTGGGGGCAGGGAGACCGCGGCATGTGTTGTGATTTTCAAAGAGTACATGGAAGTCAGGCTAGGCTGAAAAATGGGCGGAGGTAGAGTGAAGTTAGAAGCATTTTATATTGAAAGAAATATATTCCTTCGTGTAAGGAAGTGCTCCATATGGCAGTAGTCTGTTGTGTAGAATTGCCTCCTAATTCTGGCTAGGTGCATCGAATGAAAGTGGCAAGCGTATGGAAATGCGGTGATTTGTCGATCATACAGTGCTGTCGCGTTGTGATGCTCAGTAAATTCGGTCCAAACCACCGACTGTGCGTGGTTGGCCAAGGAGGAATTGACGTTGGGAGGAGGCACGTGCGCATACAACCCTAGCCTGCACTTCAGCTCACAATTCTGCCCACCAGATCAGCGAAATGCCATCATCAGCATCAGGTAGGGTCCGATCTGATGTGGATTTCCCAAAGCTGCCATGCACAGCACAGCCATGACATGGCGGCGATGCCGTTGTCGGCCCTTCCCTCCACCCAGAGGTCAAGCTACCTGCCGTTTTGCTTTTCACGCATCGATGGAGTCATTTTCGACAGGCACTCGACTCCACTGGCCTCATCGATGAGGGAGGGACTTGCAACAACGAGACACATACACCCCCCCCTTTATCTCGTGTCCCACCGGTTTCCCCCTCCCCGCACGGTTTCCGCAACATGCCCGCTTGCGGTGACCTGTCCGCTTCCCCCACATAATTCCCCTGACCGGATCCCGACTCCCCCGAGTTCCGACCGAGTCCCGACAAACCCAACTTTCTTCCAGCCACCATTCCCCAGAACGGGATTCCCTTTCTGCCACGGTGGCAATCTCAGCCAGTGGCGTTCCACCTGACCCACCCTCGTTGGACGCGACGGCTTCGCCTCATCTGCCCCTCCCCTTGTGATGTGCTTTCGCGCGAAAGCACCTGCTTCAGTGCGCATCTCCTCCCCTTCCCTCCTCACTTCCTCCCCCACCCTGCAACCTCTCCCGCCTATCCTGTGCCTCCGTCTCCGCCATGTCAGCCAATCGCGCAACACCCTTGCTCCGAACCTTGCCAGCGCAACAGCCGAGCAGCCGAACGGTCGACCCGTTCGTTGTTCTCGAGAAGTACGCCCAGGTTCAGCGTACGTCTACCCTACACTACAGCGATGAGGCTCAAGAAACAGACATATTGATGGTGGTTCTCTGTACTGTAACACGAATGGTATGGTGTGTGGGCTGGGGAGGAGAGATTGTGGTTCTCAGAACACCATAGAAACTGCATGATTGACAGGAAGCTCTTATCCTTCCTCTCGCTCTCCTACAGGCTGTAAGCTGCTTTTTTTCAGCCAGTGGCTGACGTCCTCTTTGGCTGTTCATATCCAAGGACAAGCTCGTCCGTCTTGCAAGCTGCCTGCACTTGGTTCCCAGGTCTTCCGGAAACCCTAAGAGTTTTTTCTCAGGACTGCCATATCTCACAATTTTAGTAGACTATCGGAGTGTTAGCGTGCAAGCTCAGAGAGTCAAGGATTTTTGTGTGTGTTATTTTTCCCGAGCTCTTTGTGCTGGCTGCTTAGACACCAACAACGAGAGCTTGGCTTCAAGATACCTAAGCGAATATAGAACCATATTATGCGCATGGCTCCCTCTCCTACTCTCCAGCTGCTGCAGACCACTCATAACACCTCCTCAATTTCTGGCTCGATTTTAAAGCCTGAGCCCGAGCATCCCACGAAGCACGAACCGCAAAACTCATCCTCGTCATTCAACTTCTTCAATACCCCCTCCGCGTTTACCGCCGTCTCTTCCTCGCCGTCCGAGGCTCTCCCGCAGCAAGCCGCTCTCGCCTGCAAGTTAAACCCGCACATGGGACGCGGCTCGCCTGACCGCTCCGCCATTAATTTCAACTCAACTCATCCTTTTTTACAAAGCCAACATCAGCATCAAGCACTGTTGCAGCAAGTTCATGCACAGCAGCACATGCAGCAGCAACAGCAATTGCAGCCGGATATAGTAAGGCCACAACAACAGCAGCAGTCACAGCAACATCAACACATGCAGCAGGACAGCGCACATCGCGCTTCACCGCAGCCTCTCTTCGCCAAAGAGGAGCCTCGTTCGCCCTCGTTTGGTGCCGGCATCTCCGGGAACGGCCGCGAGCCGACTCCCACTTTTGTCTTCATGAGCCCGTCGCCTAGTCTCGAGCAGTCGCAGCAACAGTCGCAGCAGTCGGCGGACCAATCGCAGCGCTCCAACAAGCATCATAGATCATCCAGCGCTCCCTGCGTGCGTCCCAATCGCGAGTTCGCAGGCGAGCCTGGCGACGGCGACGGCGACGGCGACGTCGACGTCGAGTCCGATCGCAAGCCCGTCGTGCGAACGAAGCTGGAGCCATCCGGGGAGGCAAGCAGCAGCTCACTCGGCAATGGCGCGATCGTGCCCGTCGGATCTTCGCGATCTAACGCGGAGGACCTAGCGGCCTTCGAGCCGGTTAGCGTGTGGGGTAACTCGTCCCTAGAAGAAGCGGATCCGGACATCTGGCGATTAATTCAGGGAGAGAAGCGGCGGCAGCGGAGCTGCCTGGAGTTAATCGCGTCGGAGAATTTCACCTCGCAGGCGGTTCTCGAGGCGCTAGGGAGCCCGATGACGAATAAGTACTCGGAAGGGATGCCCGGAGCGCGGTATTACGGCGGAAACCAGTGGATCGACGCGGTGGAGAATCTGTGCCGCGACCGCGCGCTCGCCGCGTTTCATCTCGACCCGCAACGGTGGGGAGTGAACGTACAGCCGTACTCGTGCACGTCGGCGAATTTTGCGGTTTACACGGCGCTTCTGACGCCAGGAGATCGGATCATGGGATTGGATCTTCCCTCCGGCGGGCATTTGAGTCACGGGTTTTATACCAACGGCGGGAAGAAAGTCTCCGGCGCGTCGATTTATTTCGAAACGCTTCCTTATAAGGTGAACCCCGTTACTGGATTAATCGACTACGAGCGGATGGAGGAGAAGGCGCAGGAGTACCGCCCGCGGCTGCTGGTGGTGGGCGGAAGCGCGTACCCGCGCGAGTGGGATTTCGCGCGGTGTCGCCGCATCGCGGACAAGTGCGGCGCGATTCTTATGTGCGACATGGCGCACATTAGCGGGCTCGTCGCGGCGCAGGAGTGTAACAGCCCGTTTGATTTCGCCGATGTGGTAACCAGCACGACACACAAGACGTTACGAGGACCCAGAGGCGGGCTTGTTTTCTACCGCCGCGGTCCCATCGTCTTTCCCCGCAGCGCCGCTGCCGCGTCGGCTACCATGGGCGCGGCCGGCGCCGGCGGAGGGGAAACCGCCGGGAATAGCGGCGGCGCGTCGGCAGCAGGCGCGAACACCGCGCGTTGTTGTTGTGGAGGCAGCAACTGCTGTAAAAACGGCGCAGGGGGGAGCGGGGGAGGCGGAGGGGGAGGAGAGGCGGCAGCAGGGGGAGCGAGTGCTTCGCCGCCGCCTCCGCCGTCGGCGCGGGTGCCGGTGTACGATCTGGAGGATCGAATCAATTTCGCGGTGTTCCCGTCCATGCAGGGCGGCCCGCACAACAACCACACGGCCGCGCTCGCCGTCTCGCTCAAGCAGGCGGCGTCTCCCGCGTTCCGCGCGTACATGATCCAGGTATGTTTTTATGCGCGCGGCGCCTGTTCTTGCTTTTTCTTTTCCTTTTTTGTGCGCCTGTGCTGATGTCAATTGCAACCATGCTATTCGTAATTCTCTCTAGTTTCGCATGCCATGAGGTTTCCGAGTCTATGCGACCTTTTTGGGCCCGTTCGCACCCTCCCACTCGTGTTCCTCCCTAACGCCCCTCCGCTCCGCCCTTCTCCTTTTCGCCCCGCCCTTCTCCTTTTCGCCCCGCCTGTCCTCCCAACGCGCCATCCAGGTGAAGCGCAACGCGAGGGCGCTAGCAGCGGCGCTGGCGCGGCGGGGGTGCCGAATAGTGACGGGCGGCACGGACAACCATCTGCTGCTGTGGGACCTGCGCCCGCTCGGCCTCACGGGGGGGCGATTCGAGAAGGTGTGCGAGGCGTGCAGCATCACGCTCAACAAGAACGCCGTCTTTGGAGACAACTCGGCCCTGCCTGGCGGCGTCCGCATCGGTGAGTAGCGTGTCTGTGTGTATAGTCTCTGTGTATAGGCTTTGGCCTTGCAAGTCTGCTGTGCTGGAGTCAAGAATCCGTTTGAGAATGATTGAGGATATTTGCAAGTAGCTTTTCTTGACTTCACCCCTTACTCTCTTCTCTCCTCCCTCGTTCTCTCCTCCCTTCGCTGAAATTTTGTTTTGACGCGCCTCGGTCGCAACGCAACTCAACCTTTCCTTCCCTCCCTTTCCTCGTTCCTTTTGGCTCCTCCAGGCACGCCAGCTATGACCACACGCGGATGCAAGGAGGCGGACATGGACAGGATTGCCGACTTCCTCGTGAGGGCCGTGCAGATCGCCCAGCGCTCGCTGCACTCGCAGCGCCTGCAGCTCTCCCTCTCGCCCTCCCCCGCAGCTGCCTCTGCTTCACCTGCCACTGGAATGCTCTCTGTTCCCAGTTCGAGTGGTGGCAGTGCTGCTGCTGGCCCTGCTACGGCAGCGGCTGGCGGTGGTGCTGCTGCTTCCGGCAGTGGTGGTGGTGCTGCTGCTGCTGCTGCTGCTGGTCCTATGGGGTCTGGAGGAAAGGGTGGGGTGAAGAGTGGGGCGCAGATGATTGGAGGGAAGAGGCCAAGGAGTGGGATGGGGGCAGCGGCAGGGGGGGCAGGAGCAGGGGGGGTAGATCAGCTGGCTGATTCTGCAGAAGTGCAGGAGCTTCGGGCAGCTGTAGAAAAGTTTGCGGAGAAGTTTGACATGCCCGGGGAGAAGATGCCGAGGAGATGTGATGATAACGAGGAGAAGCCGAGGTTGGGGGATACTGGTAGATCGGTCACTGATGGACAATAATTGTGAAGGTTGCAGCAGAGATGGATGGGGAGGGGAGGGGACGACAATGGAATGGACAGCGATATTTGGACGCAACCTACCAGTATATTTCTTGTGGGTACCAGCTGGTACGGTATTCCTATGGTTTGATTTTCCTTCTGGTAGTTGATCTTGCTTCCAAGTCGTTCCCACCCGATTTTGTTGCCTCTGTTGTAAGGTATGAGCTCCTCGTTGTATTTGTAGATTGTAGAGACCGCAATCCAGTCAGGCAGGGTTATTTCACATTGTATGTGCATGCCGTTTGGTTATAGAGTGTAGTGAAATATGAGAATTGCTATGCATTTGCACCATGAAGAGACAGGCCATTGCCTGTTTCAGTTTAGTTTACAGTAGACCTGTAAAACTCAGGGCTAGTTCAAAAGGGTGAATAAGCGTTCGGCAACCAATGGTACAGCAACCAAGTCCAATGCCTGATGGTGGACTAATCAATGCCTATTTGAAGTTTCTAGCATGGTACCGTATTAGTTAAACTTTGACTGTTACCGTACGTTGCTGTAGAGATTTTCACTACGGTACTTTGAAGACATTATGACAGTATTTATTGCTGCAGCAGCTGAGTGTTTACTCTTAGAGCTCGCGTCTCATATTTACAAGCATTTAACACCTGGGATTTCGCCAACCAGTCACGGAGCCCAACCAAGTGTTAAACGCAACCAACCAAGTGACAAACGGAGAAAAATATGAGACACGAGCTTTAAGCAGTTACATTACATGGAAGCATTGCACAAGCCTGAGCTATCGTCACAGAATCCATCTTTGGATAGAAACTTCTTCGGTGCATCGCTCAATAAAGGGGACGATGGAGAGCCGTATGCATTGCCCCTGCGGTTACCACACCCAAGGCTCCTCCTTGTATCCATGCCTGTCACAGGGTTCTCCCCTTTCGCGTACTTGCACAGTGCCTGTTGAAGGCGAAGGGGTGGGAGGTATGGGAGGTGTTACATGTTTGTGGGAGATGCCAGGGAGACTAAAAAGCCCTTGTGACCATCCCTGTCACTGGGTTCTCCCCTTATGCCGCTTGCTTACTGGGAGGAGTGGGAGGAGTTGGAGGAGTGGGAGGTGTGGGCGGCGTGGGAGGTGTTACATATGTCACTGACACAGAGGAGGCCCTCACGTCACTGGGTTCCCCCCCCTGGCTTACTTGAACTGTGCCTCCTGCGTGTGTGCCTCTCATGGATGCACCTGCTTCTGTGGCAGGTCGAGGATGGCGTCGCTTTAGTCAGCACCGTCCACGATGGCCCCTCCCAGGTCGACTCAGAAGCCACAGTGACTACTGAAAGATGTACCCCCCACTGAGTTGACACGAAACTGATGACTGATATACCCTCCAAGTCGAGCCTTCACCAGGCATACCTGTTTCTGCGGCAGGCCGAGGATGGCGTCGCTGTAGTCAGCACCGTCCACAATGGCCCCTCCTCGACTCGACTCCCAACTGCTTGCAAGTATACTCGGTAAGGGTGCCGCCACCAGACGCACCTGCTTCTGCGGCAGGTCAAGAATGGCATCGCTGAAGTCAGCGCCGTCCACGATAGCCCCTCCCAGGTCGATGCGGAATCCACTAAGGTAACTGCCAATTACTTCCAGATATACACGGTAAGGGTGGCGCCACCAGACATACCTGCTTCTGCGGCAGGTCAAGAATGGCATTGCTGAAGTCAGCACCGTCCACGATGGCCCCTCCCAGGATGATTCAGTAGTCCGTGAGTCGACCGCCAACTACTTGACACCCCCTAGTGCTGGCCACACCGGACATACGATACCTGCTTCTGCGGCAGGTCGAGGATGGCGTCACTGAAGTCAGCCCCGTCCACAATGGCCCCTCCCAGGTCGGAGCGAGTGAGCACCACGCGCAGCAGCACTGCGTCCGTCAAGTTCGCCTCATTCAACACCTGGAAGGTGCGACAAACCCAGAGAGCGACAAGATTAACAGCGTGGGACTAGGCGTTGCGTCCCACAATGGCCCCTCCCAGGTCGGAGCGAGTGAGCACCACACGCAGCAGCACCGCGTCCATCAGATTAGCCTCATTCAGCACCTGGCAGGCGTAGCAGAAACAGAGCATGGTGAGATAGCTCGCAACGGTATCACCCGCAGCAGCACTGCATCTGTCAGATTCGCCTCGTTCATTACCTGGCAGAAGCGTCAAACCAGGAGTAGGTAAAGATCAACGACGGGGGACACAGCATTGTGGCCCATGAGGACCACAGTGCCGCAATGAGGCCAGATTGTCAGTGCCACATTCGCCATAACATCGTCAGTGTTTCCAAGGCGCCACAGAGGTCTATCGTTGAAGTAGATCCGCCTCATCAGAGGTCGTCTCACTGTTGCCTCACTTCACAGCATACCACCAGAACCGACGAGGGTAATTTAGTGTGCAATTTCGCATGCTGTACTCCGAGATCGAGTCGATTTCACCCAGCATACCGCCAGAACCGACGAGGGATGCCCGAGGCTCTCGAGAGATTTACCCAGCACACCGCACCTCAAGGATTGCGGGAGCACGACTCACCATTCTATCCATGAGCGCATCTGTAAAGTCCGCTCCTGGATGACCAAGCAGAGGGCGGGAAGGGGAGGGGGAGGGGAAGAGGGGACGAAAGGGAGGAGAGCAGAGGGGGAACGGAAACTGAGACACAAGATGGGAGGAGCGAGAAGGAAGGAAGATATATAAAGAGGAAGAGGAGGCTGCCAGAATTGCATTGCATGATGAGCAATGCAATGCAATTGCAGTCCGTCAAAGGACTGTTCCGCCCTTCAAGGGTTGAACCCACCCTTTAAATTGGTGCGTGCTAAACTCACGCTCGAAGTTGGTGCGGTAAGCAACAGCCTTCTCGAGGTACCCCCACGCGAACACGCTTCCGCTGAAGTCCGCCTCGCGACTTTCGAGGCGCTTCAGAACAAGACCGCCTTACCCTCTCGCGAACGTGATTCCGTTTAAGATTGCGTGCTATGAGAAGAGTTTTGAGGCTCCTTCTCACCCTCGAAGTTGGTGCGGTAAGCGACGGCCTTCTCGAGGTACCCCCCCGCGAACACGCTGCCGCTGAAGTCCGCCTCGCGCATGTCCGCCGACGTGAAGTTGGCGCGCCGGAAGTTCTCGTTCCGGTGCACCGTCTTCCTGCGCCGCCGCGCGGAAAGAGGGAGGGGAGCGGGCGGGGGAGGTGGGGGGAAGGTGGGGTGGGTAGGAAAGGTGCAGGTTGAAATGTTTTTGCTGGTTTTGTTTTCTTGTAGGACAACACACAGGGTATAATAATTCTCTTAAAAGTCCGTGGCGCCGCGTTTGAAGTAAGGCGATTAGATGCTTCACCTTAGGTCGGCGGAGCCGTATTGAGCGGCGGAACCGATGCCGAACTCGCCGCGCGTCTCCGCCTCGAAGCGGTTCAGCGCCGCCTGCGCCGCGTCTGGCGGCAGCCCCACGGCGCCGAGCGCGAGAGATCCCGCGATCGCCGCCGCTGCGAGCAGCTTCGCTCCGGATTGCGCTGCGTGTCCTGCCGTACGCGATACAAGAAAACGCGGCGTAAGAAGCAATGCGATGGAAGGATGTGAGAATCCAGGACTGAAGGGTGCCTGGGCAAGGTAAATCGCCCTGATGAGACATCATCGGCCGAGGGAACAATTTTAGACATTTCAAGACAGGGGTGATATAGTTACTAGAAAGGACTGGTCCGTTGCACTGCCGCGATTCGGTCAACTCGGTCAACTCATTCAAGGTAAAATATGAAGGTGACACGTGGACGCACTTGGCCAGTCTTCGCCGTCGATCTGAGCACGAATCGCGAGAGCCGCGTTTCGTCTACGGACTCCGGGAATGGAGGCCACGTGGCGTTTCAGCGACGACGACGATAGCACCTCCGATCCCAGAGTCGAGGCGACGCCGACGGATGCGCTGCGGGAGACGCTCAGGGAGCTCACGGCAACGGCGGACGCGGCCATTGGTGGCGTAGAGTTGGCTGACCTCGAAAGGCGTGAATTGGTCTGTGAATAAATGAGGCGAATACAATAGATGCGATCGATTTTGGACTGATGAAGTTTAGTTGTTTCCTTGGTGGTGTGTTGCTGCGAGAGGAAGTGTAGCGAAAGCGTCCGAATATACAGGTTTGACACGATGTTTAGTGAGTTTTAAAAAGGTTCGGGTAGTAGGACACTGCGATCAGTCAGCGAGTCGCGATGTAAAGTGGGTTGGGGGGAAGGGAAACGTGGCCCGAGCCGCGCACGCCTGGAAAATCGTACCATTGATCGTCAGTCAACGCGGAGCAAAGGAGACCCTGGAAGCCTCATCTTGCCAGCGTGGACATGCTGATATGGCGAGTGAGAAAACGAGCCACGAGTGTGCGAGCAGAAAATTGCAGTCCAGTGAGGAAGCGGGAAGCGAGCTTTCCACAGCATCCCACCAGCAACCACGTAAGCGAAAGATTTGAACTCATACGGCTTATGGTGTTGATCCAACTACAAGATACTAACCGTTTCAGAACTTTTACTCGTTAGATGTTACAGAAATCAGAAAGGAATGCAACCACATCCTACAACGCTGGCCAATTCCTGCTCGAAATTCAATTGAGCTCGTCAGCAATCACGTTCCGGTTACTCCCGTCCCGTCCCATTAGTTGCTGGCCATGCGGCCGACGCGGGGCTCTAGCCGGCTAGTCGCCTCCCTACTAGCACTGCTCGCGATCGTTATCGTTTGGTTTGCGTTCCTCAGCGGTCTCCTCTCCTCCTCCTCCTCCACCTCCTCTCCTTCCACCTCTCCGCCAAACGTGCAAAGTAGCTTCGGCACCGGCAACGTCGGATCAGTCTCAGGGAACACAGCTGGCCTGTCAAACGCACCAAAAAACATCTTCCAGGCGAATTTCCGCAATTCAGGAAGGTGGAGCGCACAGGGATCGGATTTGACGAATCGGATTTTGACGAATTCCTCGGGATCTCCGTTAGGGAAGGGTTTATATCCCAGCGGCACTCTAGAAGGCGGTTTGCAGCCCGTTTCCGTAGGGAACGGTGGCCAGAATGCTGCTGCTGACGTGGACGAGTTTGATTGGTCGAGAGCGAGCCAGTCTCTGCCATGCGATCTTGCAGATGCGCTCCAGTGGCAGCCGCATTTGCCGGCCGCGGCTCTGAGGCGCGCGGTGTCTTATAAAGGGGATATGCTGCGGCTGGACATGTTCCTGTACAAGGTGTGAGCATAGAGAGTGCGAGAATGGCATCTATATTTTGAATTGTGAACCCAGACCGTGGAGAATATGGTGCTGCTTGCACTGAAGATCAGTCAGGCTCCTCTTTTATTCAAGACCATAATCAAGCCCGCACCTTCCCCCCTCCCTCCCCCCCCCCCCCCCCCCTTTTCCTTCCCCCCCCCCTCCCCCTCCCCCCCAGCTGGTGGTGCAGCGGCTGCCAGTGACAGTGGCGGTGGTGGGCGGGCCAGTGGCCTTCCTCTCGGCGGGGCACAGGGGGCCGCAGCCGGTGCTGTTCAACCAGGGGCTGTATGGGACGAGTGGGGAGCGGAGGTGAGTAAATTGGGTGCGCACTGCAAGCACTTCGTTTGCCCAGTGGCATTCCTCTCTGCGGGGCACAGGGGGCCACAGCCGGTGATGTTCAACCAGGGGCTGTATGGGACGAGTGGGGAGAGGAGGTGAGAAAGAGGGAGGTTGGGGAAGTAGAGGGGTATGGGGAGTAGGGGGAATTGGGGGAACAGCAGGGAGGTCAGGGATTATGAAACCAGTGGCCTTCCTTTGTGCAGGGCACAGGGGCCCTCAGACAGTGATGTTCAACCAGGGGCTGTACGGGACGAGTGGGGAGCGGAGGTGAGGAACAGGGAGGTTGGGGAAGTAAGAGGGGTATGGGGAGTTGTATGCTGAATCTGTTTTCTGAGAATACGAAAAATAGGGGAGTCGGGGGAGCAGGGGGGGTGGGCATCATGGCGCCAGTGGCCTTCTTCTTTTCCGGGGCACAGGGGGCCGCAACCAGTGATGTTCAACCAGGGGCTGTACGGGACGAGTGGGGAGAGGAGGTAAAGGGGAGAGATGGTGAGTTGGTGAGGAGGAGAGGAGCTTGTATAAATGAATCGGACACACAACAGGGCGCAAGGGGGCGCACGTCCCCCTCCCCTGCCCCCACTTCCCCCCCTTTCCCTCCGCTCCCCCATTCCCCCTGCTCCCTTCCCCCTTTCCCTCCAACCCACCTCCTTTTCCCCTCCCACCACAGCCACTCCCCAGCAGCAGGTTGGCTCGCCGCTGCTCTCGACACTCTCGTCCGCGCTTTCCCTCCCCACCTCCTCAATCTCTCTCGTTCCTACCCCTGCCTGCCCCTCCCCTCCACCCCCTCGTGTTCCTCTCCCCGCCCCCCTCCGCTCCCCCCCCCCCTCTCCCCACCACAGCAACTCCCCAGCAGCAGGTTGGCTCGCCTCTGCTCTCGACAATCTCATCCGCGCCTTCCCTCCACGCCACCTCAAGCAGTGGCGCGTGCCCGGCCAATCAGAGAGCGCCGTGGTGGGGGAGCCCTATTGGCTCATCAACCTGGGCCTGCCACGTGGCAGCCTGGCCACGTGGGCTTCGTGTGACGGGTGAGTCAGCATTGTGTTGCTGGGGCGGTGATGTGGGGTGCATGTGTGTGAGGGAGGGAAGGGGAGGGAAGGGGAAGGGAGAGTGAGGGCAGAGTGCTGTGCTGGTTGCCCCAACCCTACTAAAACGCCCCCAATCTCTCCCCACCCGGAGCTACTCTCCTTCCCTGCAGTCGTTGCTTGATAATGCGGACAGTAGCTCCCTCCCTCCCCTGCATTTGAATACGGACCTGGTCTTTACTACTGTCTCTTCCTCTCCCTCCCCAGTCGCCCCTGCCCCGCCCCCCTCTTCCTCCCTCCGCTTTCAACCCCCAAAACGCCCCTTATTTCGCCCCCAGAGCCACCTTCCTGCAGTCCCTGCCTGATGACGTGGATCTGGTCATCGCTGAGCTGGCATTATCCGACCAGGGCGAGGCCAAGGGGCAGGGTCCGGGCTCCTTCCTGCAAATGTACGATACCATACTGCAGCACCTGCTGCTGCGCTGGGGGGGTGGTAGGTCGCCTCAAAGGCCACCTCAGATGCGGCAAGGGAGGAAGCGGAAGGAAGAAGGGTTGGGAGGAGTGAGGGCGGCGGCGGGGGCAGCGGTGGTGCTGGTGAATTTTTTCTCCTTCTGCCGTGGCAACCAGGCATGCAGAGAGGCAGAGGTGCGTGTATCTGAGGTGTGTGGGGTGGGAGCAAGGGGCAGGGTCCGGGCTCCTTCCTGCAAATGTACGACACCGTGCTGCAGCACCTGCTGCTGCGCTGGGGGGGTGGTAGGTCGCCGCAAACCCCACCTCAAATGCAGCAAAGGGAGAAGGGGAAAGAAGGGGGGCTGGAGGGAGTGAAGGCGGCAGCAGGGGCAGCGGTGGTGATGGTGAACTTTTTTTCTTTCTGCCGCGGCAACCGGGCATGCAGAGAGGCAGAGGTGCGTGTATCTGAGGTGTGTGGGGTGGGAGCAAGGGGCAGGGTCCGGCGTCCTTCCTGTAGATGTACGATACCATACCGCAGCACCTTCTGCTGCGCTGGGGGGGGATTAAGTCGCCTCCAGGCCCACCTCAGATGCGGCAAGGGGAGAAAGGGAGGGAGGGGAAGGAAGGAGGGTTGGAGGGAGTGAAGGCAGCAGCAGGGGCAGCGGTGGTGATGGTGAACTTTTTTTCTTTCTGCCGTGTCAACCGGGCATGCAGAGAGGCAGAAGTGCGTACAGGCGCGGACTCAGAAGCGCACTCAGAGGTGCATGCATTTGAGATGGTGGGAGCAAGAGGAGTGTGGGGTGGGGTGGGAGCAAGAGGTGCGAGGAGTGAAGTTTGTTCCCTGAATCCCTTATCCTTTGGTAATAATCGAGTTGACTCAGGAATCCCTCACTTCCTTTTCCTCCGTGCCCCTTCCTCCCCTCCCTCCACCATGCAGGACCCGTTCACTGATGTCTCTCTCCCTCACTCACGTGGGCCCATGTGTAGTGAGTCGAGTTTTGAGTCGACTCAAAACCCTTCCTCCCCTCCCTCCACCATGCAGGACCCGTTCACTGATGTCTCTCTCCCTCACTCACGTGGGCCCATGTGTAGTGAGTCGAGTTTTGAGTCGACTCAAAACCCTTCCTCCCCTCCCTCCACCATGCAGGACCCGTTCACTGGTGTCTCTCTCCCTCACTCACGTGGGCCCATGTGTAGTGAGTCGAGTTTTGAGGCGACTCAAAACTCTTCCTCCCCTCCCTCCACCATGCAGGACCCGTTTACTGATGTCTCTGATAGAATTGGAACTTAACTGATTGATTGATAAGGAAGGCACGAGGCCTTAAGTACAAACACGGTTGGGTTGAGCAAAGCTAGGGAAAGGATGGGATGGGAATCCTAGCAAATCTCCAATTGGTGAGTTGGCAGATTTGCAGGATTACGAGGGAATCCCAACCAGATAGGGTTGGGATTACAAATCTACACCCAACCTACAAAGTAACCTAACCGATATAGAATATAGTACAAAGTGTTGACTGACTATTTCTAATAGTCTCTCTCCCTCACTCACGTGGGCCCATTCTCCTTCCTTTCAACGCCCGTCATCCCCTCCCTTCCCCTCTCTTCCCCGTCTCTCCCCTTCCCTCCCCATCTCCATCCCCCACCATGCAGGACCCCTCTCTCTCCTTCTCGGACGTGGGTCTGTCCTCCTTTGGCCTGCCGCCCCACCACCCTCTCTCCTCCCCTCTTTCGCTGTCTCTCCCCCTTCGTCCCCACCCTCTCCCATGCAGGACCCTTCTCTCTCCTTCTCGGACGTGGGTCCATTCTCCTTTGGCCTGCCGCCCCACCACCCTGCCTACCCCCACTTGGCGCCAGAGACTGTCTCTGAGGACAATACAACAGTGCTCGCGCAGTATTACAGCCTTCCAGTGCTCTCCACCCGAGATGCCTTCTTTACCCTGCTGGGCCAGCAGGTGAGCTGTCCCTCCCTCGCACCTCCCTGTCTCCCCACCACCGCATCAACCTCCCCACCCGCACTCGGCGCCATCGGCAGTCTCAGAGGACAATACAACAGTGCTCGCTCAGTACTACAGCCTCCCTGTGCTCTCCACCCGAGATGCTTTCTATACCCTCCTGGGTCAGCAGGTAAGGGCGCGTTCCCTCCCCACCCCCACTTGTCGCCAGAGGCAGTCTCAGAGGACAACATCACAGTGCTCGCTCAGTACTACTCGCTCCCTGTGCTCTCCACTCGAGACGCCTTCTTTACTTTGCTGGGTCAGCAGGTGAGTGGTTCGTTCTTTTCCACTCCCCGCCACCTCCCCACCACCCCACCGTCCTGCCACCCCACCACCCCCCCTACCCTCACCGGGCGCCAGAGGTTGCATCAGAGGGCAACATCACAGCGCTCGCTCAGTGCTACTCGCTCCCAGTGCTGTCCACAAGGGATGCCCTTTTCACCCTGTGGGTCACTAGGTAAGAGCGGCCAACAGCTACCCTACTGGGCGCCAGGGCGCGTATCAGAGGGCAACATCACAGTGCTCGCTCAGTACTACTCCCTCCCAGTGCTGTCTACAAGGGATGCCTTTTTCACCCTGCTGGGACACTAGGTAAGAGCGGCCACCAGCTACCCTACTGGGCGCCAGGGCGCGTATCAGAGGGCAACATCACAGTGCTCGCTCAGTACTACTCCCTCCCAGTGCTGTCTACAAGGGATGCCTTTTTCACCCTGCTGGGACACTAGGTAAGAGCGGCCACCAGCTACCCTACTGGGCGCCAGGGCGCGTATCAGAGGGCAACATCACAGTGCTCGCTCAGTGCTACTCCCTCCCAGTGCTGTCCACAAGGGATGCCTTTTTCACCCTGCTGGGACACTAGGTAAGAGCGGTCGCTCCTCTACCAGTCCCCCCTGCACCTTCCCCCCCACTTGCCTCACTCACAGTGCTCGCTCAGTTTTACTCTCCCACTACTCTCCACCCGAGGCGCCTTCTTCACCCAACCCAACCCCTGCGAGTGCACACACACACCGCAGGTACCAGGCTACTGGTTGAAAGACCTAGTCGCCACAGGCCCCCCCAGCCTTACCAAATGTCCCCTGTTTCCCCTGCTTCCCCTCCATCTCCTCCTGCTTTCTCACTCACACCACACCCCAGGCACCCGGCTATCGGTTGAAAGACATAGTCACCACAGGCCCCTCCAGCCTTACACTGCACGTGGAGCCAGACTCCCTTGCCTCCGCCATTCCTGCTGCTACTATTATCCGACTAAACTGATCCAGACCTCTTCCCCCCTGCATCCTCACACCCCAGGTACCAGGCTACCGGCTGAAAGACATAGCCGTAGCAGGCCCCTCCAGCCTTCCACTGCACGTGGAGCCAGACTCCCTCGCCTCCGCCATTCCTCCCGCTGCAGTTGCTCCTGACACCGCCGATGATTCTTACGGCACTGCTGGTGGTGGTGCTGGTAGCGGGCCTGTTGACTCCATTGACCCTGTTGACCCGCTTGCACTGGCTGGAGCCTTGCCCACGGCAGAGCAAGCGAGGACCAAGTATGCTGACGTCATCACCGCTCTCTTCCACTCTGCGCTCACAGGCAAGTCAACCTGCTCTCAGCATCTTTCAATCTTGACTTTTCAATCAGCATCTTCCAATCATGACTTTCCAATCAGCATCTTCCAATCATGACTTTCCAATCAGCATCTTCCAATCATGACTTTCCAATCAGCATCTTCCAATCATGACTTTCCAATCAGCATCTTCCAATCATGACTTTCCAATCAGCATCTTCCAATCATGACTTTCCAATCAGCATCTTCCAATCATGACTTTCCAATCAGCATCTTCCAATCATGACTTTCCAATCAGCATCTTTCAATCGTGACTTTTGAGTCGACTCAAAAGTCACCATGCTCACAGGCAAGTCAAGCCAAGTCAATGGTTTCCAGCTTTTCTCAATCAACCAATCAGCAGCATGCGCGTCCTGTCCAATTTAAAATATCTACTTTAGTGCATCGAGCGTGGGGATGTAGCTCAGATGGTAGAGCGCTCGCTTAGCATGCGAGAGGTATGGGGATCGATACCCCACTTCTCCAGAAGAAACAGAAGTGACGACACCCTTTTGGTTCGCTCACCTCACCCAGTCCCCTCCAGTCCCCTCCACACCCACAGGCCTGATTGACCGGCTGACAGAAATCCACTCTGACAACGACACTGCCTCCCTCCTGCCCTTCCTGCTGCGGCCCCCCCCACCACCCTTCTTCTCCCGCTGCCTGCACTCCACCGCCGCCCCCGCCTTCCACCGTCTCACGTCTCTCCCATTGATCTCCCCAATGATCTCCCCTCCTCACCCACAGGACTCGTTCGACCGGCTTACAGAGATCCATGAGGACAATGCCATGCTCTGCCTCCTGTCGCCCCCCTTTCCAACCTCCTAACTCTCTCTGTGACCTCTCCTCCACGCCCACAGGTCTCATGGACCGATTGACAGAGATCCATGAGGATAACGACACGCGCTCGCTCCTGCCCTTCCTGCTGCGCCCCCCACCGCCCTTCTTCTCCCGCTGGATCCACTCCACTGCCGCCTCTGCCTTCCTCCGCCCCGCCCTCCCCCACGCCTGCTTCTCCTTCCGTTCCGGTGCCGTCGCCCCACCTGTGCTGGGCCTGCAAGGGTTCACCCTGCATGGGGCTGGGTCGGTGCATGGAACGGCGGGGAGAGGTCGACCGGGACTGGTGGCACAGGACGATGGTGAGTGGTGCAGGGCGGTGGTGAGGTGACTTAGAGAGGAAGAAATCTCCACGGCGCTTGGCGAGTTTTTTCCCATTTGGGCTGTTGATTGTGGGCTGGATCGTGTGTTGTGGGCTGTTGTTGATCCCGTCTCATAACTAACCAGGGGTGCCTTTTGAGTCGACTCAAAAGTCACCTCGTTACAATGTCACACGACACATTTTGAGTCGACTCAAAAGTCATCTGGGCTGTTCATTGTGGGTTGGATCGTGTGTTGTGGGCTGTTGTTGATCCCGTCTCATGACTAACCAGGGGTGCTGTCTAACTCGCTTGAAGCTGAATTCTATTTGCAAAACACACTCACCAGTGGTTCTACTTCCCCTGTCCCTCCCTTCAGCAGATTCATGGGTAGAATTCATACTCAACACAGCCATCCCCCTTACAACAAATTTCGATACAAGTAACTCGCAGCCGATCCAGCTCACGACAATCCCGACCGTCGTTGAAGTATCCTACCTCGCTCATGCCAACGGTTCTTCTATATTCGGCAAGCTACAGTGCGTGGAGGGTTGCAAGTGTACCGGTGTGGTGGTAACCGCACTCAGCGCATCACCTGTCCCTGTGAAAGAGTCACGGTTACTGCTGGTGTCACGGAACAATGCGTGTGTGATGAGAGTGCAGGGTAGCAGAGGGTTCCATGTGCTGGGAATCACTGTGCACTCTGTGATGCAGCAGCAGCAGGACCAGCAAACCCATGCCATGCGCCAAACCATGTAACGCCAACCTAGCATATAGTTATATATCAAGACTTGTTTGGGGAGTCGCGGTTACTCCTGGTATCACAGAGCAATGCGTGTGTGATGGGTGCAGGGTAGCAGAGGGTTCCATGTGCCGGGAATCACTGTGCACTCTGTGATGCAGCAGCAGCAGACCCAGCAAACCCATGCCATACGGCAACCCATGTAACAATCTCTTGTGTACAATCATGCTCTCTCCAGGTTTTTTCCGATGGGGGCAAATACTTTTGAGAGAGCTCATAAGTTCTCTCCAGTAATGGTGTCTATCCAATCAATGGGAAGATGACAATTCTTTCACGCATTAGTACAGCAACTGTACTGTACATGTGCGCAGCACATCCCATGGTTACTGGCCTATGAATGCTGAGTCTATTTTTTAGTCGACTAAAAAATTGGTATCCCTCTTGAGTTATAGAGATAGAGCACACTGTAAAACCAGTGTGCCGATGAATGATGCATACCTTGTAGCCCTCTCGCTTGTTGAGACGTCTCAAAAGTTGAATGCCAATCTACCGTATATCCCTCTGAAGTTATAGAGGTTGAGCACACTGTAAAACCAGTGTGCCAATAAATGATGCATACCTTGTAGCCCTCTCATTTTTCCACGCATGTTGGCAGGTGCGAAACAAAGTGAGGGCATCGAAGGTGTGCTAACAGCCGCCACCAGCCACCACCAGTCACCACCAGTCACCACCAGTCAATTAATTTGATACAGCAGTCGTCTCTGCCTTCCCACCTAAACCCTTGCTGCGAGCTCTACCGTTGTTAGCTGCATCTTCTGCTGCTGCTGGCGACGCTTGCGTTGGTGGTGGTGGCGCTGCTGCTGCTGCTGCTGCTGCTGCTGCTGCTGCTGGAGCTGGTGATGCTGCTGCTGCTGCTGCTGCCGTTCCAGCAGGTTCCGCTGCTGCTGGCCCTGCTGTCCCAGCAGAACGAGATTCAGTCACCTTTTCCTCTCGTGGGTGAGGAGCAAGTGGCGTGAGCAGCAGATTCACCTCCCCGGCGGGCCGCAGGGTGATCATGGCGCGGGGCACGGGAGGGGGAGAGCCCGCGGGGAGAGAGAGGGAGAAGGACTGGAGGATGCGGGCGAGGACGAGGGAGGCTTCGAGCAGCGCAAAGCCCATGCCGATGCAGTTCCTGGGACCCCCTCCAAACGGCCAGTAGGCGGGGTTGTCGGCTGGAGGAAGGGCGTCTCCTCCTGGTAGCCAGCGCGACGGGTCAAAAACAAGAGCTCTGGGGGGAGGGGAGGGGGAGGAGAGGGGGGAAAGACGTGGGAAATATGGGCGAAGAAAGAGGGTAAGCGAGAGCGAGAAGGACTGGAGGATGCGGGCGAGGACGAGGGAGGCCTCGAGCAGCGCGAAGCCCATGCCAATGCAGTTCCTAGGACCCCCTCCGAACGGCCAGTAGGCAGGGTTGTCAGTGGGGGGAAGGGCGTCTCCTCCTGGCAACCACCGAGATGGGTCAAAGGTGAGAGCTCTGGGGGGGAGGGAGGAGGGCAGAGAGAGGGGAGAGATGGGGGGTGAAGGGGCAGGGAGGGGAAGCGAGAAAAGGGTTCGAAGATGTGGGTGAGCAGGAGCAGCACAACCTTTCGGTTATTCCAACAACGAGTGTCAGTGTTTACGTGCTACATGTGGCAGCAGCATCGGGTCAGGGGGCACCAAACGTGGCAGTGGCAGCATGGAGGTATACCATACCATCATGGCTTGGTGCAAGACCAGTTTACATACTATGGCCTGGCAGACTCTATGGCCGCAACATTGGAAGCACGTCTATCCCTGGGCACAGTGGTACGTTGTGCGCGCGTGCGCACCCGCCTCTCCTCGGCACCCGCACCCGCACCCGTCTCGTCTCACCTGGGCCAGTGCTGAGGGTCGCGGTGCAGCAGGTACGGGCTGACAAGCACTGTGGTGCCTTGAGGCACACGCCACCCCCCCTCCCCAGTCCAAGAACATGTTTGTGCACACACAGCACATGGCTCCACAACTCACCGCTCCTCACTGCCCCACGCCCCACCTCTCTCCGCTGCTCACCTGGGCCAGTGCTGAGGGTCGCGGTGCAGCAGGTATGGGCTCACACGCACCGTGGTGCCCTGAGGCACACGCCACTCCCCATCCCAGTCCTCCGGGTTGATGCGCTGTGCACGCATGTACACCAAGTGGTCCCTGCCTCTCCTCCACCTCTCGCCTGGGCCAGTGCTGAGGGTCGCGGTGCAGCAGGTATGGGCTCACACGCACCGTGGTGCCCTGAGGCACACGCCACCCCCCCCCCGCCACTCCCCCCCTTCCCAAGTACATGTTTTCCCACAGCATTTGCTCCACGCCTCACCGCCCCTCACTGCTCCACACCGCTCCTCACTGCCCCACACCACTCCTCACTGCCCCACACCGCTCCTCACTGCCCCACACCGCTCCTCACTGCCCCACACCGCTCCTCACTGCTCCACAGCGCTCCTCACTGCCCCACACCGCTCCTCACTGCCCCACACCGCTCCTCACTGCCCCACACCGCTCCTCACTGCCCCACACCGCTCCTCACTGCTCCACACCGCTCCTCACTGCCCCACACCGCTCCCCTTTGCTTCTCTCACCTGGGCCACTGCTGTGGGTCGCGGTGCAGCAGGTACGGGCTGAAAAGCACAGTGGTGCCCTGAGGCACACGCCACTCCCCCAGGAGCGTGTCTCGGCACGCACAGCGCCCCACGATGTACGCCGGTGGCATCAGCCGCAGCGTCTCCTGTATCACTGCCTCCAGGTACCTGTGATGGTGGTGGGGGGGAAAGGATAATGGGAGACGTTAAACGGAGTCTCCAAGTCTCGGCACACACAGCGCCCCACGATGTACGCCGGTGGCATCAGGCGCAGCGTCTCCTGTATCACTGCCTCCAGGTACCTGTGATGGTGATGGGGGGGAGAGGATAATGGGAGACATTGAACAGAGACTCAAAGGCTCAACATGCACAGCGCCCCACGATGTATGCCGGCGGCATCAGACGCAGCGTCTCCTGTATCACCGCCTCCAGGTACCTGCGATGGTGGTGGGGTGTATGGGATGGTGGGGGGAAGGCGGTAAGGTAGGGCACACTCCGCTCCCCCAGGCGCGTATCTCGGCATGCACAGCGCCCCACGATGTATGCAGGCAGCAGCAGACAGAGAGTTTCCTGTATCACTGCCTGCAGGTACCTGCCGTGGTGGTGGGGGTGGATGGGATGGTGTTGGAAGGGCGGTATGGCGGGACAATAGAGGCGCCACAGCAGCACCTCACTCACTGCAGCGTGAGTGCAGCTCCGCCCTGGCCTCTCAGCACAGCACCTCCCTCAATTCCACCAGCACTCTCCCGTCCCGCCCTTGCCACTCAATTGAGCTTGGGAACGTCAGCATGGATCGGGATCCGCCCTCCCAGCACCTCCCTTGCCACCCGCCTCTGCTCCTCGGGATGCAGTGCCAGCTGCACGCACACCCATGTCAGCAGGATGGCCCAATCCTGCTGGCATGGGTGTGCGTGGGTGTGCCCACCCCTTCCCTACCACTCTCCCTTCCCACCACTGCCACTCACTTGAGCTTGGGAACGTCAGCGTGAGTGGGGCTCCGCCCTCCCGGCACCTCCTGCACCACCACTTTCCATCCCACTTTCAACTCACTCATCTATCTCCCCTCAACAGCCACTCAATTGAGCTTGGGCACGTCAGCGTGTGTGGGGCTCCGCCCTCCCAGCACCTCCCGCACCTCCACCTCAACACTCCCCTATCCCTCCGTTTACTCACTTATCCCTCTCCCCTCAACAGCCACTCACTTATCCCCCTCCCCTCCCTTCCCACTCACTTGAGCTTGGGAACGTCAGCGTGAGTGGGGCTCCGCCCTCCCAGCACCTGCCGCACCTCCTCTGCTGCCCGCCTCTGCTCCTCCGGATGCATCGCCAGCTGCACACACACCCACGCCAGCAGGATGGCCGATGTCTCCTGGCCCTGGGGGGAGGGAAAGATGCACGAAGAAGCAAAGAGAGAAGGGGGTAGTGAGGGTAGAGGGATGCATCGCCAGCTGCACACACACCCACGCCAGCAGGATGGCTGATGTCTCCTGGCCCTGGGATGGAGAGCAGATGCACGGAGCAGCAAAAGTTTAGTCTTGGGGTTTAGGGTTTGGGGTGGCCCTAAACCCTGAACAGCCATGCCAGAAGGATGGCAGATGGATCGTTCAACCCGCCTCTGCTCCTCAGGATGCATCGCCAGCTGCACACACACCCACGCCAGCAGGATGGCCGATGTCTCCTGGCCCTGGGGGGAGGGAAAGATGCACGAAGAAGCAAAGAGAGAAGGGGGTAGTGAGGGTAGAGGGATGCATCGCCAGCTGCACACACACCCACGCCAGCAGGATGGCTGATGTCTCCTGGCCCTGGGATGGAGAGCAGATGCACGGAGCAGCAAAAGTTTAGTCTTGGGGTTTAGGGTTTGGGGTGGCCCTAAACCCTAAACAGCCATGCCAGAAGGATGGCAGATGGATCGTTCAACCCGCCTCTGCTCCTCAGGATGCATCGCCAGCTGCACACACACCCACGCCAGCAGGATGGCAGATGTTTCCTGGCCCTGCATCGTACATACCGCAACCAGCAGAGTCATGAGCTCGTCCCTGAGTGATTGGTCGTCCATTCCCGAGCCGTCTTCATCCCGAGCCTGGTTAGAGGGGAGGCAGGCAGGTACGTAAGTGCAAGAAAATGGGCACGTGAAGAAAGGGTGTTTTTGAGACGTCTCAAAAACACCCTTTTTTCAAGGGGAGGCAGGCAGGTACGTAAGTGCAAGAAAATGGGCCGACCTGCACTACTGTTCGCTCTTATGTCAGCAGCAGCAGCAGCAGCAGCAGCAGCAGCAGCAGCAGCAGGGGCAGGGGAGGGGAGGGGTGAATGGTGTCTCACCAGCAGTAGTCGAGTGAGCAAATCCTTCCCCTCCTCGCCTCCTCCCTGTGCATTGCCCCGTGTGGCAGCCCACCCTGCCATCTCCTTCCTCCTCTCCTCTATCAGCCGATACACCACCCCATCCAGGCGCTGCACTGCTGCTGTGTACTGCAGATTGTCAGGGGTGGGGAACCACTCGGGGACTGCATGCACGCACATGGGAGAAAGGGGTAGAGCAAGAAAAAGGGAGCTGGTTGGTACACCACCCCATCCAGGCGCTGCACTTCTGCCGTGTACTGGAGATTGTCGGGACTGGGGAACCACTCGGGGACTGCAAAAACACGTGCACACATGAAAACATGCGGAGGAGAAGGAGGAGGGCGAGAGAAAGGGAGTTGGTACAGCAGCACCCCATCCAGGCGCTGCAATGCTGCTGTGTACTGGAGGTTGTCGGGCGTGGAAACCACTCGGGGACTGCACACACGCATGGGAGGAAGGGGGAGAGAAGGAAAGAGGGTGGTGGTTGGTGCATCACGCTGCACTGCTGCTGTGTACTGGAGGTTGTCGGGCGTGGAAACCACTCGGGGACTGCACACACGCACACACACAAGGATGGGAGAGGGAGAAGTGGTGGCATGACGGGACGGGGGAGGGAGGAAGGGAGGGAGGGAGGCAGGCAGGGAGGCAAGCAGGCAGGCAGGAAGGGAGGAAATCCACTCAACTGATGAGCATGCTGGTGGCGCGCTTGGTAAAGAACTCAAAGGCCGTGGAGATGGGAGAGGGAGTGGGGTGTGTGATCAGAGCTGTGGGAAGTCGTTGGGGGTGTGTGATCAGAGCTGTGGGAAGTCGTTGGGGGGGTGTGATGAGCACTCAACTGATGAGCATGCTGGTGGCGCGCTTGGCAAAGAACTCAAAGGCCGTGGAGATGGCGGGCCCCACCTGCTCCACCGCTGCTCCCCCCAACCCGCCCCCGCCAAACAGCGCCGCCACTACTATCCTCATGGTCAGCTCGTTAAAGTCCGCATACACGTCTCGCACCACCAAATCCCCTCCTCTTTCTCCTCGTCCTACTCGGCTACCCGTCCACGTGCCTCCCACCATGTCATCCGCCAGCTCCGCCATGGCCTGAGAGAAAAGAAGAGAGAAGAACGAAAAAAGTAACAACGAACGAAAGATAGAAAGAGAGAATGAGAGATAGAAATGGAAGTACGGAAAAAGAAACAAGAAAAAGGTACTCAGACAAAGGTGGCCATGCCAACGTGGTTACGTGGCAGAGCAAGTAAGAAAGCCAACCCACAGCAAGGCCCAACCCACCGTGGCATATGATAGAATGGCGGCCTTTCTGAATGCAGCGTTGGACAGCCGGCGTTGTCTCTTCCACACCTCTCCATCGCTCACCAGCAGACCCTCTCCTCCCCACCTTCGTGACTTACTTGAGCCGGTTCAAACGCAACCCACCGTGGCATATGATTGGATGGCGGCCTTCCTGAAGGCAGCGTTGGACAGCCGGCGCTGTCTCTTCCACACCTCCCCATCGCTCACCAGCAGCCCGTTCCCTGTCAAGCTGCTGCCAGGGAAGAACGCTGTGCCGGCCTGTTGAGGGGAGGGTGAGGGCACAGGGAGCAGCACGGCACGGAGGGGCAGCACACAGATGGCTTTTGAGGAGCCTCAAAGAACGGCGCTGTCTCTTTTGCACCTCCCCGTCGCTCACCAGCAGCCCGTTCCCCGTCAAGCTGCTGCCAGGGAAGAACGCTGTGCCGGCCTGTTGAGAGGAGAGGCACAGCGGGGGGGGGGCAGTACACAGAGGTCACCTTCGAGTCGACTCAAAGGCCAGCCCGTTCCCCGTCAAGCTGCTGCCGGGGAAGAACGCTGTGCCGGCCTGTTGAGAGGGAGAGTGGGGGGGGCATACACAGAAATAAGCGTCACTGTGTCATTGGTCAGAGAAGCTACTGCTTGATGTAGGGATCTCAGCAGTTTCTGATGGACTGGGAGAGGGCAGTGAGGAAAGCAGATGTGCACGCAGCTTTGCATGCATGCACAGTTCTTTTCACAAGGATACACACTAGCACGTACGCACCTTGATGAAAACGTCAGACTGTGTAACCAGCACCTCCCGTGCTAATTCACTGCCGTGACAGGGTTTGGGGAGGAGGGGAGAAAGTGCAAAGGGGGAAGTGGGGGAAGGGGGAGAGTGGACGAGAGAGGGGGAACAGTGTGTACAGAAGTACGAAAAAGGGCCTGGGGAATGCATGTGAAGAGACATTGGTTGGAAGCTGCATGAAAAGAGACCTGATTGGTGCTTGCTTATGGTTAACCAGAGACGTGATGACTGGGAGGATGGGTGATAAGGATGACAGACGACCAGAGACACTTGATTTGAAAGTCAGACAAAAGTAAAAAAAAAGGTATTCTCAACACGCACGGGTTACTTATAACGAGTACGGGCTCTCCCACCAATCTGACAGTGGCAATGCCGCCTGGGTAGTCCCTGGCCACGTCATCCAGGAAGGCGAGTGGATCTGACGCCAGCCTGACTGCTGAGTCATCAGCAGGTCCAGGTGGCAGCCCCGGAGGCGACGGTTGGATAAGCTTCTGCACACGTGTCACTGCATCACCAATGCTGCTGCTGACGCTGGCAAGGAGATTAGCCTGAGACAGTATCAAAACGGAACAAGAGGGTTCGAGAAGTACAGAACAGAACGAGGAGAACGATTGTTGCTGCTGATGCTGCTACTCAGGGAGGGGCTGACACTTCAAATTCACAGGACTACCGGCATGGATAAAATAAGGCTCACCTGCGACTGCGCGACGGCACCAGCAAGCGCCACGATCAGCTCCGCTTCCGGCGGCGAAAGCGGCGGACCAGGGAACGGCGGTAACCACGGCGCATTTCGAACCCTTTGATCACTTTCCAGTTTTGAACCGTCCCGAGGTGAAACTCCAAAGGAGCCTGACGTCACCATGACGCGAGCAGACGTCCCTTGCAGTGTTCCAGTGTTCTGCTGTTCCCGAAGCTGATTACGAGAGCTCGCGCGATTCGAAGAGTCTGATCGTGCCGTCACGGTGACGTCACGCGGCCGCTCTGGATACGCAGCCAGAGGCTTCGGTGAGTTTAGCTGTCGCACGCGTCTGGGAAAGTTCCCCGAATCTGCTTTACCAATAAACCGCTGTGACTGCCTATTCAGGAAAGCGTGTGAGCTGCCAATCAGAGAGTGATTGGCCGGGATTTGACGGATGACGGTCGGGGTTTGAAACCGAAGGCTCGATCCACAATGCTGCCTCGACGTGAACTCCTTCGACGCATATTGCTGCTGTCTCAGCGGATCCGTGTCTGGGCGAATCCGGCTCGGGACAAGCTTATTGCATGTGTGAGCGGAGAACGCAGTTAGGGAGCCTGTGAATGCGAGACGACAGCGGGAGTGCGTGTGCGAGGCTTGTTTTAATCGCCGATTGCTGTCATTGGAAAGTGTGAGGCGACCAGCTGCGTGAGAGTGACGAGAGAACGTGCAAACGGACACTTTAGGTGCCTCCATGACGCGAAGCCGTGGATGAAAAAAGCTAGTATGCTGACGGAAGCGGTTCGTGCTTCATATCAGTTCGGCGTTTATTCGCGTTCGTGGTTCAGGGCATGATGATGGAGAATCTGTTACTGCACGTACACGTCCGCCTGTTTGGCGAGCAGTCTAGACAAAACGCAGTCTAATCCTTCAAGAACGAAATTCGACGTCTAGAGAAACTACAGCACAATAGCGAAACAGGTACGACTGAAACAAGACAGACACAAGAGCAGGAGGGGCAGCAATGGTGGCCTCGCCGCATAAGCGTAGCGCGCGCCGAAACCGAGGGGCCACATGACGGAATTCCCTAGGTTCACCTGATTACCATCATACGGTCCCGATTCAGGCTCAGCTCTCAGGTTCATGCTCCGATTCGTCGATCAATGTCCTGATGAAAGCGCAAATTCTGGCGACTCAATGCCACTGGGCACCCCGTAACGTGGACGACTGGCATTTTGCAATAATATTGGTATAGCAAATACATGGCATAAGCCAATTATGATAAAAACAATGACATCAAATCAGCCAATAAGCTCCCCAAACTATTATGTCAGCATAAAAGCTTCCCCCATGCACATTCCCCAGCCCAGAACCCAAATAAAGTGCACATGAAACTATTCTCCACAGGGAAGCCGTATTTATTTACCCTTTCAAACTTCACAAAACTCGTCGAGGGTAGCTTCAAGTGCGGCCTTGTCGAAGTCCCCAGTGAAAACACAGTCGCCCAATGAACCCTTCAACAGAATAAGACGCAGCTGGCCGTCCGCTACCTTCTTATCCACCTGCCAAAGTGGAAGCAAGGACACCAGAAGCAAGAACACCCCTAAGCATAAGTCTACAGAGTGAAATGTAAATACGTAGGAGGTGGGTGGAGAGGGTGGGCAGTCGGGCAAAAGGAAATATTGGAAGACATATATCCTTGTGCCTATCAGGCAAACGAGTGTTATCCCTCCCACCCACCATGAGGTTTCTGAACTGCTACTTGGTGACTGCAAGCGAGGGGGGTTACTCAGCCATACACACGTTCCGCAATCGGGCTTCGGAACTTCGCCTTGGTGACGGCAGGGGGGGCGCGTGGGGAGATATCTACCTCCTCTTATCCCACCACAAACTTCCCTTTTGTTCGCATGGAACAACCATAATCCCGTTCCTCCCTTCAACCCTCTCCCCACCCTCGTGCACGCACGTACCGCCATGAGGCTTCTAAATTGCTCCTTGGTGACGGCAGAAGGGGGGCGCGTGGGCAGTCGGGCCCTCTTGATGATGGCCGTGATGCGATCCCGCAGAGCCGCATCGATCCACCCCATACGGTGCGACATGTGAGCTGCCATCACAGTGCCTGCTGCCACCGCCTCCCCATGCAGCCACTCCCCGTATCCTAACCCATTCTCTATCGCCTGGAAGGGAGAGGAGAAGAGAGGGGGGGGAGGGTTAGCCAGTGATTTAAGTGTGCTGCCATCACCGTGCCTGCAGCCACTTTCCATATCCCAGCCCGTTCTCTATGGCCTACAGGAGCCATAGGGGTGTGGGGATGGGAGAGGTAGGGAAGCAATAGAGACAGACACAAGCGGGAGAGATGGAACAAGGTGAAATCCAAGGGGATCATCTGCGAAACGTTTTCCATTCCACACAAATTGCATGGAGGGACTGTTGCTGAGTATTTAACTAAGCGAGAATACAGATGACGTACATGGCCGAACGCATGGCCAAGGTTGAGTGTGCCTCTGAGTCCACCCTCCTTCTCATGCCGAGTCTCATGCAACATGCCACATGCAGCGAACATACATGATACGTGCCCAAAAATGGATAGAAGGATCCAAGTTTGATGGTTGACGTACATGGCCGAATGTGTGGCCGAGGTTGAGCGTGGCTCTGAGTCCGCCCTCCTTCTCATCTGCCGCCACCACCGCCGCCTTGTTCTCACACGACCGCTTGATCGCGTACGCCAGTGCCGCCGTCTCCCTGCCATGCAATCACACAAGCCACACGGGAGCAAAACAACACACAGGGCCCAAAGAAACACACAGGGTCCCAAGAAAAACACCGAGTCCAAAAACAGCAGATGGTCAGGACAGCTTTACACAGGGGAAAAGCCCTTCACGAGCCCACCTCACCATGAAGCAGGAGAAAAAAAAGCACAAAAGCACAACCTAGGAGAGAAGGAAAATGGCATGCTGTCTATTGGGGTGTCAGAAATCTCGTGTGTGGAATAAGTTTCTCACTACTAGCCAGGCATACTCTGCCTGGCAGCTCAAGAGAAGCGAGTATCATCACGCACCCACACTAGCACAGCATCCAAATTACTCATGTAGCCATGGCTGGAATACAGGGGACGAAACAGAGCTCAGAGATGAAACCGGGAGAAACCAGAATCAGGAAAAATGAACTCAGCGCCTTGGGGTGTCAGCAATCTCGTGTGTGGAATAAGTTTCTCACTGCTGACCAGGCATGCTCTGCCTGGTAGCTCACTTGTAGAACAGAGTTTCATCACGCACCCATGTCCGTCCGTATCAGGATTCAGGACATCCGAATTGACTCTCAGGTCCAAGCGGCGAATACAAGGGACGGAACAACAGTAAGTGAATATGGGAGAATCCAAAACCAGAAAAGAGAAATATAGATGTCCGTGTGGCTGGCAGCCAATTTCAGCGTCTTGGGGTGTCAGCAATCTCGTGTGTGGAATGCAACAGTTCACCACTGCTCCTGAAGGAACAGTTCTCGCTGAACAAGTCATCATCATTCACCCCACATGTACCACACACACACGTACACACACATACACATACACACACCCACACACTTCCCATTTCTTTCACGACTTCCCCTCTTCCTCTCCCCCTCAACCTCGTCCTCGTCCGCCGATGGTCAGCAGTCGTTCACATCACACAAGGTCCACAAAATCCACCTCAGGAAACCACCTCCCACTGGAAGTCCTCAAACCATGTTGCCACACGCATCCCCTCTCTCTCACCTTGCCAGCAGCCAACCCATGTTCTAGCTCCTCATGTGTTAAAGGTGAATCCCATGAGGAAACCCAGCTCGTAACGGATAAGCCCGTATTAGCTCCTCCTCCTGCTAGCTCCCTGTGAAACCGCTCACACCACCTCGAGACAGACTTCCTGTAGTCATGAAACCGTCTTTTAACGAGCATCACATTGAATTACTTCCCAGTGAAACCCCTCACCCTACCTCGGACTCCCCTCTCTCTCACCTGGCCAATAGCCGGTCCATGTTCTCCTCCTGCCACTCGAAGAACTCCGCGTCGCGAATGAGCCCGTACTTAATCACCTCCGCCAGCCCCGACGCGAGCTCCCTGTCGGGGAGCGACGCGAGGGTCTCGGTGTCGATGAGAACGCACTGCGGCTGGTAGAACGCGCCTATCATATTCTTTCCCAACCGGTGGTTGACACCTGTCTTGCCGCCCACCGACGAGTCCACCTGGACATAATCATAGAAGAGTAACGAAAGAAGGGAAAAGGTAATAGGATAAACGCATGAAGACGGGTCTGGCTGGCGAAGAGAGAGTGAGAAGGGTTGAAGACGAATGGACATAAGGAAAGCAAGGGGGACGGACGGAAAGGGAGATGGACAGAAGGGGAACAGACGAAGGATACATGACGACATAGAAAGCTTCAGTAAGACAAGGGACAATAGGCGTATCTTGTACAGAGGAGGAGCATACCTGAGACATGACGGTAGTGGGAATTTGAATAAAATTGACGCCTCTTAGGTAAGAGGCCGCGGCGAAGCCAGTCATGTCGCCAACGACGCCTCCCCCGAGAGCCACGAACGTGCAACGCCGGTCCATTCGGGTCTCCAGGGCTCGGTCGAAGATCAGATTGAGGGTTTCCTGTGCGCGGAAGCAGAACGAAGCGTTTTAAAACAGGTTGACGAGGAACAAGGCTTTAATACAAGGCTTGCAAAAAAAAAAAAAAAAAAAAAAAAAAAAAAAGACTTCAAACAGGATAGAAAGAAACGGCTGAACAAAGATGGGAAAATCACAAGAGATATCCACACACCAAGGAAACAACCTACCAGGTCTTTAAACTGCTCGCCGTCTGGCAGCACAACGCTGCGAACCTCCAATTGTGGGTTGCCATGTGTCAGTGCCGAAATAGTCCGCTCTAGGAACAGCGGCGCGATGGACTCATTGGTCACCACCAACACACGTCGGCCCTTGACGTGCCTGAAAACACGGAACGAGATAGTATTAAGGACGGAATGATGAAGAGAACATAAATGGTATGCTACAAACAATAGTACACGAAGGAAACAGGAGATGAGAAACAAAAGACGTAACACCACTCATTGTCGGGCATACTGGGGTGAATAAATTAACGGTTTAAGTCCACACGCGCAGATGGAATATCCACCGTTCATCCTCTTACCTGCACAACAAATCTCCGCGGTCCAGAATTCCCGCGCCAATGTAAATCGGGTAGCTCCGATCTCCCAAATCTACATCCACGACCGTCAGTCCCCGCTCTGCTGACCCACCACTCTCCCTCGCCGCATTCCCCGCCGTCACTGACGCCGTTTCTCCTGCTAAAGGAGCCGCTGCAGCGGCTACCTGAGATTCCAGGTGTCTGGCATAGACCGGCGTAGATAAATTTAATCGCCTAACCGATCGGGTAGATGGCTTAGCGGCTTTAAGGCACCAGTTCGGTTGGCTTGCAAAAAGCGAGCGGGAGAGGGGATCAGAGGCGAGGGCGCAAACAGCGGCGGGAGGAGCCGTGTTTGGTCGGTGGTGAGAGGACGATGGAGCGAAGGGAATCGTTCCGACGCAGCCGAGGCCAACGGCTAGCTCCGAGGCGAGCATTCTGACACAAAGGCTTCCTCGAACGGGACAATGGCTCCGCTGTTGCGGAGACAACACAGGTTGTTTTCAAGAGAAAAGGAGGAATAAATTAGACCATCTAATGTTCATGTGAAGATCCCTGAGGGAAAACTAGAATTCGGTTTCCCCACTTCTAGCTGGTCTGCTGGTCCCTCCGCAACGAAAGGCAAACAACAAATGCTGTTCCGCGGAGGGCGGGCTCCGCCAGCTGGGGAGGTAGCGGGAACTTGGGAGGGAAACAGGGGCAGCGGGAGAATGATGGAACCTGAAATGGGGGGAAATTGAGGGCCGGCGGAGAGGAAGCGCGGGTTGCTTTCTGCCAACGAGCCTTCTTTGTGGCCACGTTGGCGCGAAGCTTGTGGCAGAGGTTGGCTTTAGGAAAGATAGAGTGGACCACGTGGCACAGGCTGTCATGCATTTGAGACCTCTAACTCCAGTTTGCATTCAGGTGTAGCGAAACTCAAACAGATACGTTTTGATAATCGTAACGGCGCACAAGAATCTCCCTGAAACGCGTATGCATTCAAGCTGTGACCTGGTTTTCAGATTTTTCGTCACCTAGAATTTCACCAATGAGCATGGGAAAAGCATTCTAGGTGGAGTTGGAGGAACGGCAGGCAGCCAGTCCGTCTAGATTCTGGCCACAGCAAATAGTTGATCCGCATGCAGCGCATTATCATGCACGATCGACAAGAGTGCATCACGGGCCATCTTCGGCGTAGCCATGGAGCGCGATGAAAGGGTTTCACATGAGGTTGATGGAGAGGCCGCTGACTAAGTGTCGGCTCATCCAGGAAAGCTCACAGCGTACTGCATTCAGGCGATCCGCTCCGCTTCTCCTGCACCGACGCAAGCAGGCTACGGGACTTAGGCCGTCCGTTGGCGAGATACCGAACCGACGCATGTTAGAACAGTGAGAGTTCGGAGCTTGGAAACGCGAGCATGTGGGTGGGATGATTTAGGAAAGTCAGCCGCTGCTGCTCGACGAACCGAAGCGGGAGGCGAGGTGCCCGAGACGCGAAACGCCAAAGTCGATACGAGAGCCCGGGGGGGCGAGAATCGAGAGGTGAGACGCGAGTCGCGAGGCGCGAGAGCCATGGGGGTGCCTCTACTTCTCGACGTGCTCCGCAAGCCAGCAACCACGCTCGTCGTCGCTCTCTGCTCCTTCATCTGGTTCCAGATCCAGAAGCGCGCTATAAGCTACCCCGACGTGGGGATAAGCTACGACGCGGTTGTCTCGCACCGCCAGTTCTGGCGGCTTGCCTCCGCGCCACTCTCGCACATCTCCCTCCTGCACCTCCTCTTCAACGTCTCCGCGCTCTGGAGCATGGGCGCGATCGAAACCATAACCTCCGCTGACATCAGCAGGGCTGCTGCTATGGCCACTGTTGCTGGCGGTGGTGCCAATGCGACGTCCAGCCAATGGCAGTCCACCGTCTCTTCTGTGCCTCTAGCTCTCTCCTCTCCCTCCTCTCCCTCCTCTCTCCCTTCCTCCTCCTTCTCATCCTCCTCTCAGCCTTCCTCCTCTCTGGATCACAACATTCCGCACTCTTCTATTTCTGGCAACTCCAGCACTGAAGCCTTTCAGACTGGGGAATTAATTGTTCCCGCTGCTTTGGCAAGACGAGGACTGGGAGAAATTTCCAACGCTGGTCCGATTCAGGGGCAGCAGCACCAGATCTCAACAGACGAGAATGATCGGAACCAACAGCAGCTGCTGCAGCCACAACAGCAGCAGGGTGACGAAGCAGCGTTACCAACAAACGAGCAGCGTCTGGTGGCAGGATGGGAGCCAGGAGGGTCCATCGGGTACCTGAGAGACTCCTTTCTCATGCTGGTGCTGTCAGGGCTGCTGGGCCTAGCCATGTACCACGTGCTCATCCACAGGTGGCGCCTGGAGTATTTCCGAAGAGTGACAGCAGTGGGGTACTCGTGTGTGGTGTTTGGGTGGATGACGGTCATCTCTGTGCGCCGCCCCGCCATCACGCTCTCGGTGTTTGGGCTCATCAAGCTGCCGGTGTCGCTCGCCCCGTTTGAGTCGCTCATCTTCACGTCCTTCATCGTTCCAAAGGTGCGGATATCAATCCACCTGTTTCGTTACTCTCGGTTTTCCACATGGTTCTCACTCCTTTTCACCTGGGTTGCCTCCTCTTCACACCGTTCTTGTTAACATGCATATCCATTATTCCTTCGCTCGTGCATTCGTCTCCATCCGTGCATGGCAGGCAAGCTTCGTGGGTCATCTTGCAGGCATCATTGCTGGCTATCTTCTTTCCTGGGGAGCCTTGAAGGTCTGTACACTAAACTCTGATCTAGTTTCTTATTTGCAGTTAGTCAATCCTTGTTGCAGGTGCTAATTACCACCTCTCTGCCTTGGTTTTTTACGCTGCAGGGATTTGATACCTATTGGACGCTTGTTTTGGCATCGTGGTTTGCGATTCTCTGCGTAATTAGCTTGAAGAATTCATCGCCAGTTGACTGCTCCTTTTTGCAAATAGAGCCGGTGGTTCCAGAGCTTACAGAAGCATTAGCCACGTCTGGACAGGTTCCTTTTTTGCTTCCTCCCGCACAACTCCCCTCTGTGCATAACCCTACAGGGGTTTTCACTGTAAGAGGTGACAGTATTGTGTGAATAAAATAACTGTAGTCTGCCAAGATGCAGCCTGTTTTAGAATATGCCACACAATCGACACCTCACGAGTCTATTGCACGAAGTGCATAGTTCGCTTGTCTTCAGAGAGTGTGCCAGTAACGAGTACGTACAGTGGCTCAGTTGATATTACAAGTCGTACCGTCGACGATACCTTGCTGGAGCTTTGTCACTACCTCGCATCCCTGATCCAAGCCTACTAGCAGCAGCGGTTTAGAACCAGAGCCTAGAACCTGCGAACCTACGATACACAGCCATCCTGATCTCTGGCAGCTCTTATCAGTATACATTTCTCCGTTTGTGTCCACATTCGTTCCGTTCTTACCGAGATTACGTCTTTTACTGGTCGTAGTGCCCCGAGGTTAGATACTTCGATTCTCATCCTAGATTCCTCGGATCCTCTTTTTAAATTCTTCCGATCCTCATCTAGATACTTCCGAACTTTAACGTACTGCGGTGCGGAACGTCATATTTACGTCTTCCGATCATCTAAACCCTTCCTACTTTTGCCAGGATGCGTCGCGGTTCGAATTCTTGCTTACTCGTTCCCTCGTCTCAGCTCCTTTTGTTTTTAGACCGTGGATATCCATGGATCGGATTGAATTCAACCGTCGTAGGAGCACTGTCAAGATCGGCAACGACACTTACAGCAACAGTGACAACAGCAGCAACAGCCGAAACAGCAGACTCACGGGGTAGAGCAGCAACAGCGGCAACACCATCAACACCAGCAACAGCAGCGACAGGAGCGATTGCAACGTCAGGGCCGGGGATATGGCTCTTAGCCAGGTCCACGTCAGCGCAATCATTGCCAGTTAGATCCGATCCAAACCGATCGGAGTTGGAACGCGTTAGGAATAGCAGTGTGGCTTTTCCTCTCCTCTCCTCTCACCGCGATGCTCTGTTCGCCTCTCCTCTCGCTGCGACACGACCTCTAAGTGAGGCGTGTTACCGGGAAACCAGGATGTTCGTAAACGAAAGAGCACGAGCGTGCATTATCAATAGTACCCCGAGCATCGGATCGCGGTCCATCGCCTCTAATGCCACCGGATCGTCCATTCTTTTGTCCGGTTCGCCAGCTTCCCCGTCAAGTGACACGTCGGATGCCACGTCAGACCCATCCCTCCCGCCAATCAAGCCGTACGACGCGCTGTTTCGCGATCCTCCGAAGCCTCTAGGCATTGGTCCCAACCCCAAGGTGGTATCTACACCCAAGGGAGGGGTATACGGCGCGGTGCTGGGCGTTCTAGGGTACTATTCCAAGGAGAGTGAGTTAATCCGCGGCGCGAACGCGCTCTACAGGGCGGTGACGCGTCAGGCTGACGACGAGATGTTCTTAAGAGGTGGGCTGTGGTCATGTGAGCTGGTCGTCCTGATTCTTCAGATTTAATGATCTATGAAGCGGTTGAATCCGAAGCGCCTAATAGTCACCTACTCCTCGCCACTCCCATTCCCCTCTCCCCTTCTCCCCTCCCCTCCTCTTCCCCTCCTCTTCTCCTTCAGCCCTCGGCCTCCCCTCGCAGTTCCGCACGCACCACGCGCTGCTCGTGCTGCACACGTGGCTGGCGCTCCTGCGCCTGCGCAAGGAGGGCGCGCAGGGGGCGGCGGTGGGGCAGACGTTCTACGACACGTTCAATCACGACGTGGAGCGGCGCGTGGTGGCGGCGGGGGTGAAAATGCTCGTCAGCAAGTGGATGCGCGAGCTCGAGCGCAGTTTCTATGGCGCAGCAGCGGCCTATGATGCTGCTGTTGCACCGGGTGCTAACGCTGATGCGCTCTCCAAGGCCCTCTGGCGGTGAGTGTGAGAGACAGGCGCGTATCATCAGGTGGTGTTGAGGATATGGATTCCCGTTAGGAGGGTGCGCTGCGTAAAAACATATCCGTTTTGATCTCTTCTGAGACAACTCAGAACGCTAACTCATGTCGCAATAGCTCTCAGAACACGGTTAACTCTTATGATGCGGCAATGTACCCCGCTCTGGCCTTTTTCCTTCAACTCCGCTCTCCCCTCTTGAACTGACGTGCTGCAACGTGTTTTGCAGACACGTGTAAACATGTTTTGTTTTTTAGGCCTCTTGAAACCCTCACTTTCTTCTCCCCTCTCACCTCCGTTGCACCTCTCGAACTGCCATGCAGCAATGTGTTTGCAGAGGACGCGTCTGACATGCCCTCCGGCCCTGCAGCTGCTCCCGTGCAGGTGAGAGAGGGGGTGAGAGGGGGGGTGATGCCGTGCAGGTGAGAGAGGGGTTGGTGCGGTGAAGGTGAGAGAGGGGGGGTGAGAGGGGGGGTGTTGCCGTGCAGGTGAGAGGGGGGTTGCTGCTGTGCAGGTGAGAGGGGGGGTGCTGCCGCCCCGCCCCGCCACACCAACCCCAATCCCCTTCACCTCCCACCTTCACCATTCCAAATCGCTGCCAACTTGCTTCTTCTCACCATCTCTGCTGTTCCTCTCTTTGAAGTTAGTTCATAGCCCCTCACGCCCTTCCCTCTTTGCATCGCTGGTTACCACCTGCAGGCTTTGACGCGTTACGTGCGGCTCGAGCTCGCCTCCCTTGCACTCACAGGTGATGTGATGTGATATTTGATGCATATGGTGTGATGCGGTGCGGTGTGGTGTGGTGCAGTGGGGTGTACTGTAGTGTACTGTGGTGTGGTGTGGTGTGAGGTGAGGTGAGGTTAGTTGAGGCGTCAGCAGGCCACCCATGTGATTAAACACCTTGCATTCCCACATGTGTGCTGTGTGCACCCATTCGTACAGCCCGCCTTGATTATCTGATCAGCTATGTCAGAGTCACTTTTGAGAATGCTCAAAAGTGGTAATCACGGGTTTCTCATCAGCTTGGCTCATGGAATGAAGCTAACAAGTTCCCTCATCTTTTCCCCTGATGCATCTGTTCACACTGTGCTCCCTGCACTTTCCGGTTTTCCAGATTCAGAGGCAATTCTCACTGGCAACATCACCTTCACCAACACCTTCCATGCAGAATCTTGAATGTGCTAGTACAGCTCAATATTCTGCAAAAACACTTAATATGTTACTGCATGTGTAATCCGCAGTTTCAGCTACGAAGCTATTGGCAGGTCTACAATACAAGAGCAATTTTTTCACTCAAAACACTTCACAACCTTCAGCCCGCGAACGCGTCTAAAGCCTGGACAAATCATTCACTAGGATTGTGCTTCTGGACTGTACTGGGCACTAAACTGTAACCTGTTCCTTCCTGTCCCTGAATAGTGAGGGGCACAACCCTTCGCACAAACATCCTGGATTACTACCCTTCACTTCCAGCTGCGGCTGCAGCCGAGCTAGCAGCTGTGGAGCTCTCCTCTACACGCCTGTCTCCTGTACCACTCCCCCTCCACTTTCTCAAAGCCCCCATCAGCCCCCCAGTAGGCTGTGATCCGCTTCACCTCCCCCTCTCCCACCAGCCCTGCGCCCACCACCCACGTCGCCGACAGCACGAACGGCCTGCCTGCCACCAGCTGCAGCGAGCGAGGGGCACACATCACCACCCCCTGGGGCAGAGCAAACACCGCGTACGTTTCCTTGTCCCCTTGAGGCACCCTCCCCATAAACCTTGCCGCCGCCGCAGATGCTGCGGCAGGTGCAGCAGCGGCAGCAGCAGCAGCACTGTTAGGGCTCCATTCCTCTGCCCAGGACACGTTCTCTCGCTCCTGAATCATCAGATTCCGGGTCAGAACGGTGCGGGTTCCCACCACTGTCTTGTCATCTAGTGCCGGAACGGGCGGCAGGTGGTCGGGCAGACTGGACGAGAGGCCGCCCGGGCCCCACGTGGGCGAGACCCAGTCTGCCGGGCGGCGTTCGTTGGTGTCTAGCGAATCTTCTACTGCCACTGAGGTTCTGAAGGCTCCGTCTGCTTCGTACTGAATGCTGCAGCCGAGTCGGGACGTGGTTGCTGGAGGGATATGGGAAGGGTTGAGGGGAAGGGGGGGGGGTGCATGAGATGAAAGGTAACGTTCTTTGAAGGCTCCGTCTGCTTCGTACTGAATGCTGCAGCCGAGACGGGACGCGATTGAAGAACGCGTGCCCGCAAGCGAAGCAGAACTCGATCATTAAGGCAGCTTCATGCCCCCAGCCCCACCCCCACCTCCAGGGGCGCGCAGATGCTTTTCACGTGTCTACAGCAATCCCCCTAATTTCCATACAAGTAGAGTAGGCCGGACTGACTCACTGTGGGCGAAGAAGAATTCGATCATAAAGGCAGCTTCATGCCGCCCGTCCCGTCCGCCACCTCAATGGGCGCCCAGATGCCCTCCGCGTGTCAACAGCAATGTACTTCGCTCTGATTCAATTACAGCAAGGCTGACCAAAAAGCACTCACAGTGGGCGAAGAAGAATTCGATCATAAAAGGCAGCTTCATGCCTCCTGCCCCATCCGCCACCTCAATCGGCGCCCAGATGCCCTCCGCGCGCCGGCTCACGACGTAGCGGCGCGAGTTGCTGGCTGCCACGTGGCAGAAGCCGTCTGGCAGGCTGTGCTGTGCGAGCGACATGTCCCACTGCACGCCCACCTTGGGCATGTATGCAGGCATCTCGCCCTGATAGTCGTACCAGTCGTTCTGTGTTGGGGCAGAAGGGGAAGACGAAGAGGAAAATGGAGAGAGGGGAGGGGAGGGAGAGGGAATGGTCACTTTAAAGAGGACTCAGAAGGCAGGCTGTGCTGTGCGAGCGACATGTCCCACTGCACGCCCACCTTGGGCATGTATGCAGGCATCTCGCCCTGATAGTCGTACCAGTCGTTCTGTGTTGGGGCAGAAGGGGAAGACGAAGAGGAAAATGGAGAGAGGGGAGGGGAGGGAGAGGGAATGGTCACTTTAAAGAGGACTCAGAAGGCAGGCTGTGCTGTGCGAGCGACATGTCCCGCTGCACGCCCACCTTGGGCATGTATGAAGGCACCTCGCCCTGAAAGTCGTACCAGTCGTTCTGATTGGGGGGAGGGGGGAGGGGGAAAGGCGGAAGAGGGGAGAAGGGGAGAGGAGGGGAGGGCAGGAGACAAAGCGTACTGAGACGACTTAAAGCTGTGCTGTGCGAGCGACATGTCCCACTGCCCGCCCACCTTGGGCCTGTACGAAGGCACCTCGCCCTGAAAATCGTACCAGTCGTTCTGATGGAGGGGGGGGAGGGAGGCGTGGGAAGGGGACGGAGGCACCGGCATGGCAGGGGAGTGGAGGGAGTGGAGGGATCTCGCCCGTTGAGATGTCTGAAGGCTGTGAGGCACGCCCCATTGGACAGCGACCTTGGGCATCTGTGGAGGCACCTCATCCTGAAAGTCGTACCAGTCGTTCTGATGAGAGGTGGGGTGAGTGGAGTGGAGAGGAGGGGAGGGGAGGGGAGGGGAGGGGAGGGGAGGGGAGGGGAGGGGAGGGGAGGGAGAGTGTGCGGGTGACATATGAGGCGATTCAGTGGTCAAGAAGTGGAGTGGAGGGGGAACAAGGGGACGTGGCACAATGGGAGAGCATTAACAGGCTCGCCACGTGGGCGAAACTGGGTGACATTTAAGTCGACTCCAGGTGGAGCGTAGGGGAAAAGGGGAGAGCATTGACAAGCTCACCACGTGGGCGATACTGCTGGCACTGACAAGCTCACCACGTGGGCGATACTGGTGCGATCAGGTGACGTGGCCCACATCTTCCGCACGGATTTCATGGATCGGTTCTCATCCGTTGATTCGAGCGGCTTCCACGATCGCCATTGGCCGTGAAAGTTAGTCATAAGGCGCTCCGGCGTGCCCCACCACCAGTGCTCCTCGGGAGTCATCTGACGGAACGACGCGGCTTCCCCGCCGTCAGATGCGGGGACAGGGACAGCGGTGCCGCTACTAGAGCCAGAAGCCATGGCGGCTGATGACGTGGCTGAGGCTGACGTGGACGCGATGACGTGTGGTTGGAGGGAGAACGTGATTGGTCGGGGAGATGATGTGGAATGCTTGTGTGCACCTGAGGTATTGGAAGGGACATGGGGAGACAAGAGGGAGGGAAGGCACAGGCAGAAAGCGGACGAGCGGAGGAATGCACGTGCATGACAGTGTTCAGAGACTCGTGCCAGACTTGAATTGCTGAGTGGAGATTTACGAAAAATAAAAACAACTTTCGGAAACTCGCTGACCCGTGCTTGCACACTCGCAGCGGGCAATCATCGACGAGCTTTATGGAAGGAGAGAAAGAATTTGGAATTCAGGGCGAATCAGGAATATGATGTCCGGTCAACCGTTGCAATGCATCGCGCAGCGGGTGCTGCTGGGAATCGACGGACAAAGCAAAGGCCGGCACCGAATCGGATCGTACTGGTCAGGCCCACATTCGTCGCAACGGGTCGCCCCGCGAACTCGGACAGCGAATGAATCTGACGAGAAGCCGCAACGCCGCGGGCGCCATTCTCGGAAATGTTGCTGCTACTAATAGCCACGGCACGCGTCGAGGCGGCGAACGACATGGCTGTATGAGGAACAGCAGACAGCGGCTGTGACGCAATGAAAGAGTGCTACTAATCAAGATTACTACAACAAACCAATTTGTCGATAGGTAATCCTCGTCATCTACAGTGGGATCAAGGGCTGTGCTTATAATTAGGGCATATATTAGGCTTGCCTGGAAGAAACATGGTGCTAAAGAGAATGAGTTTATGTGAAAGATTTAGGAATCAGGTGTACTCAAGTAATTTTCTGAAATTAGCTAACCTTCACATCGAAGTTAGTCTTATGCCGCGTTCAGGGTACATATCTGACTTTTGCATACAGACCTTTCTTGGACGTCGATTCAGCCGGCCTTCTTATCCTGACCGCTGATCATGCACCCGACACAACACCAACGGACACTTCTTGCCAGTTGCGCTGAGGCTATTGGACGATAAGCACTAGCGGAAATGAGTACAGAAGCGAACCCAGGCCTCGGATTTCGCCGTGCTGCCTCTTCAGGTCTGGCAGCGGCCACGAGACTCCACGGCGGAGAGCCCACGGCCCAACACCACACAGCCCGAGGCACAGGCCCACGGTTTACGACCCACGGAGTGTTCCCTGTAACCCTAGCCACAGCCAAAGGAGCAAGGCCCAAAGCTGGCGCGATTCTAAATTCGCTGCCCTTCGCGAAATCCGAAGATGTTGTTACATTGCAGCGTCGCTCTCCAATCACTCCTCCCCACGAGCTCCAATTGTGTCGTCGAAACTCGCGAGCCCATGGTGTGTGGAGCCGTACTTATTCCTGACCGATGAATCCGCCATTGACCGTTGACCACATGTTCCTAGACCTAGTAGTGTACACTGTAGCCGCACCGCCTGACTAGTGTGACCTCACCACGTGTTAGTTGTCCTCCCGAGTTCCCAGCAGTCGTTAATCGCCACATCCACCACCAGCCACCACATTCCTGGACCCTTTCCTCTCCTTAAACGCCTTGCCCTTTCGTTATTACAGCTCACACCTCTCGCCGACACCTTGACCTCGTAATCTATACCACTTTTTTGGCCTCATGTAGGAGCCGCGCCGCGACAATAAGGACGGCTGGTTCCGGCCCGTTTCCTGCGAGATCGTTTTCTCTTGCCCACTTCTCTCCTTCAATCATGTCCAGCTTCCCTCCTCCTTGCCTCCTGTCTTTGGCTTCGGCTACAGTGCGGCACACGTAGTTGCTTGCACATCCAACGCAGCCCAATGTCTGCTAGAAACAGCTGCACTGGGCAGTTCTAACAGGTACAGTCAGCCTCGCAGGAACTATTAGTAACAGTTTACCCTGTCTACTAATAGTGCTCAGTTCTCCGGAATTCTGAAAGCCACGCCAAACCCTGCGTCCGCTTCGCGAAGTGTGATGCAAAGCTCGTGATTTTATACCTCCTTCTGCCACACCCATCGTGTCGTCAGTACGATTTCCCTCTCAATCTCATCGCAGTTTTGGTCCTTGCGAGAGATTTTAAAGCATTCTCGAAACCGTATCCGCGTGACCCCTGCCGAAGTTTATCACCGTTCCTCTCACGTCGTCATTCCGCTGCAATTCTTATCTCATCGCATTCCGCCGATCCTCGGTACCTTGGGGTTGCCGACGACAACTCTCTCGAACTTAGATTCGTCGCACCTCCATCGTTGAAGTTCGCCAAAACCGACAGCGCAATGGGTAACTGCTTTTCGTCCGTCAACGACGACGACAACTGTCGCATCTCTGCGCGCGAGCGACGTCGCGAGACGCGGAGGAAGGGCGAGCCACAAAGTAGAGGAGAGGGCGACGCTGTGAGCAGCAAGGAGAAGGAGCGCCGCGTGGCGGCTTATCTGGCGGCGGAGCAGCAGCGGGACGACCTGCTCGCACAGCTGACCAATCGGAGGACGGCAAATGGGCTCGTGCCACGTGTGCCGCGTGCCACGTCGGAGACGGACATCACTAGCAGCGAAAACTGCAGCGGAAGCAGCAGCAGTGACAGCAGTAGTATCAACAGCAGCGGCGGCGGCGACAGTGGGATGCAGCTGCACTGCAGCATGTTCTCCCTGGGCGGACAGAAAGGCATTAATCAAGACTGCATGGTCGCATGGCAGGTACACACTTCAGTATTTCCCCCTTTTTCCCCACTTCCTCCTCTCCCCCCTCTTCCTTCCCCCTCTTCCCACTCGCCTTCTCTCTCTTCCCTGCTCGCCATCTTTCCAATTCTGAGAAATTCTCAAAGGTGACTCCAACAAGGACAGCCACGTCGCTTCCGAGTCGACTCAACTAAACCGTCCCCTTTTTCTTGCTTACCTTCCCCGTCCCCCCTCCTCTCCCTTCCCCCCTTCCCAGTCCTTCGCGGGCCCTACTTCCGTGCTGTGCGCCGTGATGGACGGCCATGGCCGCTTCGGCCACACAGTGTCGGCACGCGCGAGGGACTCCTTCCCCTCTCAGCTCGCCCACCGCCTTAGTGTCCCGCATGCCGATGGTGCTGATGCCACATCGCCGTGTGATGCTGCATCATTGTGTGGTGGTTATGCATCAGTGGGAGGTGCACACGTGGCGGAGCAGCAGTGGAGGGAAGCGGTGTGCGGTGCGTTTGAGGCCGTTGATCGCGAGGTGAAGCTGCATCCGGCCGTTGATCCGCTCGTCAGTGGCAGCACGGCGGTGGTGGCGATGGTTCAAGTGAGTTCTCCCGCGTCCTTCCTCTCCCCCTTCGCCCTCGAAACTCTCCCCTCGCTCTCTGCAACTCACTCCAGCCCCACTTATTCTTTTGTGTCTGTTTTTGTTTTTTGTTTCGTATATTTCTTCTCTTCTTTTTCTTTGTTTTTTTTCAGAATTTTCAGAAACCAACTCTTCTCTCTTCCCCCTCCCGGTTCGTACCACTCCTCCCTCCCACCCTCCTACTCCAGCACGGCCAACTCTTCCTCGCCAACCTCGGTGACTCCCGTGCCGTGCTCGCCAGACGAGCACGCTCACCTACTTCCTGCGGCGCCACGTCAGCTGCTGACGTGGCTCTTTGTCATGCCGCCACGTCAGCCAAGCCAACCCACCATCAGCACTACCACCAATCAGATCAACCCAACTGTCACGCTCTCGAGGCCGTCGCCCTGACTGCCGACCACAAGTGCTCCGATCCGGCAGAGGCCGCCCGGATCCGGAAAGCGGGCGGCAGAGTGGAGGCGCTAGAGGACGAGAAGCACGTCACGAGGATCTGGCTGCCCAATGAGATGGCGCCGGGGCTCGTCACCTCCCGGGCGGTGGGCGATTTCCTGCTGAAGGGATTCGGAGTGATTTGCGAGCCTGATGTTACCGTGTTACCAGTGGAAGATGGAGACGAATTCGTCATCCTGGCAACCGACGGGGTATGAAACATTTTCCTGACCGAAATCTATGTATATTTTCTGTCTATGTCGCTCCATTATAGATCCAGTGCCCTCCATTTTCCATTTTCTATCCCTATCCCTATCCTTGATCCGTAGTTGCTAAACACACGTCTCTCTCCTTTCCCCCCCCCCCCCCCCTCCCACCACCAGGTGTGGGATGTGCTCTCCCACGAGGAGGCTGTCTCTATTGTTGCCACGTCATCATCCCCTGCCACGTCAGCAGAACGCCTGGTGACGTCAGCGCAGGAGGCCTGGGCGGTCAAGTATCCCAAGGCTCGGCGAGACGACTGCACCGCTGTGGTGCTCTTCCTCCGAACCTCCCTGCCGAACCTGATTCCAGACCTGCCATGCCTTGGTTCGGAGGAAGCCGGCTCGGGAAAGGCTGCCGGAGTCGGAGAGGGTGGGCAGTGCATGGTAATGGAGGCTGCTCCAACTGGTTTGACTGCATTGACTGGTTTGACTGCATTGACTGGTTTGACAGGTTCAACTGGAGAAGAGGTCCATGTGGCATGTTCTTCCCGAGAAGCTTCAAAGGGGAGCAGCAGCAGCATTGTCCCTGTGGTTTTCGACCCTCTGGTTGAAAACCCAGGTACTAGCAGCAGCAGCGGCAGTGGCAGCAGGAGGAACAGTAACAGCAGCAACAGCAGCAACAGCAGCAGAAACAGCAGCAGTAACAGCACGAGAGACAGCACCAATGAGAGCTGCAACAGTGGACTCTTGAGTGAGCAAAGCACTGGTGTGGAGTTAGGAACCACTGACACTGCTGTCGCCGCTGCTGCCACTGCTGCTGCCGCAACCGCAGTACCAATTGTCAATGCAAACTTGCCAGACCGTGCAACAGATGCAGGGGAAGGGAGTGCGACAGTAATGGCAGGTGAAGGTTCCGTGCATTCCAATGCAGGCTCTGATGCTGCGGAGCAGTGCTTTACAGAGCGGCATGGAGATGCGGTGTTCACAGATGAAGGGCTCAGATTCCACCGGAACGACACCGTTGGTGACCTGGCGGCGCTTGATTGGCAGGACGAGCAGGTTCTGGCTAAACGGATTCTGAGGCGATGCCAGGGGGGTGAAGAGGAGGGGAAGTAGAAGAACAAGCAGCTGAAAGGGGGCTTGAGGAGAGGTGAATGAGACGGATTGAGAAATAGGACTGCATGGGAAATGGGCAGTCCTGGATTGGCAAGACGAGCAGGTTCTGGCTAAGCGGACTCTGAGGTGATGCCTCGGGGATGAAAAGGAGGGGAAGAAGAAGAATAATGACAAACAGCTGAAGTGGGGATTGAGGAGGGGTGAATGAGAAGAGTTAGGGGGAGTGGTTCGTGGGAAAGGACAAGCGAGTTGGAGTTGGCTCGGAAGGTTCGCGGTGTCTACTTCGTACATACTGATTTTTTTTTGGAATCCTCAAGACTTTCTCTCTAGGTTTCCAGTCTGCACAGAATCAGTCGGAGTGAAAGGGAGAAGAGGTGTGTGGATTGCTGTGAGGCAGCTCTTGACGACTTTGAAAGAAGGGCCGAGCTTGGCGGTCCAGAATGAATTGGGGAGGATGGTGCAATGCAGTGTGCTCTTGGGCATCGCAGGAGTGACTGGAATGGAATGGGTTCAGCGCGGTGCAGTCCTCTTCTGCGTGCCACAAGATGACTTATGCGCCGACTCAAAAGTCTGGAGTGACTGGAATGGAATGGGCTCAGCACGGTGCAGTCCTCATCTGCGTGCCACTAGATGGGACAGACTAGCCGGGGGGTTGGCGAGGCCTTCTCTCCAGCCAAATATAGGGCTGCATGGCAGCTTGTACCATACCATACCATACCATACCATATATGAGAGGGTTGCTTCTTGTGTACTTTATAATGTGCTGTTATCATGGTGATTGGTGAAGGTGTTTTTTCTACCGGTAGCTTCCAGATCCAGAAGTTAAAAGACATGAGCCTGCATTCTCTGTTATCCCTGTGTTGCTGTTTATCCAGCAGTGCTGTATACTTGTATAAATATTATTGTACCAGTTTACACAGCGTCAAGCCCACGAGTATAAGCTGGAACTTGGTTTCATACAATAATGCTAGTTGCATATAAATATAGCATACATAAATACAGGGTTGTAGGCAGGTAGGTAGGTAGGGTTGTAGGTACGCAGCTGGGCATGCCATCCATTCCTACAGCATACAAGGCAAGGTACAGGCACACAGCAGCACACAGCAGCACACAGCAGCACACAACAGCACAGCACACTGCTTGTTTGCAGCTCCAAGTGCGAAGCACTTCTGAGAATTCTCAAAGGCGATCCAAGGAAGGAGCGGCCGCTTCACTTCACGCCGTTTTGCGTGGCCGAGGCAGCTTCTGCCAGCGAAACTCCTTTGAGAATTCTCAAGAGTGATTCGATGAAACAAGGGCAGTAGTCGGTCACATCACGCGGATTCGGGTGGAGGAGGAGGCAGCTCCAAGTGAAGTCCATTCGGTTTCTTCAGGGTTTAGGGTTCAAAAGCGGTTGGTTGGTCCCTTCAAGAGGAATCGGGTAGAGGAGGCAGGTCCAGGTGCAGCCCGGCACCAATCACGGGGCACGACCGCACGAATGACACTTCGCTCTCTGTTGTGTGCGAGTCACCGTCAGGGCACTGCGGCACAGGTGGGCAGCATGGGCGGGAGGTATTAGCATGGAACATTGCGCACAGCATACTTCTCTAAAGCACTTCGCTCTCTGACGTGTGCGAGTCACCGTCAGGGCACTGGAGCACAGGGCGGCGCAAAACGGGAACGAACAGAAGAGACAGGGAGGGCTCACCGTGAATACTGATTGGACGGAGAGAGCACAACATGAGAGAGTGGAAGGCGGAGCGCTCACCGCGAACTTTGGTCGGATGGAGAGGGAGCAGGGCTGTGACTCGGTGCGCTGGCAGACGCGCTGGTTGTTAGAGCACCTTTTGAGGATTCCCAAAGGTGAATCCAACGAGGGGGAAAGGCGGAGGGCTCACCGTGAATTTCGGTCGGATGGAGAGGGAGCAGGGCTGCGACTCGGTGCGCTGGCAGACGGGGCGGTTGTTGAGGCGCCAGTCCGCCTCCCCCCGCTTCACGATGTTGAGCGACCATGGGTCCAGCGCTCCCAGCGCTGCCGCTGTATACCTGAAGGGGCACAATCAGGAGGGAAGGGGAGGAGGAAAAACTCGATCACCGCTGATTGAATTATGAGACACCTCAGGAGTGTGTCGAGTCGAGTCTCAAAACATTTGAGACGTATCAGAAAGCGTGGCGGGCTTTTGAGATTTCTAGACAAACGCCTGAAACAGGACAGTACAGCGGCGGTGTACCCGCCTTTCGAGGCACCTAAAAATAAAATAAGAACAAACTCGTGCAACAGGACGTACCCGAAGGTGGAGAAGTGGTGGAGTAGTCGGAGACGACTAGGCGGTGCAAAAAGGAGAGGAGAGAAGGAACATCTCAACCATTGCAGAGTAGTACATTAGGCGCCTGGAACAAGAAAGCGCAACAGCCGGACAGCGCGGCAACACGACGTACCCAGCGGGACAGCGCGACAGCAACAGGACGTACCCGAAGGTGGAGTAGTCGGAGACAACGAGGCGGTGAGAGAAGGAGAGGAGGAACATCTCAACCAGCGCTGATGCGTACTGCTGCCTGTCGTCCTGCCTCTCCGTTGAGTCGTGCGACTCGCTGCAGGGTAGAGCGGAAGTGGGGGGAGAGAGGAAGAGAGGTAAAGGGGAGAGTGGAAGGAGGACCTGACGAGCTGGAGACACAGTGTGGTGCCACGTAAAAAGGATAGTGCCGAACAGCATGTGGTTCGGTTCGGATGTTTCGAAACGACTTCAAACAGCAGCATAGTGGCACGTGAAGGAAAGACATAGCTGAGTAGGGTGTGGTTACAGACAGAGCATAGCAGGGGCGAGGAGAGGCACGCGAGGGTTGCATATGGTTAACCCACCTGTGGAAGGTGACAGTGTGGGCTGATTGCGGTTTGCCTTGGGAATAAAGGGCAGCGAGGCGAGCAGCATAGGTGCCGTTGAGGGATGCCACGAACACACCGATTGACTGCCCATGCGCTCCTCTCAAACCCTCGTCGTCCACCTGTCAGGGCAAGAGAACCGGGATGCAAGAGAGGGGTCAAACACACGAGGCGAGGCGAGAGCCATATGCTGATGCGACCAGCCGTTACCAGCATTACGAGCCGTTCAGAACCATTACGAGCCATTAAGGACCTTTAAGATTCATTAAGAACCATACTAAGTTGCCAAGAAAAAATGATGATGAGGTGCATAGCGCCTCCTCGTGCTCCACCTGAACGCAGCAGTGCGGATGAACAGGCGTTACGCGAAACAAAACTGCATGCAGCATCATCAATGTTAACAGTTTCTTTTGAGAGTTCTCAAAAGCAACTCTTAGTGCCTCCCTCCTCCTCGTGCTCCACCTGAACGCAGCAGTGCGGCGGACCGACAGGCGTGACGCAGAACGAAACTGCATCCAACATTTTCAATAGCATAGCATCATAGAGTCCATGTGCAACCTTCCCTTCACTCCACCCGCCCCATGCACCCCATGCACGCCATGCACCCCATGCACGCCATGCACCCTCCCAATGCACCCAGACATACATCGTCAGCCATGGCCTGCCATTGGTCGGGCGGGATGACAGCTGGCAGGTACTGCGTGCTGATGAGACACGTCAGCACCCGGTCAAATACATCCTCCGGGGTCTCGTCCACCGGGCGGACCTGAAGGGGTTGGGGGAAAAGCAGGGGGGAAGAGGGAGATGACTTTCGAGTCGACTCAAACGTCACGTGAGGAGCACGCGGTCAATCCTCCTGGGTCTCGTCCACTGGCCGCACCTGTTTTGAGGCGCCTAAAAACGAGAGATGACTTTTGATTCGACTCAAAGGTCACGTGAGCACGCGGTCAATCCTCCTTAGTCTCGTCCACCGGGCGCACTTGAAAGGGTTGCAGAACAAGCAGACTTTTGAGACGTCTCAACAGGCGCACCTGAAGGGGTTGTGGGACAAGCAGGCAGTGTGTGTGGTGGGGCTGAGCAGGAAAGAGCCGCGCTTTGAGGGCCTTCCTTCCACGGCCACTTGGTTGGTTGCCTGCTGAAGTTGATTTTAAGAATTCTCAAAATCAACCTCAAACAAAATAGCCTTCCTTCCACGGCCACTTGGTTGGTTGCCTGCTGAACAACCCCACCAAGTGGCCGTGGAATGCCCTCAAAACGCGGCTTCAGAGATGGTGAGTAAGCACCTTCGCCAGTAACCACCTGCACCAGTTACCACCCGCAGCTCACCAGCAAGGCACCTGCTCTCACCTGCAAGCCCACGAGCACGTCTTGGTGTTCCATGTGGCCGTGAAAGGCCCTCACAACGCGATCCCACATGTAGTAACCACCTACTTTAGTAAGCACCTACTGTGAGTAATCACCTGCGCTCACCTGCAGCCCCACCAGCACGTCCTGGTGCTCCATGTGGCCGTGGAATGCCCTCACTATGCGGTCCCAGAGGTAGGAAGTACCAGCTTTAGAAGCCACCTGCACCAGCAAGCACCTACGCCAGCGAGTGAGCAACCCCTCACCTGCAGCCCCACGAGCACGTCTTGGTGCTCCATGTGGCCGTGGTAGGCCCTCACTATGCGATCCCACATGTGGTAACCACCGGCTTTAGTAAGCACCTGCACCAGGTAGCACCTGCACCACATAGCAGCAGCTCACCTGCAAACCCACGAGCACGTCTTGGTGCTCCATGTGGCCATGAAAGGCCCTCACAATGCGATCCCAGAGGTAATTGGCCGGCAGGAGGATGTAGCTGGTGGGGCGAGTGCAATGGGGTTGGAAGGAAGGAGAAAGAAGACAAGAGTGGAGAGAGAGGATGGGAGAGGGTGAGAGGGCATGGAAGCACCACACTATCCGGTCCAGTCCTTCCACGGTCCAGTCCACACGTATTTGACAAAGAAAAACACACACACCCACGCTCACCCACCCACCCGGCAAATCGCCGTGCAACGTGTGAGAAGTGAGACAAGTTTTGAGCCGCATCAAAACTCGTCTAGTTTCACCCAGCAACTCACCGTGCAACATGTGTGAAGACCCGGCGATCCGGAAACAGCACTTCCAGACGAGCCTGCAGCAGGCAGGGACATGGAGTTGGGAATAGGGCGGTGATGCGAGGGGGTTTGTTGCGAGGGGGTGATGCGAGGGGGTGATGCACTAAGTGAGCTAGAAGTATATCTGTAGAGGCAGCAGTAGTGCGGGGCAGTGCGGCACTAAGGGAGCAGGCAGTACCGCGACGGAGGGCACGAAGTAAAGCGGAGGCATGAAGTGCGTGACTATTCAGGAGAGAGCGGAGTGAGGCAACAGAGAGGCACCAAGGGTTCTACAAGTATTTGATAAACGGAAGCAGTACCGCGAGGGAGGAAGCAGTACCGCGAGAGAGGGGACGAAGTAGAGAGGAGGCACGAAGTACATGTCACTCCAGAACATCATGAATGTTTTTTCAGCCATCTCCTCCTGTGTGCGCCGGCAGAAGAACGTCCACTCCTCCTCGGGCGTTCTGAGCGGGGTGTGGTATGCGTGTGTGGGTGGGTGGGTGGGTGGGTGGGTGGGTGGGTGGGTGGGAGTTTAGCAGAGCACAAGGGCATCCAAAGGGGCTGAAAATGGGAGATGGAAGCTTGTATGTTATATTCACATCCAGACAAGCATCCACGCAGCACCCACCCATCCTGCTCGTTACACTCAAACTCACATCCAGTCCAAACACCCATCCATCCACCCGCTCGTTACCCAGTCCAGGTGGCAGAACACCCCTCGAGAGTGCCTTTTGAGTCAACTCAAAAGACAACACCCACCCACACCCACCCATCCATCCCGCTCGTTACACTCACACCCAGTCCAGGTGGCAGAACACCCCTCGAGAGTGCCTGTCCGCCTGCTCTGCCACGTTGCGAGGGCCCTTCTCCAAATCCGCCTTGATGGCCCTGGGGAGAGAGAGAGAGAGGGGGGAAGGAAGAAAAGTGGGCAAGTGGCGAAAGAGGCGTTGGGAAAAGAGGGAGATGCGAGGGAGCGCCCGTCCGCCTGCTCTGCCACGTTGCGAGGACCCTGCTCCAAATCCACCTTGATGGCCCTGGGGAAGTGGGGAAAGGGGGAAAAGTGGGGACGTGGGAGGAAGGGGGGTTGGGGAAAAGCGGGAGATGCAGCCAGGAGGAGTGGACCGAGGGGTTGCAGTTGCAAATGAGAGACCAGCAGACAAATGCGAGTGGGGTTGCAGAGGAGGGTGGGCAATGCAGGGCCGAGCGGACAAAGGCGAGTAAGACGCTCGCACACTGGCGGGCGCTCACACTCACCAGAAGTGGGAGGCGGGGATGAGCTAGGAGGGGTGCGCAAAAGGGTTGCAGAGGAGGAGGGACGAGCGGAAGAATGAGGGCGGTTACACACCATACCACACACACAGCACAGCGCTACACACCACACCACACACACAGCACAGCGCTACACACCACACCAGACACACAGCACAGCGCTACACACCACACCACACACACAGCACAGCGCTACACACCACACCACACACACAGCACAGTGCTACACACCACACCACACACACAGCACAGCGCTACACACCACACCACACACACAGCACAGCGCTACACACCACACCACACACACAGCACAGCGCTACACACCACACCACACACACAGCACAGCGCTACACACCACACCGCACACACAGCACAGCGCTACACACCACACCGCACAGGCAGCACAGCGCTACACACCACACCGCACACACAGCACAGCGCTACACACCACACCACACACACAGCACAGCGCTACACACCACACCGCACAGGCAGCACAGCGCTACACACCACACCACACACACAGCACAGCGCTACACACCACACCACACAGGCAGCACAGCGCTACACACCACACCGCACAGGCAGCACAGCGCTACACACCACACCGCACAGGCAGCACAGCGCTACACACCACACCACACACACAGCACAGCGCTACACACCACACCACACACACAGCACAGCGCTACACACCACACCACACACACAGCACAGCGCTACACACCACACCACACACACAGCACAGCGCTACACACCACACCACACACATAGCACAGCGCTACACACCACACCGCACACACAGCACAGCGCTACACACCACACCGCACAGGCAGCACAGCGCTACACACCACACCGCACAGGCAGCACAGCGCTACACACCACACCGCACACACAGCACAGCGCTACACACCACACCACACACACAGCACAGCGCTACACACCACACCGCACAGGCAGCACAGCGCTACACACCACACCGCACACACAGCACAGCGCTACACACCACACCGCACAGGCAGCACAGCGCTCACCAGAAGTGGGAGGCGGGGATGAGCCACGAGGAGTGCGTGAAGGGGTTGCAGAGGAGGAGGGACGAGCGGACGAATGAGGCGGGGTACACACCACACCGCACAGGCAGCAGCAAGGCAGGCTGCACAGCGCTCACCAGAAGTGCGAGGCGGGGATGAGCCAGGAGGAGTGCGTGAAGGGGTTGCAGAGGAGGAGGGACGAGCGGACGAATGAGGCGGGGTACACACCACACCGCACAGGCAGCAGCAAGGCAGGCTGCACAGCGCTCACCAGAAGTGCGAGGCGGGGATGAGCCAGGAGGAGTGCGTGAAGGGGTTGCAGAGGAGGAGGGACGAGCGGACGAATGAGGCGGGGTACACACCACACCGCACAGGCAGCAGCAAGGCAGGCTGCACAGCGCTCACCAGAAGTGCGAGGCGGGGATGAGCCAGGAGGAGTGCGTGAAGGGGTTGCAGAGGAGGAGGGACGAGCGGACGAATGAGGCGGGGTACACACCACACCGCACAGGCAGCAGCAAGGCAGGCTGCACAGCGCTCACCAGAAGTGCGAGGCGGGGATGAGCCAGGAGGAGTGCGTGAAGGGGTTGCAGAGGAGGAGGGACGAGCGGACGAATGAGGCGGGGTACACACCACACCGCACAGGCAGCAGCAAGGCAGGCTGCACAGCGCTCACCAGAAGTGCGAGGCGGGGATGAGCCAGGAGGAGTGCGTGAAGGGGTTGCAGAGGAGGAGGGACGAGCGGACGAATGAGGCGGGGTACACACCACACCGCACAGGCAGCAGCAAGGCAGGCTGCACAGCGCTCACCAGAAGTGCGAGGCGGGGATGAGCCAGGAGGAGTGCGTGAAGGGGTTGCAGAGGAGGAGGGACGAGCGGACGAATGAGGCGGGGTACACACCACACCGCACAGGCAGCAGCAAGGCAGGCTGCACAGCGCTCACCAGAAGTGCGAGGCGGGGATGAGCCAGGAGGAGTGCGTGAAGGGGTTGCAGAGGAGGAGGGACGAGCGGACGAATGAGGCGGGGTACACACCACACCGCACAGGCAGCAGCAAGGCAGGCTGCACAGCGCTCACCAGAAGTGCGAGGCGGGGATGAGCCAGGAGGAGTGCGTGAAGGGGTTGCAGAGGAGGAGGGACGAGCGGACGAGGAGGGCATGAGGCCATAGGGAGGGCATGAGGCCATAGGGAGGGCATGAGGCCATAGGGAGGGCATGAGGCCATAGGGAGGGCATGAGGCCATAGGGAGGGCATGAGGCCATAGGGAGGGCATGAGGCCATAGGGAGGGCATGAGGCCATAGGGAGGGCATGAGGCCATAGGGAGGGCATGAGGCCATAGGGAGGGCATGAGGCCATAGGGAGGGCATGAGGCCATAGGGAGGGCATGAGGCCATAGGGAGGGCATGAGGCCATAGGGAGGGCATGAGGCCATAGGGAGGGCATGAGGCCATAGGGAGGGCATGAGGCCATAGGGAGGGCATGAGGCCATAGGGAGGGCATGAGGCCATAGGGAGGGCATGAGGCCATAGGGAGGGCATGAGGCCATAGGGAGGGCATGAGGCCATAGGGAGGGCATGAGGCCATAGGGAGGGCATGAGGCCATAGGGAGGGCATGAGGCCATAGGGAGGGCATGAGGCCATAGGGAGGGCATGAGGCCATAGGGAGGGCATGAGGCCATAGGGAGGGCATGAGGCCATAGGGAGGGCATGAGGCCATAGGGAGGGCATGAGGCCATAGGGAGGGCATGAGGCCATAGGGAGGGCATGAGGCCATAGGGAGGGCATGAGGCCATAGGGAGGGCATGAGGCCATAGGGAGGGCATGAGGCCATAGGGAGGGCATGAGGCCATAGGGAGGGCATGAGGCCATAGGGAGGGCATGAGGCCATAGGGAGGGCATGAGGCCATAGGGAGGGCATGAGGCCATAGGGAGGGCATGAGGCCATAGGGAGGGCATGAGGCCATAGGGAGGGCATGAGGCCATAGGGAGGGCATGAGGCCATAGGGAGGGCATGAGGCCATAGGGAGGGCATGAGGCCATAGGGAGGGCATGAGGCCACAGGGACGGCATGAGCCCATCGTCTGGCATGAGGATGGCTCGATGCGTGATGAACGCGTATGTGAAGGTGGAGATCAGCGACATGATGCGGTTGCCAAGGCCTGCAGGGTTGCAGGCGCAGGGGAGGGAGGGAGGGCATGAGGCCATAGGGAGGGCATGAGGCCATAGGGAGGGCATGAGGCCACAGGGACGGCATGAGCCCATCGTCTGGCATGAGGATGGCTCGATGCGTGATGAACGCGTATGTGAAGGTGGATATCAACGACATGATGCGGTTGCCAAGGCCTGAAAGGGACAGAGAGAATACAAGAGAAAGAACGAACGTGGAGATCAAAGACATACGCAGGTGAGTGCTGCAGAGAGGCGAGGTGCAGATCGGTGCAGACGGATGAGCGGTGCAGACAGGTCAAGATCGGTGCAGCCAGGTGAGAGGATGAGATGGAGGGGGGTGTACTGTAGGTGTAGGCAGAATGGAACAGCCAGTGTGGTGTGGGTGCGCTGCGAAACTTACCACACTTGCACCCACGGATCTACCCCTAGATAGAATCAGCCCAAATCACTCACCGTGCCACTGGCCGGGTATCAGAAACGCATACTTGCACCCTTCCACGTCCGCTGATGGTGACAGCCCCTCGGACCTGGTGAAGCAGCACACGGGGCAGAGTGAGGGGGGTGGGTGAAGCGAGGAAGGAGAGCGGGCAATGAGGGGCTGAGCCTCAGGTCTCCTTGTTAGGGGCTGAGATCTCCTTGTGAGGCGACTCGAAGCTTGCACCCTTCCACATGCGCTGCTGCTGCCCGCCCCTCGGACCTATTGAAGAAACGCACAGGGCATGGTGAACGGGATAAGTGAGGTGGGAAAGGAGAAGAAGACATGACCCTTTGTGTGTACTCCTGGTGCATGTGCTGTGCATGCGGTCATACTCCCTCCGTCTTCTGCCTCCCGGGCTGGGTAGGACACGGGTTGCAGGCTGTGGCAAGCACGCATCACACTCTCCCTCTAGCGAGAGCGCATCTCACTCCGTAGCATCCGCAGAGCTCACTGGTTGAAGTAAAAGGCCTTCCAGTCAGTGATGCCCTCCGTGCACCGCTGGTGCATGCGCTCGTACTCCGTCTTCTGCCTCGCAAACGCGGCTGATGGCTCCACGTGCGCTCCTACCTGTCATGATATGATACCAACACAAGGCAAGGCAAAAGAGCGGGGAAAGGGGAAGAGACGCTTGTGTTGAGGCGGCTGGAAACACTCACACTCCATCTTCTGCCGCGTAAACGCGGCTGCTGGCTCCACGTGCGCTCCTACCTGTCATGGGCCCAACCCAAGGCAAGTCCAGAGAAGGGGGGGCGCGACACATGGTATGTGTGAGACGGTTGAAATGACTCATACTCTGCCCGTCTTCTGCCTCGTAAACGCGGCTCATGGCTCCACGTGCGTTCCTGCCTGTCTGATACCGATACAAGGCAAGGCAACAGAGGGCGTGGGGAGGGAGGGGAGAGGTTGACGCTTGCTGAGAGGCGGATGAAAAAACTCACACTCTGTCTGATCTAAATCAATCTGCCATGCTTGTACAAGTGCTGACCCTCCCCTGTATCAACCCCCCTATAACCAACCCTTTCCAGATAGCAACCTGTCCCAATAGGAACGACATTCCACCAACCTGCCAATGCTGGTGTCGCTCGTGCTTGCTCCAGCACTCCTTCTTGCCCCTGGATTTAACCTACCAGTGACAGGCGTCCCAAGAAAACAACCTTCCCCAGTGCCAACCCTCTCTGGTACCAACCTGTCCCAACAGCAACCCACCTGCCAGTACTGGTGTCGCTCGTGCTTGCTCCAGCACGACTTCTTGCCCCGAATCAACCGCCTCCGCAGATGCATATGTCCCTCGTGCATCATATCATATGATGCGAGTCGCCTCCGATGCTGCTGACGTGGCATGTGCACAAGCCCCTTCTGATGCTGCTGACTCGGCATCTGTAGCCGCCTCCGTTTGGTTTCTTCCTGACGTGTCACTTGCAAACTCCGCCAGCTGTCACGCTGCTGCTGATTCGACAGCAACGGTTCTTGCTGCTGACTAAGGTGATGCTTGCTCCCGTCGTCGTTCCTTCCATTCTCATTTCTCGAAAGTTGCAGTCTCGCGAAACCACGCGAAGTTCGTTGACGGTCAACGGAAAATATTATTTCCTCCGCATCCCCCCCCGACGCGCCGCCCTCCGGCGGCAGAAGGACCGCGCTGACCTCTTCCCTAGATTCTGCCGAGGAGGGAATCTTTATCCGAGCCGCGTCAAGACGGGACGCGCCGAGCGCATCCCCAGATTTCCCCGAGGAGAGAATCTTTCTCCGAGCCGCGTCGCCTCGGGGCGCGCCGAGCGCATCCCCAGATTCTGCCGAGGAGGACCGCGAAGCAAGCAAGTCTAATGACAATGATGGTGTGAGGTTGATAGAGAGTAGGAGGAGGAGCAGGAAGTGGGAGTTGGAGGGGACGAGGATGCGTGAGGGAGCTCGGGGGAGAGGACGAGTGGATATGACTACCCGGCGACGCAGCACTCGCCGCAACGCAATTGTTTCTAGCCGTTTCATGGCACTTGTTGGGGGTAGTAAAGACAACTTAAGATTCGTTCGCTTCTACAGGGAGGGACTGTCCCGTCTTCTGCTGCTGTTGCTACTGCTGCTGCAGCCCGGCCCGCTGACAATGACAAACGCGTACTACTTTTCAAGACTCGGACGGGAGTATTACGACTACTGGAGATTACGCGCCGCGCACTAGGGACTACTAAGGGGGTACGACGTCACAGAATGGAATGTCCAGGGTCACATGCAGAGGGAAAGTAAGAACGCACGGAAGTCCAACATAGAGCTTGTTTCTGCTCGGAGCCTGCGCCGCAGAAGAGCGACGGCGACTTTTAGCTTTTCTTGCGGACAGGCAAGCTGCTCTATCGCACAACCATTCGTGGTAAGGTAATACTATGAACTTGGTCCAACGCGAACCTGAGGTTCGGGTGCGTGTGGATGCGGGCGCTGGGTCGCAGCCTCATCGAGCCGCAAAGCAGACGTCGTCGTCAGGCGATGTGACTGAACTCATCAGGCATCAGAAGACCTCGTAGTCAGGCAACATAAGTCATCAGGCAGCGCAGAAGTCGGTCTAATGCTGTATCATGCTGCGCAGGTGGCGCTCACAGGTGCTCTGATGCGAGCCCAGATATTATTCTGCCTATGGCTGTTTTAGAATCTGACAAGACGACAGTGGTACCGCTTGACTGCTACTTGCGCTTGACTTTTAGACTGAGACAAGAACTTAGTCGTAAGTAACTGAGCGAAACGAAATATCGGAAAATAAGGTAACTGAAGGCTGCTGAAACAAATTACCATCAGGATGATGGTTTTGGCTGAAACAAATACTCAAAACACATCTGACGGTTGACATTTTGGTCGCCCAACTCGGAGATTATCCTCAATGCTCCACTTGAGCTGACACATTCTTGGGTGGGTGCCAAGAGGTCAAGTCGAGTCGAGATTTGGGCTGGGGATGGGGAATTGAAGGAACTGTGCTGTACTGTAGGGACGTTCAAGCCGTAAGTTGCGGCGCCAGGTTTCGCGAGGCAAGGATGCTGTTGTTTCAACCAAGGACGGTGTTTGGCAATGGCGATGCTCCTTTCCAATGCACACACATTGGGAATGTGTGCAGTGCAATCAACCACGTGAATGACAGGTGATCTACGAATATGACAGGTACTATTGAAAACAGAACATGAGTTCTGTACACATGGGAAATATTTTTTTATGCTGTGTAATACAGCCACCTTTCCCGTCCCGTTGTCTTGTAGAATACGTATACAGTGCGCATTGCAAAGCAGTCGAACAGAAAGTCTGAAACTTCTGTTCGCTGTTATTCAATTGGATTGGATGTCGGTCAGGCAAATTGGCTGGCGGTCAGGAAAATTGGCTGGCACCACCTGTGAATTGAAACTTCTGTTTCTTGGCATTGGAAATTTGGGACCAACTGCGGCTCGATTCGGGGAAACGATCGCAAGCGCCCAATGGACACGAGACATCGAACCTCGGGGGTTTTCGGCACAGACAAGCGCGTGACTGTGTTGAGTGTAGGGACGATCTTGGGGATTCAACCTCAGGTGCCGGTCAACAGTTGCTGCCTCAAAAAAGGGGCGGCTTGACTTGGGACTAATACACTCGGAGAAACTAATTCTCAATCAAGCCCCGCTATGATATAAACAAATAAATCCTGATCCAATGCGTGAGCCTTGCATTGTCCAGTAAATATGCTGCAAAGCGGCAGAAAACAAACGACTGCTTTTTATCTCCTCAGACTCCTGTCCTTCATCTCATCCCGCACAAACCCCCCTTTGCCCCTCCTCTCTCCTATTGCCAAAACCATCGAGCTCGTCTGTTGCTTCCCTTCCCTTTCCCCCCTCTCTTCCTCCTCAACCACAAACCCACCTAGTGCCAACGCAAGGCTCAACAGACATCAGGCTCAACAAACACCAGGCTCATCCTCCCTCTTCAGCCCCCTTGCCTCCCTCTTCGTCCACTTCGTCCTCTCTCTCATCCTCCTCATTCTCCTCCCCTTCTTCCTCCTCCTCCTCTTCTTCCTCCTCCTCAAGGTCCAGTACCAACACCCTCCGCTGAGCCCCAAACACCGCAGCGAGTCCCCGGGCAGCTGGAGAAGGGGAGCAGGTGGAAATGGGGTGGGGACCGGGACAGCAAGGAGAACATTTTATAGTCGACTCAAACCTCCTCTTCCTCCTCCTCTTCCTGCTCAACCTCCTCATCCTCTTCCTCCTCCTCAAGGTCGAGTACCAACACCCTCCGCTGAGCCCCAAACACCGCAGCAAGGCCCCGGGCAGCTGCAGAGGAAAAACAGAGGGGAAATGGGGAGGGGCAGCGAGAACACATTTGGGTCGAATAAAATAAATCCTCGTCCTCCCTCCTCACCCTCATCAAGGTCCAGATTCAAGACCCTCCTCTGAGCCCGGAACAAAAAATCACTTTTGAGAAATCTCAAAGGAGACTTGTGAGAATTATCAGAAGTGATTTTCCGTCCTCACCCTCATCAAGGTCCAAATTCAGGACCCGCCTCTGAGCCCTGAACAGCGCAGCTGAAGCAGTTACAGAGAAGAGGCAGCGGCGAAGCGGGGTGGGGCAGCAAAGAGAACGACGTATGAGTTGGAAGAAAGCAATTAGGAGGATGAGTAGGAGAGAGGTTAGGAAGAAAGGAGAGGGAGGAGCAGGAGGACTGCAAGGGAGGGAGAAAACAACACTTAGAAGGCGAGAGGAAGTGGAAGGAGTCAGGCGCATGAAAAACACGCACGAGGCAAGTCATTTGGATTGGCAACATGTGGAAGCAGGTGATATGCTTACAGCTGGCAGCAAGCGGGGCGAGGGGGCGCACAAAGGTGAGAGGGCGTTCCCTAAGGCCCTCTGAAGGGAGGGGCTGGGAGGGCGGTAGATGCTGCACAAGCGGGGTGGGGGAGGGAATGGGAAAGGGGAAGAGAGAGGAGGGGCGCGCAAAGGTGAGAGGGCGCTCCCTAAGGCCCTCCGAGGGGAGCGGATGGGAGGACGGTAGGTGCTGCAACAGGGATTGGAGAGGGGAGGAGGGGGTTGGGAAACGGGTGAAGCGGAATGAGAGAGGGGGGTGATATGGTGTCGAGACGTCTCATCACAGTTTTACGCTGTTGGAGGAGGCAAAGTGAAGGAAAGAAAATGATGACCGTGCGAGAAGCTTTTGAAGATCTGGTGAAGGAAAGGAGTCATGATGATGTGTGGGGTTGATTTTGAGAATGATGATGAACAAACCTCGAACAAACCTCGAACAAACCTCGAACAAACCTCGAACAAACCTCGAACAAACCTCGAACAAACCTCGAACAAACCTCGAACAAACCTCGAACAAACCTCGAACAAACCTCGAACAAACCTCGAACAAACCTCGAACAAACCTCGAACAAACCTCGAACAAACCTCGAACAAACCTCGAACAAACCTCGAACAAACCTCGAACAAACCTCGAACACCCAAACCTCGAACAAACCTCGAACAAACCTCGAACCAAACCTCGAACAAACCTCGAACAAAACATCGAACAATACCGAACAAACCTCGAACAAACCTCGAACAAACCTCGAAACAAACTCGAACAAACCTCGAACAAACCTCGAACAAACCTCGAACAAAGCCCTCGAACAAAGTGAACCTCGAATGACAAACCTCGAACAAAACCTTCGAAAAAACCTCGAACAAACCTCGAACAAACCGTCGAACAAACCTCGACGAAACCTCGAACAAACCTTCGTAACAAAAACCTCGAGACAAACCTCGAACAAACTCGAACAAACCTCGAACAAAACCTCGAACAAACCTCGAAAAACCTCGAACAACTCGAAACAAACCTCGAACAAACCTCGAACAAACGTCGAACAAACCTCGAACAAACCTCGAACAAACCTCGAACAAACCTCGAGACAAACCTCGAACAAAACCTCGAACAAACCTCGAACAAAACCTCGAACAAACCTCGAACAAACCTCGAACAAACCTCGAACAAACCTCGAACAAACTCCGAACAAACCTCGAACAAACCTCGAACAAACCTCGAACAAAACCTCGAACAAACCTCGAACAAACCTCGAACAAACCTCGAACAAACCTCGAACAAACCTCGAACAAACCTCGAACAAAACCTCGAACAAACCTCGAACAAACCTTCGAACAAACCTCGAACAAACCTCGAACAAACCCTCGAACAAACCTCGAACAAACCTCGAACAAACCTCGAACAACCTCGAACAAACCTCGAACAAACCTCGAACAAACCTCGAACAAACCTCGAACAAACCTCGAACAAACCTCGAAAAACACTCGAAAAACCTCGAACAAACCTCGAACAAACCTCGAACAAACCTCGAACAAACCTCGAACAAACCTCGACAAACCTCGAAACAAACCTCGAACAAAACTCGAACAACCTCGAACAAACCTCGAACAAACCTCGAACAAACCTCGAACAAACCTCGAACAAACCTCGAACAAACCTCGAACAAACCTCGAAACAAACCTCGAACAAACCTCGAACAAACCTCGAACAAACCTCGAACAAACTCGAACAACCTCGAACAAAACCTCGAACAAAACCTCGAACAAACCTCGAACAAACCTCGAACAAACCTCGAACAAACCTCGAACAAACCTCGAACAAACCTCGAACAAACCTCGAACAAACCTCGAAACAAACCTCGAACAAACCTCGAACAAAACCTCGAACAAACCTCGAACAAACCTCGAACAAACCTCGAACAACCTCGAACAAACCTCGAACAAACCTCGAACAAACCTCGAACAAACCTCGAACAAACCTCGAACAAACCTCGAACAAACCTCGAACAAACCTCGAACAAACCTCGAACAAACCTCGAACAAACCTCGAACAAACCTCGAACAAACCTCGAACAAACCTCGAACAAACCTCGAACAAACCTCGAACAAACCTCGAACAAACCTCGAACAAACCTCGAACAAACCTCGAACAAACCTCGAACAAACCTCGAACAAACCTCGAACAAACCTCGAACAAACCTCGAACAAACCTCGAACAAACCTCGAACAAACCTCGAACAAACCTCGAACAAACCTCGAACAAACCTCGAACAAACCTCGAACAAACCTCGAACAAACCTCGAACAAACCTCGAACAAACCTCGAACAAACCTCGAACAAACCTCGAACAAACCTCGAACAAACCTCGAACAAACCTCGAACAAACCTCGAACAAACCTCGAACAAACCTCGAACAAACCTCGAACAAACCTCGAACAAACCTCGAACAAACCTCGAACAAACCTCGAACAAACCTCGAACAAACCTCGAACAAACCTCGAACAAACCTCGAACAAACCTCGAACAAACCTCGAACAAACCTCGAACAAACCTCGAACAAACCTCGAACAAACCTCGAACAAACCTCGAACAAACCTCGAACAAACCTCGAACAAACCTCGAACAAACCTCGAACAAACCTCGAACAAACCTCGAACAAACCTCGAACAAACCTCGAACAAACCTCGAACAAACCTCGAACAAACCTCGAACAAACCTCGAACAAAACCTCGAACAAACCTCGAACAAACCTCGAACAAACCTCGAACAAACCTCGAACAAACCTCGAACAAACCTCGAACAAACCTCGAACAAACCTCGAACAAACCTCGAACAAACCTCGAACAAACCTCGAACAAACCTCGAACAAACCTCGAACAAACCTCGAACAACCTCGAACAAACCTCGAACAAACCTCGAACAAACCTCGAACAAACCTCGAACAAACCTCGAACAAACCTCGAACAAACCTCGAACAAACCTCGAACAAACCTCGAACAAACCTCGAACAACCTCGAACAAACCTCGAACAAACCTCGAACAAACCTCGAACAAACCTCGAACAAACCTCGAACAAACCTCGAACAAACCTCGAACAAACCTCGAACAAACCTCGAACAAACCTCGAACAAACCTCGAACAAACCTCGAACAAACCTCGAACAAACCTCGAACAAACCTCGAACAAACCTCGAACAAACCTCGAACAAACCTCGAACAAACCTCGAACAAACCTCGAACAAACCTCGAACAAACCTCGAACAAACCTCGAACAAACCTCGAACAAACCTCGAACAAACCTCGAACAAACCTCGAACAAACCTCGAACAAACCTCGAACAAACCTCGAACAAACCTCGAACAAACCTCGAACAAACCTCGAACAAACCTCGAACAAACCTCGAACAAACCTCGAACAAACCTCGAACAAACCTCGAACAAACCTCGAACAAACCTCGAACAAACCTCGAACAAACCTCGAACAAACCTCGAACAAACCTCGAACAAACCTCGAACAAACCTCGAACAAACCTCGAACAAACCTCGAACAAACCTCGAACAAACCTCGAACAAACCTCGAACAAACCTCGAACAAACCTCGAACAAACCTCGAACAAACCTCGAACAAACCTCGAACAAACCTCGAACAAACCTCGAACAAACCTCGAACAAACCTCGAACAAACCTCGAACAAACCTCGAACAAACCTCGAACAAACCTCGAACAAACCTCGAACAAACCTCGAACAAACCTCGAACAAACCTCGAACAAACCTCGAACAAACCTCGAACAAACCTCGAATAAACCTCGAACAAACCTCGAACAAACAAAGTGGTGAAGGAAAGGAGTCATGATGATGTGTGGAACCTGTCTTGTGACGCATGCTTACGTGTCAAAAAAAGGAAAGTCAGATCAGATGCAGCAGCACCAGTGCATACTTAACACAGGTACCCACGCATGCGCCACACATGCATGTACAGACTCGCACTCGTGTATGTGCACGCACGCAACACAAGCAAACACGCAAACACAAGCAAGCACCTGCAGGAGTGCGTCTCCTTGGCCCAGCTCAATTCCTGTGAATGCCAGTCCCTCTATTGGACACACCACCAGCCTCCCCTGCTGCTGCTGCTGCTCCCCGGCTTGCTGCTGCATTGACCCTGCTGCTGCGCTGACTGCTTTAGTGGCAGCGGCAGCGGTGAGCAGCAGCGCAATGTGCTGGTCCTGCGGTTTGGGAATACACACACAGAAGAGGAACGCAGAAGTTGAAGGAAGAGAGGCCGAAGCAGAAGGAGCAGCAGTGAGCAGCAGTGAGCTGAAGGAGCAGCAGTGAGCTGAGCAGCAGTGCAATGCAGTGTCCCTATGGAAGCAGGCAGGCAGACAAGCATGCATGCATGTTTGAACGGTACCTTATACATTGCCATGTCTGTCACCACCATGCCATGCCCCACATCCACCACTGCTGCCTCCACCCCTCCTGCTGTTCCTGCCAGTGCTGTCGCTTCTGGTTCAGCTTTGACTGCTGCTGCTGCTGCAAAGGAAGTTGCAGGATGTTTTGCAGAGGACAAAGGCACTTGCAAAACCAACACTTGGCTGCTGCTGCTGCTGCTACCAGGGGTGGAGGACAGGAGGAGGGGAAGCGCAACGACGCACTTGGCGGGTGGTGGGAGGCGGTGGTGAGGGGTGCTGGTAGCTTTAGCAGAATTGATCAGCGAGGAAGGCTGCAGTGGGGAGAGCAGGGCAAGGAATAGAAAGATGGGTGAAGAGAAAGATGGTAAGTAGAAAGATGGCTGGGTAGAAACATTGGGTATATAAAAGTCAAGACGAATGTTGACAAGCGTATAAGAGCAAGGGGTGGAATAGAAACATTGGGATTCCGACTTGAGAGCTCTCAAGAATAGAAAAGAGAGATGGGAATACATGAGCATCAAATCCTTCCCCATCGCAACAAGGTTTGAAGCGAAGCGAGTGGGTCAATGCAAGAGTGATTCAAGAAATGATTGGAAAGAATGAGAGTGAAATTGCAGCATTTAGACAGGTGTGTGAGAGGTGAATGGAGGGAAACGAGTGGAGGGAAACGAGTGGAGGGAAACGAGTGGAGGGAAACGAGTGGAGGGAAACGAGTGGAGGGAAACGAGTGGAGGGAAATCGGTAGTAAGGGGATGAGAGGAGGAGAGAGCATGTGGGAGGTGGAAGGAAGATGGTAGACAAAGATGAGCAAAGAGAAAAGCAAAAAACTAGCAATCAAAGCAATAGATCCTAGATGATTATTGTGGTCACTTGAGGGCAGCAGATGCTGATCGGCGCCCGAACAGGCATGGCAGCTGCTGCTGCTGCTGCTGCTGCTGTTGCTGCTGCATCTTTAGCTTGTGCTTTAGCAGGTGTTCTCTGCTGGCCGGCAATCTGTTGGGCGGCAATCTGTTGGCTCGAAGTCAGAAGATGTGTGGTCGGCACAGCAGGCAGTGGCAGAGAGGGCAGGGCGAGCACTGCACGGGCAGTGAAGCTAGCTGCTGTGGCTGATAGCACTGCCTCACAGCTGGAGAAGCGGGAGAGATGGGCGGAAGGGCAACAATTGAGGCAGCAGCAGAGGAGCAGAGTAAGCAGCAGAGGAGCAGAGTAAGCAGCAGAGGAGCAGAGTAAGCAGCAGAAGAAGAGTCAGCAGCAGAGGAAGCAGCAGCCTACGTCGAGAGAGGGGAAAAGTAGAGCCAAGTTCGAGGCTATTGAAACAAAACCGAACAAAGAGAACCAGAAATAGGTGCTGTGAAGAAGTGGTAAGATAACAGAGGTATTCCAGCGTGTTTTGAGTCGACTCAAAACCGCCAATATTTCTCTGCAAGAAATTCAAGCTAACTTCTTACTAACAATATTTTTTTTACACAGTTGAAACAGTCGCTGCCACGTAAAGAAATGGCTCCAGTCTGGGGCTCCGTTGGACAAAACCGAACAACGAGAACCAAAGATAGGTGCTGCAGAAGTGGTAAGATTGAGGTCAAACAGAGGTATTCCACTGGATCAACTACAAGGCTCACCTCTCTCTCACTCGATCCAGCTGCTGCCGGAGAGTGTTGCCTCCCTGGGGGTGCACGGCTGCTGGGTTGGTGATCCCAGCCAGGTCGCAGACGACCTCCCTTAGAAGCACATCTGGGTATAGGAACAACGGAACACACAGGTGGTGGGAAGGTTTGAAGGTAGGCGTGTTTGTGAGGAGAGGAACAAGGGGTCGGAAAGGAGTTGAGGAAGGGTTGCAGTGCAGAGGAACGCACACAGCACAAAACACAACACAACCATTGCCATCACACATACCCTCATCATGTTCTTCGTCACTCATCCCCATCAACCCATCACACATAACCCATCGCCACCACCATCACCACATACCAACCACCATCACCACATACCAACCACCATCACCACATAACCCCTTCACCACATACCACCTTCAACACATACCCCCATCCGCATGAGTGCCACTCCTGCTGCCAGTGAACATGGATGGTGGAGGCAGCACCCTGGCGCCTGGGGAGGTGGCATCTGGGGGAGGTGGATGCAGGCTAGGGTCCAGCTGCGCCCTGATTGGATCACAGTCGAATTGCTGGTGGAGAAAATCCGCCACCACTGCCCTGCTCTGCGGGAGAGGGGGGGAGAATGAGGAGGAGAGTAGAACAGGTGGCATTTGGGGGAGGTGGATGCGCCTTGATGGGGTTGAGGTGGGTCCAGGTGTGCTGGCAGTCAAAGTGGTGGTGGCGACCGCCACCACTGCTCTGCTCTGCGGAAGAAAGGGGTGAGATGGGGAGACGAGGAGGGTGGAGCAGGTGGCATCTGGGGCAGGTGGGTCCAGGTGGGCAGGTGGATTCAGCTGCGCCTGTATGGGCTCGAGATGCGCCTTGATGGGGTCACAGTCAAAGTGCTGGTGCAGAAGATTCGCCACCACTGCCCTGCTCTGCGGGAGAGGGGGGAACAGAGTGGGAGAAAGGTGGCGAAGGGGAGATGGGGAGAGGACTTTTGAGTTTGAAATTGGCTCCTAGGGAATCAGGGTCACTATGTGTCACATAGTGCTACGCCACCTGCAGCACACTCACATGTTGAGCAGCAGTGCCAGGCTGCTGCTGCTGCTTCTGCCGCTGGCAACATTCCCCCCCCTCCTGTACGTTGCAGGCGATTTTTGAGAATCCTCTGAAACCGCCAGCAAATAATAAAAGAACCCAGCTGACTATGAAAAAAACGCCTGTCACTCACGTGTTGACCAGCAGCGCCTGGCTGCTGCTGCTGGCAGCATTGCCGCCCGGCCGGACGTCCTCGTCCTCATCCTCGTTCGCTGCCCGGATGCAGCGCAGCAGCCACACGAAGAAGGCGGCAAACTGTGGCAGCACCACTGCCAGCAGCCGCACCACTCGCTCGCTCCACACCATCGCCACCTTCCCCTCCTCCATCGCCCTCTGTAGCAGCCCACCCGCACCCACGCCAACACTGTCGCCTGTAACGATACCAGCACCAACACCAGCACCAACACCAGCACCAACACCAGAACCAACACCAGTACCGATACCAGCACCCACACCAGCACCACTTGCACCACTGCCACCATCGCCCACGCAGTGTGTAAGTCCCAGGGCTTCAAACGGGCTGACTGCCCCTGGAGAACGAGCAGTGGCAGTTGTAGCACTGGCAGCTGTAGCAGCAGCAGCAGTTGTAGCAGCGAGAGAGTGCAGGGACGAGAGGCGGAAGAGAGTTTCTTCCAGAGCGGGCATGAGGTGCAGCGTGAGCAGCGCGTGCAGCGCGTTCCCTGCTGTTTCAATCGTCCGCGCCAGCCGCTTCACTCCCTGGGGGTGGGTAAGAGTGCGAAGGGGAATAGAGAGTGCAAGGAGGAGAGGCGGAGGAGAGTTTCCTCGAGAGCAGGCATGAGGTGTAGCGCGAGCAGACTGTGCAGCGCATTCCCTGCCGTCTATAATGTCCGCGCCAGCCGCTTCACTCCCTGGGGGTGGGTAAGAGTGCGAAGGGGAATAGAGAGTGCAGGGACGAGAGGCGGAAGAGAGTTTCTTCCAGAGCGGGCATGAGGTGTAGCGCGAGCAGACTGTGCAGCGCATTCCCTGCCGTCTATAATGTCCGCGCCAGCCGCTTCACTCCCTGGGGGTGGGTAAGAGTGCGAAGGGGAATAGAGAGTGCAAGGAGGAGAGGCGGAGGAGAGTTTCCTCGAGAGCGGGCATGAGGTGTAGCGCGAGCAGACTGTTCAGCGCATTCCCTGCCGTCTATAATGTCCGCACCAGCCGCTTCACTTCCTGGGGGTGGGTAAGAGTGCGAAGGGGAATAGAGAGTGCAAGGAGGAGAGGCGGAGGAGAGTTTCCTCGAGAGCGGGCATGAGGTGTAGCGCGAGCAGACTGTGCAGCGCATTCCCTGCCGTCTATAATGTCCGCACCAGCCGCTTCACTTCCTGGGGGTGGGTAAGAGTGCGAAGGGGAATAGAGAGTGCAAGGAGGAGAGGCGGAGGAGAGTTTCCTCGAGAGCGGGCATGAGGTGTAGCGCGAGCAGACTGTGCAGCGCATTCCCTGCCGTCTATAATGTCCGCACCAGCCGCTTCACTTCCTGCCAGTGGAGGGGAATAAGGAGTGCAGGGAGGAGAGTTTCTTCCAGAGCGGGCATGAGGTGCAGCGTGAGCAGCGCATGCAGTGCATTCCCTGCCGTCTGTACCGTGTGCACTAATCTCTTCACTCCCTGGGGAGGGACAAGAAGGAACAGGGAGGGGGAGGAGGAGGGGTGAAGGGTGGCAATATCATCACTAGTGGTGCAGCGTGAGCAGAGCATGCAGCGCGTTCCCTGCCGTCTATAATGTCCGCCCCAGCCGCTTCATTCCCTGCCGGTGGGGGGTTGAATACGTGGGGCTGAAGAAGGGGGGGCGGAAAGGGAGGTAATTTTTTCACTGGTGGTCAGCGTGAGCAGAGCATACAGTGCATTCCCTGCCGTCTCTATCGTCCGCGCCCGGCGCTTCACTCCCTGCCAGCGCGGGGGGAATACGGGGGGCGGGACTGAAGGGTGGCAACAACGACACCAGTGGAGCAAAGCCACAGGTGCATTGCAGGATGAGCGTTGTGCACTTTGCAGGCACCGGTAACTTCTGCATCATCAGCAGCAGTCATCTCACAGCCAGCCAGCCCTTGAGAGCTCTTGTTGCCAGCATGTACAGGGCTGACACTTCAAAATTAGGCTAGGACTCAATGCTGAGACGTCTCACAGGTAGCCCTTACCGCTTCGCCTGCGAGAGTATCTGTGAAGAAGCTGTTCAAATCCGTGCTGGCAGCCCCTGTCGCCAGCATGTACAGGAGCTCTGATCGAGGGTCCGAGGGGCAGTCTGAGACATGATCAGAGCACGGGGCAGGCAGGGGCATTGCAAGGGCACACTTTTGAGTGGTGGCACAACTCGACCCAGCAGCCCCTGTTGCCACCATGTGCAGGAGCTCTGAGCGAGGGTCTGAGACATGATCGGAGCTCGGAGCAGGCAGGGGCATTGCAAGGGCATGGTATTGAGTGGTGGAAAAACTCTCAACTCGCAGGTCGTAAAAGGGCAAGAGGGTAGGGCAGTCACCAGCCCCCACCAATCACCTCTCGCCAGCCCACCAATCACCTGCCGCCAGCTCACCGTTCTCCTCCAGCAGTCGCTGCAGCCCCTGCACCTTCTCCCGCCACTGACAGCTGACGGCCTCCCATTGGCCGTGCATGGCGGCAGCAGTGGCTGACACGGACTCCATGAGCCCTGTGAGCGCCGCCCCGTGGGTCGCCACTGCCAGCACCTCCCAGAGGCTGCAAAGAGGAGAGTGGGAGAATATGGAAAGGAAAGTCAGGGATGGGGATAATACTGCAAGCACCTCCCGTCCACCTGCAGTCCTCGTACGCACAGCACACCCACCCACCTGTCTCTCATCTGAGTCACGTTTGAGAATTCTCACAAGCTGCTGCCAACACACAGCCACCCTGCTTCCAATGCCTATTATAGTGGAACGACTTTTAAGATTTCTCACAATTTATTCCACTACCTCAAAAGTAATTCCACCTGTGTCTCATCATGGCCGTGTCAAACAGTGCTAGCTCACAGCCAGCCTCGTGGGTACACACTGCCAGCACTTCCCTACCACGTGCCATCCCCAACCAAACCCACCGCCATCCTGCCCACCTGTGTCTCATCATGGCCGTGTCAAACAGTGCGAGCTCACAGCCAGCTTCGTCCTGCTCCTGCTTTCCCTGCCGCCCTTGCTTCCCATCCCGGTTGCTGCTGCTGGCAGTGACGACGATAAGGTGGGCGAAATCAGGTGTTAGCACGGCCTGTTGGGTTAAGGGCACGTGGGGGGAACGTGGGGGGCACGTGGGGGTTGAAAAGAGTTTGCTGCTGCTGCTGCTGGCAGTGACGACGATAAGGTGGGCGAAATCAGGAGTCAGCAACGCCTGTTGGGGGCACATGGGGGGGGTAAGAAAACATATTTTGAGGTGCCACAACAGTTGCTGCTGCTGCTGCTGCTGCTGCTGCTGCTGCTGGCAGTGAAGGCAATAAAGTGGGCGGGATCAGGAGTCAGCAACGCCTGTTGGGAGTACGTGGGGGGGGAATACAATAGCACTTTGCGGTGTTTTTTTTAATGCGCCTACAGTGTGTGGAAGTGTGAAAATAGGCCTGATTTCATCCAGCCTGGCGTGTAATCGATGGCGTGGAAATGAACAATAGCATGCATAGATAGAAACGCACGCAATGCAAGACACAAAGTACTCGACTCGACCTTTGTCTCTCACTGCCTGGGCAATTTGACATAGCGTGGCATGCGTCTCGCTCATCTTCACGTGTCGATAAGAGCGGGTTCGATCGCTGCTAGCTGCTATGACTCTGTCTGGTCTCTTCTCGCTCACCTTCACAGGGGTTCCACTTGCACGCCCGCTGTGCCCGTTGCTTGTAGGGCCTGAAGCTGGCGCCCGGCTTGTGATGTCCTGACAGGCGGGCGAGGGAGGAAGAAGGAGAGAGAGGAGTGAGGAGAGAGGAGAGAGGAGAGAGAGGAGTGAGGAGTGAGGAGAGAGGAGAGAGGAGAGAGAGGAGTGAGGAGAGAGGAGAGAGGAGAGAGAGGAGTGAGGAGAGAGGAGAGAGGAGAGAGAGGAGTGAGGAGTGAGGAGAGAGGAGAGAGGAGAGAGAGGAGTGAGGAGAGAGGAGAGAGGAGAGAGAGGAGTGAGGAGAGAGGAGAGAGGAGAGAGAGGAGTGAGGAGAGAGGAGAGAGGAGAGAGAGGATTGAGGAGAGAGGAGAGAGGAGAGAGAGGAGTGAGGAGAGAGGAGAGAGGAGATAAGAGGCAACTTTTGAGGTGCCTCAAAAGTCGCCCACTGTGCCCGTTGCTCGCGGGGCATGAAGCTGGCGCCCGGCTTGTGATGTCCTGACAGGCGGGCGAGGGAGGAGAGGCCAGAAAGGGGAGAGAGGCAAGGGGACGAGGTGGGGAATGCGGGCAGGCGAGAAGAGGGAGGCAGGAAGGCGAGATATGGGAGAGGAGCAGGCAGGCGGGCGAGCGAGGAGAGACGATATGAAGGCCGCCTGCCTCTCCTGTGGGGAGGTGCGCTCCTAGTGCGGTGTGCTGCAGTGCGGTGTGGTGCGGTGTGGTGTGGTGTGGTGCGGTGTGGTGTGGTGTGGTGTGGTGTGGTGTGGTGTGGTGTGGTGTGGTGTGGTGCATGACCTGTGACCCCCGTGCCCACATATTCATACATAAACGTTTTTCCACACATCGGATGCACTAATAGCATTCAGCAGATTGGTCACAGGACAGATTCATCAAATTCATCAGATTCATCAGATTCATCAGATGCATCTGTCGAATTGCCAACACTGCAAGTCACGGGACAAGTCACAGGCTACAGCCAGCAAGTGAGGGCAAGTCATGGCCTACCAGCTTGATAAGTGGGAAGATGCCAAACGCGCTCACCACCACACACCCCACCACATCCACACTCACTAACACACACAGAATACTCCTCCCCTCCTCCCCTCCCTCTCCCTCTCCCTCTCCCCCCCCCCCTCCTCCTCCCCCTCCACCCCCTTCCTCTCCCCCTCCCCCTCTCCCCTTGCCAGCTGGCATGTGCAGCCACCACCGCTCATCCTCAGGCAAACGGGACCCGTCCACGTCAGCAGCTGAGTCAGCAGCCGCGGCTCCAGAGAGGGAAGCGGAGGAGGGGAGGGAAGAGGCAGGTGGGGTCCGGGGAAGGTAGATGTGAGTAAGGTCGTGGTAGGGGCCGTGGGGGAAAGGCGGGGAGGGGGCGGATGGGGGGAGAGCGGCGGAGCAGGAGGAGGAGGAGGGGGAGAGGTGGGGGAATTTGGTGAGGAGGGAGGACGGGGAGAGAGGAGGGGAGGTACTAGTGGCAGTGGGGGTGAGAGCAGGACTGGCATTGGGAGGAGCAGTGGTGGAGGAGGGGGAGAGGTGCAGGGAGGACCAAGAGAGGGCGGAGAGAGGGGCGGAGTGGAAGGAGGAGACCTGGTGAATGATGTCTCCGCCCTGCAGGGGGAAGGGTGAAGAACGGGAGGGGGAAGAAAGAGGGGTTGGGGGAATTGGGGAGAGGGAGAGAGGGAGGAGAGAGGGGCGGAGTGAAAGGAGGAGACCTGGTGAATGATGTCTCCGCCCTGCAGGGGTAAGGGGGAAGAGAGGAAGGCAGGGATGGGGGGAGGCAGGGACGAGGGGAGGCAGGGATGGGGGGAGACAGGCGACTACTCAAACCTTCTACATACTTGCCTTTTTAATAACACGCCAAAAAAAAAAAAACATGAGCTAGTACTGCACTACACCACCTCGTTCAGAGGCCTTTGATCGCTACTGATTGCTGCTCACAACCCGATCCACTCCAACCTCTTGGAGAAAAAAGAAAAAGAAAACATGGCGGTACACGATGCACATGCACAAGGACTGACCTCCACGTGGCGGTACACGATGCTGCCATCTGTATGCCCTGTCAGAATGGCCCGCCCATCTGGCCGCCACGTCAGCGCAGTCACAGGCACCTCTGGTGGGAAGGAGGAGCGGAAGAGAGCAGAGCAGCAAATGAGGGTTACACAGTAACAGTACGTGGGGCAAAGGTTGCATTCAAATGGAAAGGAGGCGGAAGGGGGTTTAGGGAATGGACAAGGGCAAGGGCAAGGGCAACGAGACTTGAAGAAGCATCAACATGAAGATTCATGCTTCGACCTACCAAATTCACCCACCTAAAAACCAGTTCCATCAAATTTCACGAGGTTTATCGATTCCATTCCCAAGTTACCCGAGTTGGCAGAAAAAAAAAAAAGCAGGTCATGTACCAGAGATGGCGGCCCAGAGGCGCTGCCAGTTGAGGCGAAATCCACATGAGTCAACTCAAATCTCATCAATTTCAGCTCCGAGTTCCCCACCCCATCGACGTCGTTGATTCTCTTCCATCCCCAAGTTTCCCAGCTCATGTACCAGATATGGCGGCCCAGAGGCGCTGCCAGTTGAGGCGGAAGACTAGCAGATGCTGATCACGACACACGAGGGCCAGCAGGTCCTTGTCGCCACTCCACTCCGCTAAGCATGCCTGCCGTTGAGGGTAAGGGCAGACGGAGAAGCAAGGAGACAGAAGAGCGCTCTTTCAGATGCCTAGGTGATGCGACACACAAGAGGGCCAGCAGGCCCTTGTCGCCACTCCACTCCGCTAGACACGCCTGCGATTGAAGGGGAAGGGAAGACGCCAAAGTGACAAGATGTGCGCATCAACCGCCGAGGTAACGCTGCAGGGCACACGAGAGCAGGTCCCTGTCGCCGCTCCCCTCTGCTAGACACGCCTGAGATTGAGAGGAACGGCAGACGAAGGAGCAAGCAGACAGTAGGTCCTGTGAGGCGAGCGACTGACCTGCGAGGCAAGAGACTTCTCCTGAACGACAGTGAAGCTGGCAGGCATGGGTGCAGGTGTTGTTAGTGTTCGCCGGCAGCTGCAGCTGGTTAAAGCCGGATCGTGATTTGAGGCGGCTCATAAACAAACTGCCCGCAGGAGTTATCAGTGAGGATTTGCTGTCAACTGCAGGTGGTTAAATGCTGGTCCGTATAATTGCACACCGTGGTGCGCACTGCAGCCTGCATTCTCCTTAGCCTGTGTTGCAAGTACAGCGAATCTGCTAGGACGGAGCATGCAACGAGTTGACGCGGAGCGGAGCTGCCAGAGGTATTTTAGTAGAAACAGATTAGACTTACTCAGGGTTCACTGAGATAATGGATTCCGTGTCCTGCGTCCCTGTCAACGATTTGTTCACTTTGTCCGAATGCGGGTCGATGCGTTTCTCTACGATTTAAAGTGGTCCAATCAGCACTTACAACGGTAGGGTTAGGGCGACGTTGAGGTGACAATCATGATTCGGAATGCCTCTTCGCTGTAAAATTCGCTTCTGGTTTGGAGTTGAAGCAGTATACTTAGGAACAAGCAACAGTATACTTTTGCAAGCAGGGGTTTCAAAAACCTTAGGAACTTGAAAAACTGGTTACGCGATTACAACCCCAACCCCCCGCTTCACAACCGAATCTAGTCCCCAAACGCCCCACGTCTGGCTCCCCGCACTCACAGTTCAAAACCTAAGGAATTGCAAAAGGAAACTGAAACTGCACTAGTGAGAGGATAGCCCACAAGGTCCTACTTCGGTAGCTGATTCTCCGTAGACTGGGCAACGTTCTAACCTAACCGCTGGATTTAGGGACAGAATTATTTATTGAACCGCGTAACGCTGTTCAAGCGCATCCGCGAACAAATTGCCCATTCGTACGCACTCGCTTAGACCACGCCACCTTAGACAAGGCCGCCCCACGCCTCCTCTCGCTGCCTCACCGCGAGGCCATTAGCGCCGCAATCCCCATTCCGCCGCCTTACCCATTCCTGCTCCTATCGCCTCCCGGTTCGAATTCTCCTTTCGCCTCCCCGGGCGTGCTCCTCTCGCATCCCCGCGCTCTCCTCTCGCTTTCCCCCCGCGCTTCCTCCTCACGCCTCCCCGCGCGCTCGACTCTCGCCTCCCCGCGCGGCCTCCTCTCGCTTCCATGCGCGGCCTCCTCTCGCCTTGCCGCGCGTTCTCCTCTCGCCTCCCCGCGCGCTCGACTCTCGCCTCCCCGCGCGGCCTCCTCTCGCTTCCATGCGCGGCCTCCTCTCGCCTTGCCGCGCGTTCTCCTCTCGCCTCCCCGCGCCTGCTCCTCTCGCCTCCCCGCGCCTGCTCCTCTCGCCTCCCCGCGCCTGCTCCTCTCGCCTCCCCGCGCCTGCTCCTCTCGCCTCCCCGCGCGTGCGACTCTCGCCTCCACGCGTTTCCTCCTCTCACCTTCCCGTGCATGCGCATCTAGCATACGCATCTTCCCTGCCTCCCCTCGCTGCCTCTCCGCGTCTCGCGGCGGCCTCCTTTCGCGAGCTGCACTCGAATAAGGCCCTCGGCCCTCTCTCACTCTCTTGCAACGGCTGTGCTTCCGCATCCCCGCTGCACGCCCTAAAAAACCCCCCCTGAACGCCCTCACTGCCCCACATGTACGCCCTCGTTTTCCCTCCCTGCTTGCCCTCGTTTCCCCACCTTCCTTCCCTCCCTTCTCTCCCTTCCCTCCCTTCCCTCCCTTCCCTCCCTTCTTTCCTTTCCCTCCATTCTCTCCCTTCCCTCCCTTCCCTCCCTTCCCTACCTTCTCTCCCTTCCCTCCCTTCCCTCCCTTTCCGTCCCTTCCCTCGCTTCTCTCCCTTCCCTCCCTTCTCTCCCTTCCCTCCCTTCCCTCCCTTCCCCCTTCTCTCCCTTCCCTCCCTTCCCTCCCTTCCCCCTTCTCTCCCTTCCCTCCCTTCCCTCCCTTCCCTCCCTTCTTTCCTTTCCCTCCATTCTCTCCCTTCCCTCCCTTCCCTCCCTTCCCTACCTTCTCTCCCTTCCCTCCTTCCCTCCCTTTCCGCCCCTTCCCTCCCTTCTCTCCCTTCCCTCCCTTCTCTCCCTTCCCTCCTTTCCCTCCCTTCCCCCTTCTCTCCCTTCCCTCCCTTCCCTCCCTTCCCTCCCTTCTCTCCTTTCCCTCCATTCTCTCCCTTCCCTCCCTTCCCTACCTTCTATCCCTTCCCTCCCTTTCCTCACTTTCCTCCCTTTCCGTCCCTTCCCTCCTTTCTCTCCCTTCCCTCCCTTCTCTCTCCCCCCTACCTTCTCCTCCATCCCTCCGGACTGCCCCCATCAGTGCCAACCCTCTCTGCGCATCTTTTGTTTCTCCCCCTTTTGTTCTTCACATCCCGCCTCACCATCTCGCTACCCCGCCTCCCCATCTCCCCTTCCTCTCAGTTCCTCTCTTTCTGCCCTTTCGTCCGACCTCTTCATCCTCACCCCTCCACCCCGCATCCCCATCTCTTCCCCCCCTCTTCCCTTTCCCTCCCTGCATCCCCATCTCCCTGCCCTGCATATACCTCTCCCCTTCCTGCTTCCCCATATCCACTGCATGTTTCCCCATCTCTCCTCCCTGCATACCCATCTCTCCTCCCTGCATCCCCATCTCTCCTCCCTGCATCCCCATCTCTCCTCACCTGCATCCCCATCTCCCCTCCCTGCATCCCCATCTCCTCACCTGCATCCCCATCTCCCCTCCCTGCATCCTCCCGAAACCCTTCCTAAGCCTGCTTCTCCTTACTTCTCCCCTGCTCCCTCCTGCCTCCCTTCATTTCCCCCCCTGATTCCCATCATTTCCCCTCCTCACTTCTGTCATCACAGCCTATGGTTGAATCAAATACTCCCCCTCCCCGGCTACCTGTATTTCAGTGACCAACTGCTCTGAAGATCTTCATGCTTCAACTCGCCTCACACCATCTCATGTCAAATAAGCTAGAGAAAGGTCAATAGTACTGTATTCGACTTAGCGAGAGCATATTTCTTTCTACCTGTATGTGATGTGACACCTTCACTGTCCATGCATCTTGGATGAATTATCTTCACTGCTGAAATCGTGGTAGCACATAGCAGGCTTTGTGACGAATATCTCTAGCAGTAACACACTACTCATACCGTACAACGCACAATAGACTACACAAAAGTTCTGAGCACCATCCACTACAAGCTGTGCCCTTGTTTGCATCTGCTGCCCTGTTTCAGCACTACCAATTAGCAGAGTAGGCATAAACGATTGTGTGAAGACCCAGTGGGGACGTGCTATGAGGCGGAAGAGGAAAAACAGACCCTGAATACAAGCAAGCGTACAAGGGAACCATGTGCACAAGCACCGGGGGGCAGAAGGGAAAAGTGGGTGAGGGTGAAGGGGAGCGCATGCAAGGGAAGGGAAGGGAGAAGGGATCGGGAAGAGAAGGGTGGGGCAGGAGAAGGGAAGGGCAGGGAGTGGAGATGTGAAGGCAGGGAGTGGAGATGTGAAGGCAGGGAGTGGAGATGTGAAGGCAGGGAGTGGAGATGTGAAGGCAGGGAGTGGAGATGTGAAGGCAGGGAGTGGAGATGTGAAGGCAGGGAGTGGAGATGTGAAGGCAGGGAGTGGAGATGTGAAGGCAGGAGTGGAAATGTGAAGGCAGGGAGTGGAGATGTGACGGCAGGGAGTGGAGATGTGAAGGCAGGGAGTGGAGATGTGAAGGCAGGGAGTGGAGATGTGAAGGGCCCCTCAGGTAGATTGCCTCGTCAGCGAATGATGATTGGCCGTTGATGGGATCCACTGAGAGGCCGACAGCTGGCGCCATGGTGTCAAACACGTGCTTCACCTGCTGGAGTAGGCAGAATGGCACGGTCGTGGGCAAGGAGGGCGAGAGAGGGAGAGGGGGAGGGCGGGATTGTGTGTTGGGCAAAAAGACAAGTTAGTCTGTGGGGCAATGGTGGGAGAGGAAGGTTGATGGTTAAACATCGGCTGGGAAAGTGAGCTGAGGTAGGTGTGAGTTGGTCTCGAGTGGGCAACACCACCACCGCTCTGACTCACCGCGCCTCACACCCTGCCAGTGCCTGCACCACTTGCAGCGCATACGCCAGTGTCTTGACAGGTGTGTTGGCAAGGAGATGAAAGGGACGAGAGGGGGGATGGGATGGAAGGGCCTGGAAAAGCGAAGGCGAAGAGGGTAAATGGTGAGGAACATAAAGGTGTTACGAAGGAAGAGACATGAGATGGCGTGTAAGGCAGGAGAGATCGGAAGGAAGGGTGGGGAGGATTGACCTCAAGTCAGGCGGGAACGATGTGCTAGCAGGGGGGAAAGGAGGGATGCAGTGGGGGAAAGGAGGAGAAGCAAGGGGGGGAAAGGAGGGGAAGCAAGGGGGGGAAAAGGAGGGAATGCAGGGGGGGAACGGAGGGGAAGCAAAGGGGGAAAGGAGGAGAAGCAAGGGGGGGAAAGGAGGGGAAGCAAGGGGGGGAAAGGAGGGAATGCAGGGGCGGAAAGGAGGGGAATCAGGGGGGGGGGGGGGGGGAGGAGGGGAAGCAAGGGGGGGAAAAGGAGGGGAAGCAAGGGGGGGAAAAGGAGGGAATGCAGGGGCGGAAAGGAGGGGAAGCAAAGGGGGGAAAGGAGGGAACGCAGGGGGGGAAAGGAGGGGAAGCAAGGGGGGGAAAGGAGGGGAAGCAGGGGCGGAAAGGAGGGGAATCGGGGGGGGGGGGGGAAGGAGGGGAAGTAAGGGGGGAAAGGAGGAGAAGCAAGGGGGGGAAAGGAGGGAATGCAGGGGCGGAAAGGAGGGGACAGAGGGGCGCTAAGCGAGTGACGCGCTAAGCGGGTGACGCGCTAAGCAGATGAGGCGAGCAGCGGGTGAGGCGCTAAGCGGGTGAGGCGCTAAGCGGGTGAGGCGCTAAGCTCGTCGGCCTGAACGCGTTGAGCCCGCCGAGGGCAACGCGGCGGGGCAGGAAGGTGGGCAGACAGTTGCCTTACCAAATTTAGCGATTTTGAATGCAACGATTGCATTGCAGCGATCCCGCCGAATGCGACTAGCCGTGGCGCCTAAGAAATAGGTTACGACGGGCGCGCCGCATACATTGCGGGCTCGGCGAATGCTACGCGGCGGCAGTCCGAATGCAAAGCGGCGGGGCAAACCGAAAGGGAGATGCGGGGCTCGATTGATGGTCGTTTTCGAGGCGTAGCCTAATCTGTACATGTGTAGATACTCCCAGCCATCCATGTGAGATGTCGCGCTATTGGTATAGCACCCTAAAGCCCAGCATGGCTAGTTATATCGCGGAAATTACTAGTAGTCGCTGATTCAATCGCCAAGTGTGTGAGAGTAGCAACGTAGCTTGGTGACGGGAGATTTTCCCATTTTGTTGTGACCCCCCAACCCAACCCTGGTTCCCCGCTTCAGATTTTCGCCAACCCTCTCGGCAATATTTTGTTTTCGTTTTGGCGAAAACGCCTTGCGTACTGTAGATCCTCAAACAGTACTGTCAAATGTATACTGCTGCTTTAAATGGAAAAGAGAAAGCGGACAGAATTACTGACAAGTATTTGTCTACATTATATTTATGAGCAGGTAGAAGAACATGACTGACGGGTTCATTTTAAGAAAATAAAAAAGTCCTGCGATATTATTTTGGATAAACACATACGCATATATGAATATTTTCGCTAGGCAAGCTGGCGGGGAAAATAAGTGAATCATAGTGTATACGGATGTTTGTTACGCATTTGCGCCTTATACAACTGCGCCGCAACTGTATCGGTTCGCAAATCTTTTCGCGCGCCCTGGATGACACCACGCCACCAAACTGAACTCCTGACCCTTGCTGCCACGTCGATAACCTTTGAAAATATACTTGGCGCGAAAAGTACCAATATATCCAATGACAGAAGCTACGCACCGTCGATCTCTATGACATGCACCATGCCATGCCTTGATCCAACGAATAAAACTCGTCAGCTGACGTCCTTCCCTCGTGCGGCACGGATCTACCTCGATTGTTCCGCGCCCATCTATGTCCGGCGGAAGGCGGAAGAATCCTTCTCTCGTGCGGTGTTCTGGCGTGGTGCGTGCGTGATGGTTCCAGCGCAACTGTCAGCGAGCTAGCAAGTGCGGAAGCATTTTCTCCTGCCTGACAATCACGAGGGTTTGGTTTCGGTTTGGTCTGGCAGGACAACCAAACGACCAAACAAGGCAACCATATTTATTCCACCAGCAGTCCATCTCACTCGGTATTTGTCATTCATTGGGCGTTCGCTTGTGGTCACTTCGTCCATTCCTAGCTACCTCTCTTCCCTAACCTCTACCCATTTTCCGCGTTTCCTTCCTGGGCCTTGGATCTGTATTTTTTCCCGCCTTTCCCGCCTTCCCACATGAGAACATTCTGTGTGATCATTTCTTTCTAAGGTACCGGTAGCTGATAGCATGTAGCATGTACTGAGACAGGATCAGCCTTTTATATCACTAGCTCGATTATCCTTTAGTCTTAGCAATAATGGCGGTAAGCTTCTCGTCGTTAACCTCTCAGATTAGTAGAGTTAGGCCTAATTCAGAGGCTCAATTGGCCTCCGCTGGCATTCTTGGCCCCCGCAATGGTGCCGAGTGTTCCGGGTCTTCGCGGTTATCCGCGGTTAGTCTAGGCTCAAGTGAAAGATCGAGCCTCGCGGTTTCAGCATCATTTGGAGGCGCGTCTCGATCGCCATTGCGCGCCGATGACGGCCACGATACTTTCACCGGCTTGCCGGTTCACACCGGCGTCGTCCACAGAACGGGACGGTCGCGACGCTTCGGAGAGAAGCTCAAACAACGACGGCGAATGGTTTGTCACGCTGAGAGCTTAAACGGCAGCAGTAGCAACAACGGCAGGATAGGCAGCCTAGTAATTCCCACAGCTCCTCCCTTCGGTTCCATGGGTGGGGAGTCAGATCGGGACCCTAAACTTGCGCAACTCAATAGGGTGAACACTGGAAATGAGTCCGTGGCACGGCGGACAGAAGCGGAAGATACAGCGAGTGTTGGCGCGTCGGGGTTGCTCCAGCAGCAGCAGTCTCCGCCTGTCCTCGAGGTGGTCCGGCAACTAGAAGCGAAGATGAACGAGCCTTCGGCGGTGCTTGAGAGCATGAAGGTGGGTTTTTGAGACGCCTCGATCTATCTGCTGTGCTGGGAATCATCAACGTGGGACCTTAGTTTATTCCCCCTTCCTTCCATGATCTCTAGCTTTCTTTCTTCGTTCCTTCGCCCGCCATTTCCCGTCTCCCACCGTTGTACCGTTCTCCACTTTCCCTGCTCATTTTCACTGACTGTTGTACAAGCACAATGCTTTCAATTACGGCATTCTGAAGCTCAAAGTTTGCATTGCCTTGTTTTCTTGCAGGATATGCTGACGGTTGAAGATCTCGAGACTCTGATCGCTTACCTGGCGCAACGTGGTCGCGACATGTGGCAAGCCCTCGAGGTTTACGACTGGATGGTTCGCGAGAATCGCGCTCAGCGCAGCACGCGCCGGCTCACTCTCGTCATCATGGACCAACGTCTCGGGCAGCTTTTACAAGAAGCCTGCCCGACGGAAAACATTCTGCGCCTGGTGGTGCGAATGCTGGAGCTGGAGCTTCTGCCGGACCTTCCGCTCAAGCGGATGCTGGCGGAGCAACTGTGGGATCGGGGGGACTTGCCGGCGGTCGTGCGGCTGCTTCGGATTCTGCAGGAATCGGAGTGTTTTCACGGCGACGGCGCTGGTGTGACTTCCAGAGGAGGAGGTGGGGTTGCGGATTTGGCGGTGAGGTTGAGAAGCCAAATGGACAGGTCGATTAACGACGTCAAAGACGGACGGATTGAAAGCGTTGCGAGGCAGCCTAAGCTGCCTCCGCTGACGCTGCAGGGGGATACGAACCGGTCTGACCAATCAGTTGTGGCCACGTCGTCATCTGTTGTGGGAGGAGTCGCCCCTTCGTCGCCCATCTCCGCAACGGCTACCAGCTCGGCAGCCGAAGCGGACAGGATGGCGGGAGGTTCGGCTGGAGTCTCGGCAGGAGGTTCGGCAGAATCGTCTTCCGGGTCGTGGCTGCTGGCGGAAGGTCCAGAGGAGCGGAAGGACCGCCTCATCCGAGAGTTGCGCGAACGGGTGGCGGTTGAGCTGGCTGGCGCTAAGGGGGAGGGGGCAGGGGGGGGGTCTGTTTACGGGGAGAGCGCGGAGGCCCAAGCGGGAGGTTCGGAGTCGGTTTCCGCGGGCGCTGATACCGCGGATGCGGTTGCGGAGACTGGGGAGGACCTGGGGGGGTACTTGGCGGAACGAGCGCTCGCGCGCGCGCAGTTCCGCGAGGTACTGGCGCTTCCGCGGCTGTTGCGTGAGGGCGGAGTAGAGGTGTCGGTGGTGGCGTACGAGGCGGCGCTGATTGCGGCGGTGAGGGAGCAGGAGCTGTGGACGATCAACGTGGGGGATCTGCAGGTGATGCAGTATGAGAGCGCCGTGGGAGCGCTGTCGCCGCTCGACTGCATGCTCATGGAGGTGCGTGGCTGGGGGGATGCAGGGTGGTGGAGGGGGATAAGGGTGAGTTGGGGGGAGGCGGAGATGAGGGGTTGTTGCGGGGGTGATGTGGGGGTCAAGTGAGTGTTACAGGAATTGGAGGAAGTTGCGCTCTCGCCGCTGGACTGCATGCTCATGGAGGTGCGTGGCCGGGGGGGTGTAGCGGGTTGGAGGATAAGGGATAAGGGGGGATGGAGGGATGGGATGTTACTGTACTGGTAGGGTGATGGGGTCAAGTAATCGTCACGAATTTTAGAGGAAGGGGCACTGTCGCTGCTGGACTGGATGCCCATGGAGGTGGGCGCGTGGTAGTTGAAGTGAACAGGGTTAGAGGGGAAATGGGATGTAGAGGGGTTGATGGTTTGGTGATGAGGGGGTGGTGTGGGCACCGTTGACTGGCTGGTTTGAACAGCATTGTCAGAGGCGGTTTGGCTGGTGACGTCCTCTCTCTGCTTCCCCCCTACTCCACCCTACGTCCTTCCCCCGTATCTCCTTACACAGCTCGCCCAGGCGACCCTGCCGCACGAGGCGCTGCAGCTGGTGGTGTGGTTCGAGGAGCACTGCGCGAGGGACTTTCCCCCTTTCCCTCATTCTCCTGCCCTGCACTCCCTTTTCCGCCTGCACAGCTCGCCCAGGCGAATCTACAGAACGAGGCGCAGCAGCTGGTGGCGTGGTTCGAGGAGCACTGCGCGAGGGAGCTGGCGCGCGTGCAGGCGTCGGTGCGCGACGTGCAGCAGGACGTGATACAGAAGTGGGCATGGTTACCACACGAGCAGCGGGCGAAGCTGGTGCAGGCGGCGACGGAGAGGGAGGAACAGGTGGGTGCGAAAGACTGATGGGGTTATTCGTTTTAAAGCCGGTCAGAAAAGTGTTCCGAGTCACTTGAACAGCGATGTGACCTGTCTTCCAGGTGCGAACATACGAAGGGTACTATTCCTCGAAAATGTTCCCAACGCCTGCAACTTCCGTTGTCCCTTATCCTTCCGTGCTCTCGTGTCTGCAGGTGGTGAGGCTGCTGAGCGACGCGCAGGCGTCCGTGCAGCAGAAGATGGTCGCTTTCTGGTTCGCCGCGCAGGATGCTGACAGAGCAGAAGCTGCCATGTGGCACGCGGCTGAGCTGGCAGCCGAGGCCGGTGGTGACATGGTAGTGGATGCTGACATGGCGGCCAGCATTGCGGGACTGCATGGTTTTCAGGGAAACCACACCGCTCTCAGAAGGTGGGTTGACAGGAACGGCGTGTGGAAGGGGAGAGAAAAGGAGGGGAGTGGGGACAGTGGAGGGT